CATTGGAAAAAGCCCATCCCACTTTCGCATCCGATCGCATCACGCAATTCCCATACATTCTTTTAATTTCATTTCCTCCCCCCTCTCTCTACTCTTGTCTTCATTAATCAACTACTACCAATAATATCATCCCAGTACATACATCATGGCCGATCAACCCGAAAAGACCGCCGCTGCCGCCGCTCCTGCTGCCCCCGAGGCGCAACCTCCCACCACCACCACTGAGCCTGCGGTTTCCGAATCCCAGCCTCAGCCCGAAGTCGAACAAAAGGTCGAGCCTGCGACGACAGGAGAAGAAGCAGCTTCTCCTGCCCCCGCTGCCGCTGCCACGGAACCTCCCGTGACGGAACCCGCTCCCGCTCCCGCCCAGGAGGCCATCGAAGATAAGAAGGAAGAAGCACCCAAGGAAGAGACCAAGGAGACCAAGACTGAGGAACCCAAGGAGGAGCAAAAGGCGGATGAGCCCAAGGCTGAGCCAAAGGCCGAAGAAGCAAAGGAGGAGGAACAAAAGCCCGCTCAGCCCGAGTATCTGGCCAAGAACCCGGCCCTCAGCCAGTTCTTCGATCGTCTGTCGGCCATTCTCTCCTCCACTGGCTACAATGAGATGTGGGGTGTCACCCTCAAAGACTCTTCGGATGTCCCCACCGTCAACATCCTCATCAAGTTCCTGCGCGCCAACGAGGGTAACGTCAAGCTGGCCGAGGAGCAGCTCACCAAGGCCCTGCAATGGCGCAAGGAGATGAACCCCCTCGCCCTGACCGAGGGCCGCTACAGTGCTGAGCGCTATGGTGGTCTGGGCTATGTCACCAAGTACCCGGAGGCCAATGGCAAGGAGGTCATTGTCACTTGGAACGTCTATGGCAATGTCAAGTCTATTGATCAGACCTTTGGCGATGTGGATGGGTAAGTGCGGCTGCTGTTGCTACTTTTTTGTGATTGATGGGGGTCATATCTAACTGTCACTAGATTCATCAAGTGGCGTGTCGCGCTCATGGAGCTCGCTGTCAAGGACCTAAAGCTGAGCGAGGCGACGACCGTGATCGACTACGACGGCGAGGACCCGTACCAGATGCTCCAGGTCCACGACTACCAGAACGTCAGCTTCCTCCGCCTGAACCCCACCATCAAGGCGGCCAGCAAGAAGACCATCGAGGTGTTCTCCATGGCCTACCCCGAGCTGCTGCGGGAGAAGTTCTTCGTTAACGTGCCTGCCATTATGGGCTGGATGTTCGCTGCCATGAAGGTCTTCCTCAGCAAGAACACCACCCGCAAGTTCCACCCCATCTCCAACGGTGCCAACCTGGCCCGCGAGTTCCCTTCCCTGAAGGACAAGTTCCCCAAGACCTACGGTGGTAACGGCGCGACCCTCGAGGAGGAGGCCTTCACGGTCAACCTTGAGAAGGCCCAGCCTGCTCCGGAAGCCCCCAAGGAGGAGGCTAAGGAGGAGCCCAAGCAGGGGCAGACCGAGGCCCCCAAGGAAGAGGCCAAGGCAGAACCGGCTGAGGCTCCCAAGGAAGAGGTGAAGGCAGAACCGGCTGAGGCTCCCAAGGAAGAGGTGAAGGAGGAAGCCAAGACAGAGCAGCCGGCGGCTGAGGAGCCGACCAAGGCAGAGACTGCAGTGACGGCCCAGGAGGCGCCCGCCGCGGAAGCCAAATAAAAGCAAGCAAGAGGCGTAATTCACGCCTGGTCGGGATGAGGCCAGGATCACTGATCACTTAATTTACGGTAATGGATGGGACAGGTTGGATTGATACCCGGGGGAATCGGTAGAATGATTCCGTGTCGTTTTGCGTACTTGATACCTCTCGATAGTGTGTGTGCTTTATGTTCTGGGATTGATGGGGTGCAGAGGCACTAGATAGTAATATTTAATGTAACAGGTCATATAGCCTCCGATTTAAAGTTCCGATGTTTCTGTCGACTTGACCGTTATTTCATGCGTTCCTGCATGCCGCAGGACTTGATCGTATTAAACATCGTATTCCTGCCTATTTATGCTGATCGCCAGCCAGGCACCCCTGATGACTCAGCAGACAATGTCCCTCATTTCCTGCACCAACAAAACACTCAGCTGCACAACTAAGACTGCACGAACAACAGGCAGCAAATAACATTCGGGCAAGGGAGATTTAGTGTGTTGTTCTTCCTTTCTCCTCTTGAGTGTGGTTGTATCCTATAAACCACCCTTCCCTCTATCCCTCTCCATCAATCCCAACTTTGCCATTCTTCCACCCTTTCTATCCCCCCATATTATAATAATAAGAATAAGTGTACAACAACCCCATCACAATGTCGGGACCTCACATCGGCCCGTGGAGAACTCCCGCCCAAGGCCATCTCACTCCCGACGCCAACGGCGATCTCAAAACCGACTACACGCGCTGGCGTCTCCGCGACGACCGCGGCCGCCAAACCTGGCACTACCTGGAATCCGACGCCGAAAACGAGCAATGGCCTCAATCCATCGCAGATAAGTATTTCCTGGGTCTCCCCACGGGACTTCCCGAGCTCCCTAAACCCCAGACGCCCCTGCAATGCGCCGAGAACGGGCTGGAGTTCTTCTCCAAGTTGCAGCTGGAGCCGGGGAACTGGGCCTGCGAGTATGGTGGACCCATGTTCTTGCTGCCTGTCTTGATTATCACGTATTATGTTACCAACACGCCTATTCCACCGGAGTATGCTACTGAGATTAAGCGCTATTTGTTCGCTAGGCAGCATCCGGAGGATGGTGGGTGGGGGTTGCATATTGAAGCTCATAGTTCGGTGTTTGGCACTTGTATGAATTATGTTACGTTGAGGTTGGTGGGTGTGAGTGAGGAGGATCCGAGGATGGTGAAGGCTAGGGGGTTGTTGCATCGGTTTGGGGGTGCTATTTATGGGCCTCATTGGGCTAAGTTCTCGCTGGCTGTCTTGGGTGTTATGGATTGGGAGTGTGTCAATCCGGTGCCGCCGGAGATTTGGTAAGTTTCTTTCTGGCTGTGATATTGGGTGATTTGTGGATGGGTTGCTGATTCTAGCAGGCTACTTCCTGACTGGGTGCCGTTTGCGCCGTGGCGCTGGTGGATTCATATTCGTCAGGTCTTCTTGCCCATGTCGTATCTATGGTCGAAGAGGTTCTCGCATCCGCTGGACCCTCTCACCAAGCAGCTGCGGCAGGAGCTGTATACCCAGCCGTATGACTCGATTGACTTTGCGGCGCATCGCAACTCAATCCACAAGGCGGACAATTACTACCCCAAGACGTGGCTGCTGAATACTCTTAACTCTTTGCTCGTCAACATCTGGAACCCCTACCTTCGTCTCCCTGCCATTGTACGTCGCGCGGAGGAGTGGACGTGGGAGTTGGTGCGCATGGAGGACGAGAATACCGACTACGCCGGTCTGGGGCCCGTGAGCAACCCGTTCAACATGATTGTGTGCTACGAGCATGACGGTCCGGACAGCTACTCGGTCCGTCGCCACCGCGAACGGCTGCACGACTACATGTGGATGAAGGACGAGGGCATGCTGATGAACGGCACCAACGGCGTCCAGGTGTGGGATACAGCCTTTATCACGCAGAGTATCGTGGTGGCTGGCTTTGGCGATGACCCGAAATGGCGGCCCATGCTCACCAAAGCCCTGGAGTTCCTGGAAGACCATCAGCTCCGCGAGAACGTGCCGGACCAGGAGAAGTGCTACCGCCAGCACCGCAAGGGCGCATGGCCATTCAGCAACAAGACGCAGGGATACACGGTCAGTGACTGCACTGCCGAGGGACTGCGCTCGACCATCCAGCTGCAGGAGATGCACAACTTCCCGAAGCTGATCTCGGAGGAGCGGTTGAAGGACAGCGTCGACTGTCTGCTCCTGATGCAGAACCCTACTGGTGGGTTCACCGAGTACGAAACCACACGGGCATCCGAGAAGGTCGAGTGGCTCAACGCAGCCGAGGTATTCGGTGGAATCATGATCGGATACGACTATCCCGAGTGCACGACGGCGTCCGTCACCGCGCTCTCCCTCTTCAGCAAGTACTATCCGAACTACCGGGCCGCGGAGATCAAGACCGCCAAGGAAAAGGCCGTGCGGTACATCAAGCGGGTGCAGCGCGCCGACGGCAGCTGGTACGGATCGTGGGGCATCTGCTTCACGTACGCGGCGATGTTTGCGCTGGAGAGTCTGGCCAGCGTCGGAGAGACGTACGAGACGAGCGCGGACTCCCGACGCGGATGCGAGTTCCTCATCTCGAAGCAGAAGGAGGACGGCGGCTGGGGCGAGTCATACCTCAGCAGCGAGAAGCACGTCTACGTGCAGCACGAGAAGTCTCAGGTCGTGCAGACCGCATGGGCCAGTCTGGCGCTGATGGAGGCCGGGTATCCGCATAAGGAGCCGCTGCGGAAGGCAATGCAGCTGCTGATGTCGCGGCAGCAGGCCAACGGAGAGTGGTTGCAGGAGTCGATTGAGGGAGTGTTTAACCAATCTTGGTGAGTATACCTTATCTTAACTAGAGATAGCTAAGTACTAACGAGTGACAGCATGATTTCGTACCCCAACTATAAGTTGTACTGGCCGATCCGGGCGTTGGGATTGTATGCGCGCAAGTTTGGCAATGAGGAGTTGGTCTGATTGCAGCAGACTTTTCTATGAGTATATGTATTACTAGTTTACTTACTACTACCTTCTACTAATTGATAATATGATTCAAGTATACTATGATGTTTATAGTTGATCTGGACAGTATAGTATAGTACATGTGTAGCCAATCACGTGGATGCTCCGCTCCCCGCATCTCCAAAGAAGATCATCGAACTTGTTTCGATTCCATTCACCTCACCTGCACTTCACTTTCACTAATTCCTTACTTATTTTCTTCGGATATTCCCTTATAAACAACAATCCTCACCTTTCACATCCCATACTCAGCTCCTACATAACCACATACCTACCCACCTCACCCCACCTACCAAACACCAACACCCCAACACCAATCCCCCAAACAACCTCAACCTCAACACAAAATGAACGCCGCCTCCCTCGGCGACACCGCCCTCCAATCCTCCGACCCCACGACCGCAACCCTGCACTACACGACCGCACTCCTCACGCACCCCCGATCGCCCAGCTACTTCATCAAGCGCTCGACCGCCTTCTCACGCCTAAAGCCGACGCCGAATCTCCCCGCCGCGCTGCACGATGCCGAGTCCGCTGTGCTTCTTGCCCGCGAGCGGGGCAAGCGCGAGTTGATCGTCGAGGCGCAGATGCGCAGAGCCATCGTGTTGTTTCTCATGGGGAGGTATGTGGCTGCGGAGGGGGTGGTGGGGGTTGTGGAGCGGATGGTGGGGTTGGATAAGGAGGGGAATAATGGGGAGGATAAGGAGGAGGGTAAGGAGGAGAAGGTGATGAGGGCGATGGGGGGTGCATCGGGTGGTGCTGGGAAGGGTGTTGAGGCGGAGGTGAGGATTTGGGGGGCGAAGATTAGGGCGAAGGTTAAGGGTTTAGGTGGTGATGGGGAGGGGGATAGGGTGGAGGAGGTGCCGGTGGGGGTTAAGGTGCCTGGGGAGAAGGAGTTGAGGGCGCAGTTGGAGGAGTTGAGGGGGGGGAGTAGGAGTAAGAGTACGGTTGGGGGTGGTGGTGGTGGTGGTGATGAGGAGGGTAAGAAGGTTGAGGATAAGGCTGAGAAGGAGCAGCAGGAGGAGGAGAAAGCCGAGGTTAAGGAAGCTCAGCAACAGCAACAACAGCAGCAGCAACAAGTCAAGGTCCGTCATGAATGGTACCAGTCCGGAGAGACGGTTGTCGTGACGTTGTACGTGAAAGGCGTGCCTAAGGATAAAGTGGCTATTGAGCTGAAAGAGGACTCGGTATGTATTCCCCCATCCTATATTCATAATACATGATGCTAATTTAATTCGTAGACATCCCTCCAATTCCCCCTCCCCTCCGGCGCCGAATACGACTTCACCCTCGACCCGCTCTTCGCCCCCATCGACCCCTCCACCTCCAAGGTCTCCGTCTTCTCCACCAAGATCGAAATCTCCCTGCGCAAGAAATCCCCAGGCCAGAAATGGAGCGCCCTGGAATCCTCCACCGGAATTACTCCACAGCCAGTTACAACTACAGTTGCACCCACTACCACCACCGCGCAAGTCAAACCACAAGCCCAAGGCCCATCATACCCTACCTCCTCCCGCCACGGCGCCAAAGACTGGGATAAGCTCGCTTCAAGCCTAACCCAGAAGTCGAAGAAGGACAAACCCAAGAATAAAGACGCGACTAAGGCAGAAGGAAAAGGAGAAGATGAGGATGATGAAGCATCCGACGCCGAATCCATCAACTCAGACTTCGGCGGCGGCGATGCCGTCGACGGGTTCTTCAAGAAACTCTATGCGAATGCGGACCCAGATACTCGTCGCGCTATGGTGAAGAGTTATGTGGAGAGTCAGGGGACTTCGTTGAGTACGAATTGGGATGAGGTCGGTCAGGGACCGGTTAAGGTTAGGCCGCCTAGTGAGTGATTTCTTTCTTTTTATCACTCTTTCTTGGTTTCATTAAGAGGGGGTGGGGGAAGAAAGAAGGAAAAGGGTGGGAGAGGAAGGGGGAATGCAAATTGCAAGCGTGGAGTTTAATTTTATGGTCTACTTACTATCCATGTTGTGGGTGCATGTGGGTGGTGTTCATGGTTTGGTAGTTTGATTTCTTTAATTCTCTTTGTTTTCTTGTCTTGCTGGTTGTAGCTTAGCTCTGCTTTGCTAGTAATGGTAATCTGGTTGAGATTGAGACTGTGGTATTAGTACTTAGCTGGAAACAGGTACGTAGACTACTGCGAAGTATGCGTCAGTAGAAGCAAGTATAGTATGAGATAATACTATATACACGAAATAACACCCAACCCAGTCAAACGCCAATTAATGAGCAGCAAAAGTAGCAAGAGTAGCATAGCATAGCATAGCAACCTGGCCATATAGCAAGCAAGCAAGCAAGCAAGCAAGCAAGCAAGCAAGCAAGCAAGCGCTTTTATGATAATTCAATCAATCAATCAATCATCCCCAACCACAAACACCAACACCAACACCAATCCATCTTTCTTTATGTCTTCCCAGAGACATGATCAAGAATAAAAGAAGAAGAAGAAGAAGAAGAGAATCTTATAAGCAAACGCATGTTTCATCTCGCCTCTGCATCCACCTCACTTCCATTTCCATCCTGATACAAGAAGAACTGGATAAAGATACACATATCCAACAACAACGTGCCAAAGCTTCCAATCAGCCAAGACAGATTCACCAGAATATACCGACCATACAGCGAGGCCAATTCATCAGATCGACACCGACCATGGTGTCGGCGTTGGCACACGGGTGAATACGCCAGGATGGACAGTACATAGGTCAGATTGCCGATACAGGCGAAGAGGAAGAAAAGTAAGGATACCCCGTCTGTTGACTTGCGGCGGTAGTTGAGGAGGATCTGGGGCAGACGGGATCCGAGGTATAGTACTGCGCAGAGGTAGCCGAAGACTTGGCCTAGTGTGTCCATTTTCAGGTCGTCGGTGCTGTCTTTGTGCTTGTTGTTGTTATTGTTGTTGTTGTCTGAAGAAAGTGATGACCGCTGGCTGATGTACCAGCCTAGGATGCCGGCAAAACAGACGAGGATGATGGCCGAGCCGTTGAAAAAGGTGGCTTGGAGCATTGTTAGAGTTCGAGGTGGACGGGGTTGCTTGGTAGGTTCGACGAGGGGAGTCGCTGGGGAGAGGTGAGTTCCGTCGACGGTCGTGTGAAGGAATGAAGAGGCGGAGTGACGGCGATGGGCGAGCAGGGGTTGGTGATGAGGGGTGATTGTTGCCGATGATGCTGGGCTGCGGGTGTCCAGAGGAGCCTGGTAAGAGGCACTGCGGCGTTTGGAAGAAAGCAACGCGGTGTGCTCTGTGGGTTTCCGAGGCACGACAGGAGAGGGAATCTCCGTGTCCTCGTCGTAGGCATCCGTCGTGATGGGAGATGCAGGTCGCGGTGGCGTGGATGGCTCGTCGCGCAGGGTGAATCCCCGGTAGTAGAAGCATTGAGCTAGGAGCACCACATCGGCTAGGGTGTAGTATACCGCAAGAATGATCATGGTTGGCAGCACGCCCTGCAGGACGGCGCCCAGGATGTTGAACACATCGCCGGCAAGCCAGACGATGAGGAAAAGAAGCGATAGGCCATCAGCTGAGCCGCGACGGAAATTTTCGATGATCTGTGGAGAGAAGACAACAACCCAGCACGCAATCGAGATGGATCTATGTCGGTGGTCAATATTAACACATCCAATTCTCTCTAGTCTGGCGTAAACATACCCACATATGCCACTCAGTGCCTCTAGATCTATATTGCCGGTGACTGCGGGAAACATGTCCGGACTGTGCGAACGAGAGAGCGATTGGGCGTTTCCCCAATCAATGCTCTACTCTATAGTCTAAACAGAAAGAGGCAAGCAAAATCGGTCGACAGCAAACAAAGACGCGTTGAGGGAATGAAGCAGATGGCCGGCGATGACGTTCGCAGAGTCTGCGAAGGGTGCAGATCACGTGGGGCGATCCGGGGTAGCTCTCTCAGTCTAGACCAAGAATGGACACCCAGATCGACTGCTTCCACTTTTCTTCTTCCTGGTGACGCTTTGTTCCTTGTCTCGACGACAATATCCTGCATCATCTATTCTGGTCTTCTGACCATTCAGTGCCATCTGATTTAGCAAATTTTCCCCCCGTGTAGACCTACCATTCATTTCATCCTCCATAGAATTGCGTACGTCATGTGATTGATTAGTCAAGCCTGACGTCGGTCATCAACCATCGCCCATCTGAACCAATTCTCTTGCAGCTTCAACTCTCTCAATCATGTGGCTTCAATGACTGCTCCAGCAATTCGGATTCCCTTTACGGGCCCTCTACCTCCGCCGATTATTGTCCCTCCGTCCGCACGCACGGTCGCAGGTGCCATTGATGCGCTCTTGACCTTTTTGACGGCCCCTCCGTCGCCGCATCTGCGCGGCGTTGATGTAGGCAGGCATTCCCAGACAGTGCTCTTGACAGGCGCTGGCATCTCGGTAGCTTCAGGCTTATCCGATTATCGGGGTGAGAATGGCACGTACATCACAAACAAGACGTATCGACCGATCTACTACCACGAGTTCGTTGCTCGCCATGAGTTTCGCAAGCGATACTGGGCGCGAAGCTTCATTGGGTGGCCTGGACTCCTCAAGGCGAAGCCAAATTCGACGCACTGGGCTATAAAAGACATTGGTACGAAAGGCTACATTAGTTCAGTGGTGACGCAAAATGTCGACTCCTTCCATTCTGTCGCACATCCCGAGCTACCCACTCTCGAACTCCACGGCTACTTACGTTCTGCGGTCTGCATCAATTGTCGAACTGAAGTTCCACGGGACGAGTTTCAGCAATCGCTCGAGAGGCTGAATCCGGCTTGGGCAGAGTTTCTCAAGAAAATGGTCGATATTGGTGCACTGAACGCGGACAACCCTGAGGAGCAGAGACGGAGGGGCTTGAAAATCAACCCGGATGGTGATGTAGATCTACCAGAAGCCCCTTACTCGACCTTTCGGTATCCAGCATGTCCAACCTGTTTAGAAAAGCCACCCCGACTGCAGGACGGGTCCCAATCCCGGGTGGAGGTAGAGCGCGATGGGGCTTGGCTTCCAAGTTCTACAGCGGGGATTTTGAAGCCGGCGGTCATTATGTTTGGAGAGAATATCGACCCAGCCGTCAAGGTGGGTGCAGAAGAGGCCATCGACGATGCGGGCAGACTCCTTGTCCTGGGGAGTAGTCTTGCCACATACTCGGCGTGGCGCCTAGTGGAAAGGGCCTATAAGCGAGGGATGCCGATTGGCATCATCAACATAGGAGGCGTCCGGAATGAGTCGATCCTCTTTAGCAAGGCGGAACAAGAAACGGAGGCTGTATGCCGGCATGTCCGTTGCAGTCTCCCATCCCAGGACATTCTAGGCCCTGTGGCAGCACAACTGCCTTCACTTACTCGTCATTAGTGTCCTTGTATAGATTGAAGAGGATGTGATGTATAGATGACAGTGAGCTGTGTGACCCGTTCAGATAAGCAGCATAGTATAGTATATACAAGCGATCAAAGTCATAATTCAAGCTTGCGTCATTAGAGACGTTATTATTTCAAGATAGCAGTATTCATCAAGTGGAATAGTCTAGAAAAAGATAATTATAGCCACGCCAAATTGATTGGCAACGGCGAGTTGGGGGCAGGCATGAAATAGACGCCGGGATACTAGTGGAGACCAGGCAGGCAAGACTGAGGAGAAGGGAAAGTGATGGCGGGCCAGTCAGCCGCCCGTCCGCTGTTCGATGCCAGCGCGGGGCTCTGCATTCGCCGGTTCAGATCAGCATGGACATGGACGGTCGCGACCGCTCAAAAAGCAAGACATTGCAACCTCCAACCTCCGAATATCTGGATCTCATCTCTAACTTGGCCTCTCCCAAAACTTTTCTCTTCCATCCTCCGCGCTCCACCTCTCGTTCGCATCCAACTCCTGCTGCGCAGAGTACCACCGTCGCGCCATCAACCACCATGGACAAGCAGCAGCCCAGCTCCTTCCAGCAGCTGGAAAAGGTGTGTTTTGATAGCTTCCCTACCATAGACTGAGAGATTACCCAGTCAGACAGAAAGTCGTGATGCTAACTGCTGATTCTAGCTCGGAGAAGGCACCTATGCCACCGTACGAACCCCTCCCTCCGCACGGCCGATCCTCTAAATCGCACGATGTACTGACACTCACACAGGTCTTCAAAGGACGCAACCGCCAAACAGGTGAGCTGGTTGCCCTGAAAGAGATCCACCTCGACTCCGAAGAGGGAACACCATCCACCGCCATCCGAGAAATCTCGTTGATGAAGGAGCTGAAGCACGAAAGCATCGTCTCGCTCTATGATGTGATTCACACGGAGAACAAACTCATGCTCGTCTTTGAGTACATGGACAAGGATCTGAAGAAGTATATGGATACCCGCGCCGACCGCGGTCAGTTGGACCAAGCCACAATCAAATCATTTATGCACCAGCTTCTCAAGGGCATTGCGTTTTGCCACGAGAACCGCGTCCTCCACCGCGATCTGAAGCCTCAAAACCTCCTGATCAATAAAAAGGGACAACTCAAACTTGGAGATTTCGGTCTCGCCCGTGCCTTTGGCATCCCCGTCAACACTTTCTCCAACGAAGTCGTGACCCTGTGGTACCGTGCCCCGGATGTACTTCTGGGCAGCCGCACATATAATACGAGCATCGACATCTGGTCTGCTGGATGTATCATGGCGGAACTCTACACCGGCCGTCCTCTGTTCCCCGGCACCACCAACGAAGACCAGCTTATCAAGATCTTCCGTCTCATGGGTACCCCTTCGGAACGCTCATGGCCCGGCATCTCCCAGCTCCCGGAGTACAAGCCAAACTTCCACGTCTATGCCACGCAGGACCTCAGTCTCATTCTCCCCCAAATCGACCCCCTAGGTTTGGATCTTTTGAGCCGGATGCTGCAACTACGACCAGAGATGCGGATTAGTGCCCAAGACGCACTGGTACACCCCTGGTTCCGCGATCTTCCACAATTGCAGGCACAGTTGCAGCAACAGCAGCAGCAGCAACAAATGGCTGGAGCGTATGGCGGCATGGTTCCCCAACAGCAAGCATACTGAGATTCTTCCTTTGATCCGTCTTTGTTTTCCTTCTAGTTCGTTTTCATCATGTACAGCCTTTCGTTTACCTTGGCTTTCGTTCATCTGCCCCCTTCGTGGAAGGCTTGACGAGCAACGGATTCGGTTTTAGAATGGGGAGAGCGCGGCGTTTGACTCCTAAGAGGACATTCAAATGATTCTTTCTGTTTTCTCTTTCTTTGCGGTGCATATGGCCGATGGCATTTCGTAGATAAACTTGATCATGATATTCAACGTTCGCTCACCAATTACCTTGCCTGTCATAGTGATTTGTAACTTTTACTAGCAGCAGCAAACGACTATGATATTTGATGCAGACATGCTTTGTTCCTGGCGAGCCTTTATTAACTAGTCTCTATAGAGCCCTAAAACATATACAGTAACCAATTTCAGCTCTTCATACATCCAGCGCAACCGCAACATAGCAAAAGAACACGATGAATTTATTGAACCTAATTCAAGCACAAGACACATAAGTAACCCCACAAAGTGTACTAAACAGGTACCTAACCCTGCGATATATAGAGGTACCCGACCCATCTACCCAGATCTATACCAATCACGTGATACGTAGTAGTCGCGCGTCTCCCGGCGCGTCTCCCCAATCCCCATCAATCAATCAACCAATCTCCATACTTAATCCTACAACCACAAAACAACAACAACAACGACCCAAAGGAGCCTCCGAAACAAACCATACCTCAAGGCATAACATCACGAAAATACCGCACCCCGATAAAACTCCCCAAGTACCTACCTACCTACCTACCTACCTCAACCCCGCCCAACCCAACCGACGAACGAAACGAACGCAATAAACCAAACCATGTCCACCGAACCGACCACCCAAAGACCAGGCGCCTCGCCCTCACCACCGCCTCCCGCGCCAGTCCCCCTAACACCCGGCCCGCGCGCCTCCAAACTCCAAGAGATCTTCGACAAGGCGCTGGCGCGCACGCTGCGCGCAAACTCGTACGCGAATTTCAGCGGGTGTTTTCCGACGCCGGCGAAACATGTCCCGGCTAGTTTGGAGAGTGTGTGGAGACAGTTGAATGCGAAGTTGGAGGAGAGTGCCAAGGCTGAGTTCGAGGATATCTTGGCCGAGAGGGATGCTGTTAGGCAGTTGAATGAGTTGGATCGGTTGGTTGGTGAGGCGAGGGTTAGGAAGGAGAGAGGGGTGGGTGGGGATAGTGTTGCGTATGTTTTTCCCCCTTTCTTTCTTGACAGTTTTGTTTGTTGCTATTTGGTATTGTTGGATTGGGGAAGAGGAGTGGATGATGGATGGCTAACTGGTTTATTTGTTGGTAGGCCGCATACGTTGAGTCCGGAGGAATTGTACAAAGCGCATCTGTTGCCGCATCTGATGGAGACGCAGGCTGATTTGGATGCCAAGATTAATTCGGTGCAGAATCAGAATGCCGAGTTGGCTGGGAAGGTCCAGGCGCAGAGGTCTGAGATTGAGAGTTTGTTGTCCGGGTTGGAGGCTGTGGTTGCTGATTTGGAGGGTGCTGCCGCCGCGACGACGCAGTTTACGAGTGAGCATCAGCTTCGACAAGAAGCTGCGCAGATGGATGGAGAGGTTAAGGCTAGATCCGAGATCTGATCTGGTGGCTTGCGATTTCTACGATGGCGGGGACAGGCTTCCCTTTCAACGTTCGAATGGGCCGGGGTATAGTATAACTACGACAACAATATCTCCATATCGCCGGGACCCATCCATCCCTCTTCGACCACATCCTCCGCAACGACCATCAGCTCCTTGGGCGCAGCTCTGCGAAGCTGCTGGAGTTTGTCCTTTTGGCCTGCCAGTGCAGCGGCGATGGCCTCCTTGCAAGTTCCGTCTCGTTCTTCATCCGCAGCACCGTCCCTCTTTGCCAAGGCTGCTGCACCGCGGTAATAAGTCTGGGCGTTGCGCAGCAGTGTAGCTGCGTTGTCTCGGGCCATGTTATAGTCCCATGGAGCCAAGCCAAGCCTCCACCTACCCATCTCCACGTCTCCCCGTGCCAGATGAATCTTTGGCAAGTTTTCAGCAGTGGGGAGTTTGGACGCTTTGCTCAGTGCGTCCAAGGCAGCGGACAGTGATTGCCATCGAAGAGACAGCGCTTTCGCAAAGGCCTCCGGCTCATACGGAGGGAGATCTGTGAGCGCCGTGTTGAAAGAAGTGAGCGCGTCGGCTTTGCTGCACAGACCATCCGGGTCGTTGGATAGATCTAGATCGGGGCCGAAAGCTCGTGAGACTTCTTCGGAGTATGTTCCAACTTCAGTCCGTCCGCTTCTGTACAGGACCTCATTCAGGGCGCAGGCGAACTTGGCACGAGCCAGAGTGGCCTCGTAGTGCCTGTTTGACCCCTCGACATATGCTGAGATTCGTTTCTGCAGCTGCTCGGATGAATACTCTTCTACCCAAGTGACTCCTACTTCCGGGTTGAATGTGAGTAGGTTACAGAGGCTTGTGATGGCATCCAGTTGTGCCACAGCAGTGTCGACGAGTGTGTCCTTGGTTACGGGCTCAACAATCGCAGCCCATTGTTCTTGCTGATCTGAAGACTTCGAATCGTCCGCAGGTGGCATTTCTGGCGGTGTATCTTGCATCTGCGTTTCAGCAGGGTCTGTTCCGCCGGACGTCATCTGGTTGATCTGCTCCTGCATTTCGGTGTACTTGAGTTCCTGTACAGTTAGGCAACGTTGGAAGAGTTCTATGGCTTCTTGCAAAAGCTTCACTGCCTGGGAGAGCCGGTCATCCGATGGACGTTTGGCTTCGGTCAAGGCCTCGGCAATGCTGGTGAGTACTTGGGCTGTGTTGAAGAGCGCATCTGCATTGTCTTGCTCCAGGTCAAGCGCTGCTCTGTGAGAATCAAGCGCTACTCGCAGTACGTCCAATAGCGGCGCAGACAGCTGAGCAGCTAGCCTGGGATGTTGTGTGATTTCATACTGAACTCTCGCTCTATCAGACGTCAGTACCTAAGGTTACTTACTGATGGACGCGGCCATAATGAGTAGATAGAGCAACAATGAAATCGGATGGCGTATGACGTACTTGTTATAAGCCAGGTCAAAAGCAGTGGGATGTTTGCTCAAGCCTTCGTCATAGGTATTGATGGCGCGCATGAAGAAGCGCAGGGATTTGGCTGCATCTCCGGCGCGCCATTTCTCTCCGGCCTCTTCCTGTTCGACACCGACTGGAACATTATTGGTTAGCTAGACGGCAATATATGACAGGCGATTGACCAAATGAATATAATTCAGTTCTGATGCTGGGTGACTCACGGGCTAGGTATTCATCTGCAGTTTCCGGGGCCTATGCAGTAGTATTAGAGGGAAAGTAGTACTCGCGGTCGAAGGGTCAATTGAGCATACCCGCTGTGTCGCCTTTTTCTTATTAGGCTTGGTGTCCTTGAGGAAAGACTTTGGCTTGGGCATTTTCAGCGTTCAGGTGCGGCCAGAGTTTTCCGATGAATAGATTCCTCGGAGCAATAAATACAAAGCACAGTGGATGTTAGGCTAAAATATGTGTATCAAATGAGAAGCTGCAAAATCAACAAGTATATGATGACGTCCCGCGATGTTTTCTTCGAAAATAAGAAAGACGAGGGGTAGCTCCATAATGCCGGCGTTACGGAGATACCGCCTTAGCGCCCGCTTTGAGATTAGTAGGGAGTAATATCCCCCGTCTAATCATAAATATAGTACTTTTGACAGACTTAAGATAAATTAAGTGGCCCAAAAATTCATTTAGATAAGATGAGATTCTATCTAGCTATCAGAACTATAAAACAACGGGCTTATCAACTGATACTATGAGCGGTCAGCACCTAGTCTACTACTAGTCCATGCTGAGTGGACTGCCCTACACGGAAATTCACCGTCGGAGAAGCACTCCCGCTCCAATGCAAGTCAGCCAGAGTGATAGTGTGCAAGCAAATCCCGTAAGTCTGGCCAAACAAGAAATGATATTCGCCCTTTGCCCTTCAACAACCGGCAGCGGTGTCGTGCATATTGAAGATCCTTCAGACGGGACGGAGCAATCAATCAATCATGCATGTCTTACATCGTTTGCAGTCTTACAGCCAGTTTTCTTACTACTCAAGACAAGACAGGAAAAAAGGAATTTCATAATACATCACATGTTATTATTGTATGCCAAACACTATTGAGTGAGTTGGCACGGAAGAACCGGGAGTAGGCGGAGGGAGTAGAGAAGGTTTGCTGGGGTTCAAGGACCAAGGAAATGGGGGCCGCTTGGTGGATGAAGAAGATGCGTTGCTGCTGCTGCTGCCATCGTCGGATCCGCGTGGCTGCCCACTTGCCCGCACGTGGCGGGCCTGGCCGGGAAGGGCCTGAACACACTCTTACAGTTACAGTAAAGTAAGTAGTTAAGTTATCTAGTTAGTTTTCATAACTAATTGAAGTCAATAATCCTCCTAGTGGTGGAATTCCCGCTGTTTTAACTACGAACTAGTGGTGTATAGATATAGTTGGGTACCATCTGTGGCATTGTAAGAGAGACTTGGTTCTTTCAGTCTGAAAAATGAATCAAGAACGTGTGCAGAATACTCAAGAAAAAGCAAGCATCTCTAATTTAGTTTGCAGGCCTAAACTGGTAGATATTTAGTACTACTACCTCTCTTACGTACCTGGGAATAGGGGCAGCTGATATGGTATGATGCATCCACTCCGTTTGGTCTGCTCCTTTCAGCCAGCCGATCGCCAAATCCCTCAAGTATACTCCTACTCCGTAATTTCAAGAGCATGACGATCAATCCGTCGGGCGCGCAAGCATCCCTGTTTGGTGATGGCGCTCGTGTCTGCCGCCGACGTCCCAACAGAGTCCGGTGTCTCAGGCTGCCTGCGATGGTTTAGCCGGCCTCCAAATGGGTCGCATACCCATCTTTTTGTCCTTGCCGACCACTGCACTAGACACTAAATATTACTGGAGAAGCATGAGAAAAACGGGCTTGTAACCATACTAGTTAGTATGTACCTCACCACTATCAACTCTATCTATCTCTCGTGCCAGTTAACCAACAAAGTTCCCTTCACCCACAAAGATAAATACAAGATCTGGGCAAAGGAGGGGATCATAGAGAGAATCAGGACAGGAAAACCTTAAAAAGCCGTCCAAACGACAACCCCCCTCTCCAATCCTTTCCGACCGTCGACGAGGAAGAAGATTTTATCAGCATTGCGTTTTGGCGCCTGCCGGTGACCCACCCCATCCGCCTCCTTCGCCCCCGGCCTCTCCTGAGTTGAATGCATGGCACGGCTGCGCGCAGTCCTACACTCTCATCAACGACCTCGTTCTTGCTCTTACTCTTACTCTTACTCTTCCTCTTCTTTTGATTTTGCCCACGTCAGATATCTCTTCTGATCTATACTGATCGCATACAGACCCTGGAAGTAATTGACTGCCCCAAGGTGAGAACCCCTCTTCTCTCCAGCCCTGCTGATCCCGGCTCAATCAAGTGCCTTGAACCACTCGTCGGGATCATTCTCCCAGAAAAAAAAACTTCCCGATTAGTTATTGATACCTTGCCTTCCCTTTATTCCCTCCTTTATTTTCTCGACTGTGGACCTTTCCGTCTGCTTGTCTGGATTTCGCGTTTCTTCGGTCCTGCTGCAGTCGTTCCTTTGATATCCGCACCTCTTTTAAGTTCTCGCTTCGCTGACCGGGGTACAATTCCATCTTACAGGTTACGTACGGTCTTCCCGGAAGCCTCGCAGCCTTTGTCGTTCCACTATTCTGCACACGCTTTGAACTGCACGCAATATACGACCCACCGCATCCTACCACGATAGTGGACATGGCTAGACATACATCGCTTGAATCTGAGAGACCCATCATGGCCCAGTCGGTAAGTCTACATGGACTACGTGCGATGTCCACGCACTTATCGCCGTCGCAATCTCGTCTGATTCGATCATAGGCACGTACCTCCAAGCGGTTCTCGACCGTCAGCGAAGCCCCTACGGTCGCCTCGTCGGAAACCACCTTTGCAGGTCTACCGGCCGGAGACCCCAGACTGGCCGATTTCCACAATCTCCGCGATGGACTGGAGCGCCTGGAAAACAAGCCCCTTCTGAAGCAACGTTTCGTTCCCACCCCGGAGAAGACCGATAACTTGAGCAAGTTGGCATTGGGTGCCAAGGTGGAGCGCGCCCTTGGACGTAGAATGACCAGCCAGGACGCTGTTATGCGAGAACCCGTGCTGAACGAAAAAGCGGTGGTGGAAGCCCCGTGAGTTGTTGCGGACGTGTCGTGTGGTGTTGACCGAAAGTTTGCATTTTGATACCTTACTACTGGACCTTTTGCTCCCTGTCCCCATGGCCACCTGGGCCACGGCTGTTCTAATGTTGCATGTTTTCCCGGCTTGCCAGATTTCCCCTGCGGCGGGTTCTATGACCGAGTTCGATACCCGTCTTGATGAGAAGCTTATCTTTACCTGTCTATCATACCCCCCTTCTGAGCCAGCTATCTACTTTTGATTTGATGCGATTTCGCTGCGTGTACCAACCTTAATCTACTGTCTGATAGCCATCTACTTATTTGATTACTGGGATGATCCTGTGATGTTTATGAGGGGGTGTGGTATTGTGTCGGTTCCGTTTACTATATGACAAAGGAGCACGCTGATGATTGGATATACGAATCCGAGATCTGCCAGTGATCTATGTTGTATACAGCTCTCTAGACTATGTATTGTCTACATTTTGAAATAGGAAACAAGCAAGAATTTGAACCCCGATACATTCTACGAGAAATGGCGAAGAAAGAGTGCTTCGTATTACAGGCTGTGCATCGTAAATGGTAGTAGAACAGCTATCGGTTGAGGGTCCAGCATCATCGCCAATGAACGGGTCTGTTCGGGGGCGATTGAATCCACCGCATGCTGATATCATGGATGGCAAATGGACTGGCCTACCGCATTGTTTCACTGCGTCATCAACACAGATCCGACAGCGATTTCGTTTACAAATTATGTACTACTATTGAGTGCCAGCCCCATGATTCTATGTAGATTTGGGTCCTACCGTCTGTATATCTGATCGATTGAAGTAATTGGTCTTATTCCGCCCCAGTATTGCCACCACCGCTGCCACATTTTGTCACTGATCGCGGTCGTCCAGTCGATCGACGAGATGCGCCCGTGAATCATATCAGCCAGAAGTAGCAGGCGGTGAGCTCGGGGCCAAGCGCGATATGTCCCAATGAAGACTAGCGCCGGGCACTTCTGGGTTCGGCTGGATTTTGCACCAGCAAAAACGAACGGCTTGACTGGCCCTTCACCTCAAAGTCGGCTCTCTCTCTCTGCGCTGCTGCTCTCAGCAACCTCTCGTGTCTCTCCGTCCACCCTGTTACTACTAGCTGTTACTTACCACACTCCCCCAAACTTAACTTCCCTCACCACTCTTCAACCACACACACACACCCTACTTACCACCTCCCCTCACCCTCCACATATACACAAACACCCCATCTTCCTCTTCATATTTCCTTGCAATTATCATCCTCAGCCAGTTTTTCATCTGCTCCCACCTCTTTGTCTCTTGAAACAAGCTCCGTCTCTCTTCGTCCCCGTGCTTTTTCCCTCCCGAATCTGTTGCCTCGGGCTTTTCCCTCGCACACTCAATTCCGGAATCGCACAAGGTTCTTTCTGTTATTAACCTCGACGACTCCGACGCGCCACCTTCTTACCTTTCATTGACCTTTTCTTTTCTTTTTGATTCACTTCATTGCGCCTTCGGGGAGCAATTTGTTCGCACATTTCACGTTGTAAGTCCTTCATTTTCACCTGCAATCGTGGCCCGGATCCCTCTGCCATGGCCATATACGTCCAAGCTTCAAAAGCACTGACAAATACCAGTATCGGGGAATATTTCTTACTAGAATTTTTTCCCTTACCTCGTCGCATCAAGCCTCGCATCCTATCCAGCATATCCTTTTGCTTGGCCTTTCTCTCTTAGACTTTTATCTTTCTTTTTCTCGAGCCTCCAAGTTTCATTCATTTCACAATGGCCGACACGACCCAGGCTCCTATGAACGGCGGCTACCCTGCGCAACACGCTTACCCCGACACCTTCACCCACGCCCCCGCAAACGTCAACAGCGCGGCCAGCTTCCAGCCTGCGCCCTCCTCTACTCCCTCGAACGCCCCCGCAAATGACCAGAAGAATGGTATCTCGAAGGATGAGGTTGGCTGGTACTTCGTGGAGCAGTACTACACCAACATGAGCCGCAGTCCGGAGAAGCTTCACCTCTTCTACTCTCGGCGTTCTCAGCTCGTTTTCGGCACCGAAGCTGAAACCGTCCAGGTTGCTGTGGGCCAGAAGGTGCGTGTTGATATCTCAACTCCATGGGATCTATTCCTGTCCAGTAAGGTCTAATATACTGACATCATCGTTACATTATAGGCTATCAATGACAAGATCAAGCAGCTTGACTTCCAAGACTGCAAGGTCCGTGTCTTGAACGTCGACTCTCAGGCCTCATTCGATAACATCCTGATTTCTGTCATTGGAGAGATCTCGAACCGGTCCGAGCCTTCCCGCAAGTTTGTGCAGACTTTCGTGCTGGCCGAACAGCCCAACGGTTACTATGTCCTCAACGACATCTTCCGGTACCTTGTCGATGAGGAGGAGATTGAGCAAGAAGAAGCTGCTCCTGCTGCCCCTGCTGCCCCGGTTGAGGAGCCGGCTGCTGAAGAGCCTGCACAGCCTGCAGCTGAGACTGTCCCGGAGCCCGAGAAGGCCCAGGTAGACAGTGAGCCTGCCGCGGCTAAGGTCGACGAGAAGCTCGAGGAGGCCGAGCAGACTGCTGAGGCCAAGCCTGCCCAGGAGGAAGCTCCCCAGACCAATGGAACCGCGGCTGAGGAAACCCCTGTCGAAGCTGCCCCGGAAGCTGCTGCCCCGGTTGAGACTGAGGCCCCCAAGGCTGAGAAGCCCGCCACTCCTGAGCCCACCCCTGTGCCCGAGCAGAAGGAAGCTCCTGCTCCGGTCAAGGAGAGTGCTCCCGCCAGGGCGGTCCCTAAGACTTGGGCCAACATCGCCTCCAAGTCCGGTGCCTCGGCCCCTGTTGTTCCCGCTGTTCCCGTCGCTTCGGTGAAGCCTGCTCCCGCTGCCAGCTCTGCTCAGCCCACGGCTCCCGCCCCCGCCCCCGCCGCTGCTCCTGCTCCCGCGGCCGCTGCCGCCCCCGAAGCCGCGTCCAGCCAACCTTCCTCGACTGATGGTTCTGGCTGGCAGACTGCGGGCCATGATCACAAGAAGACCCAGTCCCGTGCGGGTGAGGAGAATGTTCTCGCTTACATCAAGAACGTCACCGAGAAGGTTGATGCGAGCTTGCTCAAGCAGACCCTGTCTCGCTTTGGCAAGCTGAAGCACTTCGATGTGAGCCGTGCTAAGGTATGTCACCTCTTAACCCACCCGTAATCCAGAACAGAGAAGGAAAGGCTAACCTTGCGTAGAACTGCGCCTTTGTCGAATTCAGTGATGCCGCGGGCTATGCTGCCGCTGTCGCTGCCAACCCCCACCAGATTGGATCTGAGCAGATCTACGTGGAGGAGCGTCGCCCTCGTACCAATGCCTTCGGTAACGGTAGCTACGGTGCGGGCCGCGGTGGCGCCGGTCGTGGTCGTGGTGACCGTGCGGGCAGCCAGGGCCGGGGAGGCTTCCAGCGCGAGGGTCGCGGAGGCTTTGCCCCCCGTGGCCGTGGCGGCAACGTCAACGCCAAGGGTCGCAACCAGGCCCAGGCTGCTTAAGCACCTTTACAAACAAAAGTACCTCTTGACGTCTAACGAAGAACGACGAGCGAACGTAAGCGGTGGTCATTTCAGTGGACCTTGACCGCTTCGTTCTAATCCCATTCTTTCCTTTTTTCTTTCCCCCCTTTACAAAGCCTTATATGATTCCTAGCCCTTCCTCCTGGCTTGAGACGGTATACGGGTTTAGATGCTCACGGCGATCCAGGACATGTATTACTCTCCCCCTTTACTTGATAATGACATGTGTTATGTGGCCCTCTTGTCACAGTGCATATTAGCGGTTGGAAAAGTTTTCTTATCATCTTCTCACTGGGCTTTGCTTGGTCGTCATCATGACTTTGGTTTCCTCTTCCTGTGTTGCCATGACCTCTTTATTTTCTCTAACCTCTTTGATGGCTCCTTATCTTCTTAGCATAGCGAGCTGAATGCCCATATTTCTTTCATCTCTGATCTCTGGTGGCTTTTGACCTCCCATTATCATTGTTTTTTTCTTTCTCTCCTACCATGTTGACGACCGTCGCAGTCCATCTCTGGCTTCTTAGTCCTGGCTCCTGCTTAGTTACACTTCTTTCCCTGGCTTCTGGTTCATTGTTTCTTATTTGCGGCCTCGTCATGTTTTGAGGAGTGTAAATGGATGGCTTCTTGCTGGAATGTTTCTTCATTATTACGTCTCTCTCATTTGTGTGCCGTACTGTCCTTGGGGGCTAGCTCCCCCGGGGGGTTCAAGGGCTACAGGGCGGTGGGTAGCGGGCGGTGTTGGCTCAGGATGATTGTTGTTGCTAATTGTGCAACCACAATGGAGCAATACAGATACAAGAAAAAAAGATTGAAGACATCTACAGAAAACAATCAAACACAAAAATCTCGCTAATGACTTGACGCCCTGTATGTAGTGAAATGACTGTAATCAAGGTGCGATAAAGGGTGATCAAGGTCCCCAGCTGGCGCAAGTAGGGTAGAGACACAGCAAGCAAGGTTTGAGGGTCCAGTTGGGGAATTGAGTCAATGGCTCATGTAGTGAATGGTTATTTCTTCAGGTCAACTACCATGTGGGTACAGAGTACTTCCAGAGGGCTTGCCTGAACTGAAGTGACACATACAGTGAAGTACTGTATGTAGTAGTAATTGATGGTAGCCGTGGTAACATTGGTTACTATGAAAGCACACAAAGCGGTCAGAGTGATAGCAGCTCGGGATTGGCTGGGAATGGGGGAATGGAGGGGAAGGGAAGAGGGAGGAAGAAAGAGCGGAACGTTCTAGATAGTGGGCCTCAGGCAGCCAGATCGCCCCCCGGAAGTTATCGCCAGCAAAAAGAAGCAGGAAGACATCTGGGGAAGTTCCCCCCAAGCATATCTATACTAGATAAGTTACTCAATGGAGCATAACCACTGAACCCCCCAACCAGTAGGGGGGTGGCAGATGCCGAGCAAAGGGGAGAAACAGGGCTGGTTAGTGCCTGGCACGCTGTGGGCAGAAGCATCTAGATCCCGCAGCTGGAAGGCGCTGGAACATCCTGGGGGGGAAGCTTGGGAGTGTCGAACAGTAGCTGGAGGAGCAGCATGGAATCGGTGGAAGTTGCTGGATCGCCGTAGAAACGCCGCACTGAAATTTTGTGACGGTCCGCCCAAAGAACATTAAGGTCCCGCCCCGTCGCCTGTTCCCTTCGGTTCACCAGCTATTTTTTCTCATTCTTCTCTTCCTCTCTCCATCCTAACTCTTTAATCACTCTTCCCTCCCTCTCTCCATCTCCCTTTTCTTTCTGTCACCTTGTGGGCAGTTCTTCATCTCCTTTCCTCCCATTTTGTGATCCGTGATTCAATCCTCCCATTAACCCTTTCATAACTACCTCCCACCTTTCCATCCGTTTTAGGTCAGTACTAGTTATACTATCCCTCCCTCTCCCCACCTTGAAGCTCTGACTCAGCCACTATCGTTTGCGTGCAAACTTGGCTCAGAGCGGGAGGCAAGACAGAATTTCTAGAAATTTCTGCCCTTTTCTTGCCTTCCTTCCCTCTTTGTCAACAAATATAAAGACTCTTCCAATTCCCCTTCCGTTTTCAACCCACTTCTCTCTTTCTCCACTTCAGAATCATCTGGAGGAGCTTGTCATTTCGCTTCCTCTTCCGCTTCCTCCCTTCTTTTTACTGACATCCCTACCCCTCCTTCAGAAACCAGTCTCTCTCCTCCTACCGCCACCATGTCTGCCGAGACTTTCGAGTTCCAGGCTGAGATCTCTCAGCTCCTCTCCCTCATCATCAACACTGTCTACTCCAACAAGGAGATTTTCCTGCGTGAGCTGATCTCTAACGCCTCCGATGCTCTGGACAAGATCCGCTATGAGTCCCTGTCCGACCCCTCCAAGCTCGACTCGGGCAAGGATCTCCGCATCGACCTGATCCCCAACGCTGAGGCCAAGACCCTCACCATCCGTGATACCGGTATCGGTATGACCAAGGCTGTAAGTTCTTTCCATCAATCACTCCCCGCTCTTTCCTCTGCCATTGAGCAGTAGACGTTCCAAGTTTAGAGCGAATTCTGACTGTAGACTTTCTTTTAGGACCTCATCAACAACCTCGGTACCATTGCTCGCTCTGGTACCAAGCAGTTCATGGAGGCTCTCTCCGCTGGTGCTGATATCTCCATGATCGGTCAGTTCGGTGTTGGTTTCTACTCTGCCTACCTTGTGGCCGACCGTGTCACCGTCATCTCCAAGCACAACGATGACGAGCAGTACATCTGGGAGTCCGCTGCCGGTGGTACTTTCACCCTCACCCAGGACACCGAGGGTGAGCAGCTTGGCCGTGGTACCAAGATCATCCTTCACCTGAAGGATGAGCAGACCGACTACCTCAACGAGAGCCGTGTCAAGGAGGTTGTCCGCAAGCACTCCGAGTTCATCTCCTACCCCATCTACCTCCACGTCCTGAAGGAGACCGAGAAGGAGGTCCCCGATGAGGAGGCTGAGACCAAGGAGGAGGAAGAGGGTGACGAGAAGAAGCCCAAGATCGAGGAGGTCGATGAGGAGGAGGAGAAGAAGGAGAAGAAGACCAAGACCGTCAAGGAGAGCAAGATCGAGGAGGAGGAGCTTAACAAGACCAAGCCCATCTGGACTCGTAACCCCGCCGACATCACCCAGGAGGAGTACGCTGCCTTCTACAAGTCCCTCTCCAACGACTGGGAGGACCACTTGGCCGTCAAGCACTTCTCCGTCGAGGGTCAGCTCGAGTTCCGTGCCATCCTCTACGTCCCCAAGCGTGCTCCCTTCGACCTGTTCGAGTCTAAGAAGACCAAGAACAACATCAAGCTCTACGTCCGCCGTGTCTTCATCACTGATGACGCCACTGACCTCATCCCCGAGTGGCTCAGCTTCGTCAAGGGTGTTGTCGACTCTGAGGACCTTCCTCTCAACCTGTCCCGTGAGACTCTCCAGCAGAACAAGATCATGAAGGTCATCAAGAAGAACATCGTCAAGAAGACTCTTGAGCTCTTCACCGAGATCGCTGAGGACCGCGAGCAGTTCGACAAGTTCTACTCTGCTTTCAGCAAGAACATCAAGCTCGGTATCCACGAGGACGCCCAGAACCGCCCCACTCTGGCCAAGCTCCTCCGCTACCAGTCCACCAAGTCTGGTGATGAGGCCACTTCCCTTGCCGACTACGTCACCCGTATGCCCGAGCACCAGAAGCAGATCTACTACATCACCGGCGAGTCCATCAAGGCTGTTGCCAAGTCTCCCTTCCTCGACAGCCTCAAGCAGAAGAACTTCGAGGTTCTGTTCCTGGTTGACCCCATTGACGAGTACGCTTTCACTCAGCTGAAGGAGTTCGATGGCAAGAAGCTGGTCGACATCACCAAGGACTTCGAGCTTGAGGAGTCCGAGGAGGAGAAGGCCGAGCGCGAGAAGGAGGAGAAGGAGTTCGAGGGTCTTGCCAAGAGCCTCAAGAACATCCTCGGCGACAAGGTCGAGAAGGTCGTTGTCTCCCACAAGCTCGTTGGCTCTCCTTGCGCCATCCGTACCGGCCAGTTCGGTTGGTCCGCTAACATGGAGCGTATCATGAAGGCCCAGGCCCTCCGTGACACCTCCATGAGCTCTTACATGTCCTCCAAGAAGACTTTCGAGATCTCTCCCAAGTCCTCTATCATCAAGGAGCTCCGCAAGAAGGTTGAGGCCGATGGCGAGGGTGACCGCACCGTCAAGTCCATCACTCAGCTGCTCTTCGAGACCTCTCTCCTGGTCTCCGGTTTCACCATTGAGGAGCCCGCCAGCTTCGCTGAGCGTATCCACAAGCTCGTCTCCCTTGGTCTGAACATTGACGAGGAGGCTGAGACCACCGAGGAGAAGGCTGCTGAGGAGGCTGCCCCTGCCGCCGCTGCTGCCGAGAGCTCCATGGAGGAGGTTGACTAAATGTTGACCGCATGATGTCACGATCTTCTTTTCGAGCAAAATGGAAATGAGATGTAACTGATTTTTTTTGATGACCCGGAAACTGTTCCAGCGGTATTTGCATCAGGGATCTAATATTCACTGAACGATATTGCGTTATTAATCGGAACGGCAAAGGATGGTTTTCCTTTGATCCTTTTTCTTTTTTTATTACTGAATCACGAATTCTACCTTTTTTTTCGGCGTTTTGAGCGTTTATTACCCCCAACCTAAATACATTCCGTCTGATCCGCTTGTGGTATTAGTACGGTAGATTTATCTCGAGAATAAAAGCTTTCTCTGTTCAACTTGATGCTCTCAACATAGGTCGTAGTATAATATGGCAGTAATATCTATCACTGTAGTTATTGTTTCCTGGTAACCCTTCCCAAATGGCATATCTACCTACATACATGATGATCGATTCATGAAGTCACTGGTCATCTTCATTCATTAATCCCTAGGTAATGCTCTTATGCTCGCTACAGTTATCTATAGCATACATATATGAGCAGCACCATGAACCAGGAGAACGTCAGCCCAGTCAGGGTCAGGTCAATATGCTGTCTGTCGACTTTCACCAAAATTGCTATTTGGTTAGTTAGTTAGTTGGTATATATCGACAGTACTACACGAACAGTAAGTACTATTAGTTGCCCGGTATTTCAGTGATGGTAGTAGTATTCTTTAGAAATACTAACTAAATAGTAGTGGTAGAAAGCCATACATACATACTACACAGTGAGTAGTGGGTACATGCACATACGTACTATATATACATGACCTTAACTTTTGTATGAAATATGGATTTATTCTTATATTGGGGGGAGGGGGGAGGGGAGAATGAGAGGGACTGAACTTACTAATAAGTACTAGTACTATAAATATAATCATGATTAAAGTAGGGAGGGATACGAGATGGTTAGATATATGTATTCATTATTTCCATGTAGATATATGTAGTTTGTAGTTAGTTATTGCTGGTAGTAATTGGACCTGTGAGTGATTTTCTTGTTGGAGTTAATCCAGCTAGATCACTAGTAAATTATACTTCAAAAGTTATGTATGTGTGTCTACTTCTGCAATCCTAGGAATAATGGAAACTTCCTGGTTTGTCCATATTACGAGTCGATTGACTGTAAGCTACCTTAAGGGAATTTGATCAAGGGAGGTACACGGATGAAGGGACTGAACACCTGGCCTCCCCGGTGACTTGTGTTGTGGTTCATGAGTACATTGTGCACATATCTTCATTAAATGTGACTCGAGGGGAAGTTGTATGCAATGGGAAAGCGCCAGAAAGGAGTATGGGTGGATGGAATGGGGTGAGGAAACGAGAGAGAGAGGAAATAGGTGGAAAGTAGAAACTTGTCTGTGGTATCGCCGGGGTTTGCTTGCATGCGAGTCAATCCAGTTGACGCCTGTTGCCCCAAGAACTTATGTGTCTCGCCGCTCTCGTAGCTGATTGAAGAGGGGATCATGGGAAATAGTAGAGTAGAAAGGGAGAGTAGGTGGATACAAGAAGAAAGTGCCCACCCTAATGAGTAAGGCTGGTTCACTCAATCAGTCGATCCGCACCAGTCAAAGTGCCATTCAGACAGACTGCGCGAGGATAGTCCCCATGCTTTGGCAAGCCAAAGAGCCAGCCCCCCGACAACTCCAAAGGAGCCCACAATCTGAACAATGGCCCAGCCCCGCCGCTTAAGGTCCTCGGACAACCAAACAAGTCCCAGAGGGTCTTGCGGGCGAATTCGGGCAAGGTGATATTCCACATTCTGCCCACTTTGTGCTCGAACAAGTAGACTGCCCCCGCTTGCTTTCTCCAAAGGAGCACGGAGTCCGCAAAAGCCTGGCGTTTGTGTAATGGGGACCAAAGACCCGTCGACTACGCACTCGCCTAACCGTTCTGTGAGCCAGACGGCACGCTCACCCCTGGCCATGGCAGCGTATCTCTCGCGTTCGTTTTTAAGGCTTTGTTGCAACTCAGATGCCCACTTTGCCAACTGCAAACGGGCCATTTTCTCCTCCTGTCGCGTGTGATCTGCTATCCGAGCCATAGTGTAGCTGGGAGAACCCCGGCTTGAGCCATGGTAAAATGGTTGTGTACTAGGTTGGGGGCGATTCGGGCGTTGCCAGAGATGTGCTCGTTGCTGTTGGGCTAGTTTCTTTGCAGCTGAGTGCCGCATCCAAGTCATATTCTCGGCGTCGAACAACCTCTGGACCAGCAAGGTCAATTCAGAGGGCACCAGGGGTTGGACATAGTCAGGGCTCATCAAAGTACTGGCATCCATAACATCGTCATCATTGGTTTTTGCCGATGATACCGCAAAAGGCAATTGTCCGTCAAAATCATCTGCTCCAAGACCTGCGTTTCCAAAAAGGAAGGGCTTGGCCGGAGTGGCTTGTGTATGCTTGTGGAACCCCGACTTAATTGCAGAGATCTGCTCAGGAGCCAACAAGTCAGCCTTGGATATTAGAGGAATGACATTGGTCCATTCGCATAGCGTGTTGATGCATTCCATGTCTGCCGCAAAGGTGTCTGATGGAAGGTGAGCTCGTATCATCAACGGGAGTGAACTAACCAAAAGCTCGGACTACATACCACCAGAAACGAGATAAAGTACGGCATCAACTTGGGTGCCACCCTGCCCTGCGAGCAAATTTTGGAAGTCGTGATCGCAGGAATCAATAGCTGTTGTTGCGCGGGATAGTTGTTGACGTATGTATTGTATGATGGCATCCACTTGTCCGATGCGACTCAGCGAGGTTGCAGGGGTATCAACGAAGCAAATATTTCGCTCTAAGACCACATCACCTGTACTTCTCCTACGGCGCAGCACGCGTGAATCTTCCAAATCTGACCACCAAGATGGGTAGGGCTTGGTGCTGGCGTAGATTTCTGATGTAGCTGACAACGGTAGTCGATGGGCTTGAGAAAGTTGAATCGTCGTAAGAGAAGTCCGTGACGGTGTCAAGGCATCGGTGGGTGGAAAGTCATCTACATGTACAATGTCTTCGCAAGCCTGGACGATCGACCTAATGAGGGATGATTTCCCAGAGCCTGGAGCATCGGTCAGCACGCACTCTGCAGGATCGCAGACACTACAAGATTGAAGATAAAAAGGGCTCACCAGAATCGCCCGCAACGAGTATTTTAAACCTTCCAAGTGACTTCCCACGAGATGTGAACGGTCTCCGACTAGGCATCTTGATGCTTGGCATGATGAACTGGGATGTGCTATCGTGGTCTGGGTTGTGGACAGATCGAGAATCATTGTCCTCGTCTCCGGAGGCAACCGCCTGACTACTCAAATCATCTGTGATAGAGATCTCATCTAGATGGCGCATAGATTGGTTCGAAGTAGATTTGGGACTGCTAGGGAGAGATGAAGGGTCGTCCGGGTTGCTGAGATTCAAGGGGGTGAAGGGCCGGGGAGAGATCAGGTCGGAGGTAATAGAAGCGTCAAGTCTGTTGGAATGAAGAGTATCAAGGGGCTTGAGCGTTGACCTGCGGCGGTTGAGGCCGGAACCCTGGTCGTCATCGTCCTCCTTATCGTCGCGGTTGAGAAATTGAGATGCTGTGGAAGTCGGTTCCACTCCGGCAGGATTACTACCGACTATCTGGTCTGACTGGGACACGGACGCAGGCTGACTAGTCTGAAGGATACTTTCTTCAAGGCTCTGTACGCCATACATACTCGTCCTGGATGCATCGGGCTCGTCTGAGGAGAGGTCATCATCGTGGTCGAGACCGTGATTGCGGGACAGAAAGAAGGTCGCGGGGGCGGCACTGCGGGGGTCGATCCACTGCTGCTCGATGGAGGCCTTGCGAGATCGAGGCAGCGCAACATCTGGCACTGGAGGTCTCATGGTGGAGAAAAGAAGCAGAAGTTACAGCGGCAACTCAATAGAGACCTTGCGGTGGCCAGACATCGAATAATACGCAGTCCGTGTTTGTAGTTGAGGAAACAGGAAGACACGCATTCCATCTCGAAGGAACGACGTTCGATCGATGCCTGCGTTTATGTCATCATCAGGCATTGGGTGATTGCCACGTGATGGAGCATCTGAGGATACCCCGCACCCTGATTAGCTAAGCCATGCATGCCGGCATGAACTTAGTAGTCACAGTTATTACAGTTATATACAGTTACTATTTAGATAGGCAATATAATTATATTTTTGGGTGTAAAGGTAGGGAGAAGAGTAGGATGTAGATGTAGATGTAAAGACTTATACGGTGTTAGTGTATACCCGCTCTGTCCACTGCCGAGAGAGAGTTAACTTGTAGCTTAGCTTAGTCCAACTAACTAGTCCTCGGGGCTGTCGGAAACTATTCCGAAGAACGGCGTCGCAATTATCCGAGTACATACAAATAATGAATAGAATTAATATGATTACTGTCCAGTTTACATTTTTTTTTTTTTTTTTTTTTTTCTGTTACCAACAAAAAGTACCGTATCAAAGAATAAGAGCACTAAATTTTTATTGGACGCCTCTTAGGTTATAACCAAAAGGTTAACGGACATGCTTAAAACATTATCTCAAGTATGTCGGGATTTGCGAGCCATGACCTGACTCGGATTTGCCGACCCTCTTTGGTGCGTAGGAGCCGGTATTTTATCGATAGAACCTCCGTACACATCCCGCACACCGCAGCAACAATAGACGCTTCGCCTTCCCAGCACCCTCCAATCGCGATGATCCAGTGCCTCCATACCCTCGTGGTCATGGCTGATCTGATCCCTCTTTCAAATTGAACCAGCTGTGAGAACTTAAACGTCATCCACCGCCAAGTTGATCGCGTGAGCAACGCCCTTCAATGGCACTAGCTTGCCCGTGTCTGATTGATGGTGAGCTAAGGGCGAAGCTAAGTAGCACGAAAGAAACAAAATAGCCCGCTCCTCCCTCTCTTTTTCTCGATGCCATTACGGAGAACATGGTAGCCTCTCTCTCCACTAGTCTTTCCATGCCGTCCACACAGTAACAGGCAATCCAGGCCCCTTTGTTGCACCATCAGTTGATTCCTGCCTAGGTGTTACTTATTTGACAGGGATTCGAGTATGGTATTTCCACCAAAGTAGCTAATGGGGTGAAATAACAGATACGACTAATTAACTCGTTAGCTGAGATTAATGTCGCCAAATGTTTCAAAAGATTTCCGCATCGGCTTGCACTAGCTTCAAATCTGCACCTAGAGATTACTAGATGCTTCGGCTGCAGGCTAGCCTAGCCTTACTTAGTTCAACGCCACCCTGCGAAACCGCTAGGTGAACCGAGCATGGCCAACAGCTCGCCAAAGGTTGTCAGACCATGATTCCATGATTCGACGACGTAATATCGAGCCGGCGCACTACTGGCCAGACTTGCGTGGTCTTAGGCGGCAGCCCGGACGCCCACCCGCTTCCTGCTAGTCCTGTTGACCGACTAGGGTGCTTAAAGTGGCAGAAGCTATGTCTAGTAGCTTCGTTCGCAATAAGCCCGCGGAGGCCAGTTGGGAATTGATCCAGCTTCATCCTGCTGCTGGACTCCGTACGAGGTAGGTGATAATGTGAGCATTCCTTGGCAGCTCGAGACGGCGAACTAGATAGAAGTATATCTACCCACTCACTACTTAAGTACCCACTCGGGGGTATATGAAGGTATCAGATTTGTCCGTGACATCTGCCTGTATCGAGAGAGAATAAAAAGGTGGTTTAGCGTTGGTGTGTTCTAGGGGTAGGGGTGCAATGTAACGAACAAAAAAGAGGAAAAGAAATCGATACGGGAACATCCGGGGCGCTCTTCATGCCAGTGCCTTCCGAAAGGCTTGCATGGACCCCAAGTAACCAGGGTCATCATACGAGCATGGGCGGCGTCCTTTCCCATGTTCTTCAGTATTTGAGATCATGATCATCGATCAGTTCACGTAGCCGAAGCGATGACCTTGACTCAAGTTCCTCAACTATAGATGAGCATGCAGAGCTCAGGCCATATTCTCCTAGAATTCGAAAGAAACTGGTTGTGACCGGCTTACTAGGCGGATATTATACTTAGTACCTGCACACAATAGTACTACTTCTACTAGGCCGTGAGCAACGCCAACCACTAAAAAGAAGCAAAGTTGAAAGGCAGGGGAGAATTAACCCGGCAGCCAGTCGTTGAAGGAGTCAAATCGTGCTGTTAGTTTAGCTTAAAGTTACCCTCTCCGAAGGGCTCCATTCTGACCCCTGCCTCTGTCGCCATTAGGTGGGGCCTAGTAATGTTACCCACTCACACTACCAGAGTACGTAGTAGACCATCTGCTGTAAGTAACTAGTGAAGTACTTTGTGTTTGGAGGGGGGGCCCCCCCGGGATGGAGCCCTCCGTGGATGGCAGAGCTGGGAGACAGGCTGTCTTCTTGAGAGCTGATTTGTCACATTCCCACCCCTGCAGAGATTCTGGGCCGTGGCCATGATCTGTCCCTGCTATTGTTGTTTTTATTCGTGCTATATCGTCACAAAACCAAATTGCTACGATTGCATCGAAGAAGAAGGGAAGCGTAGACGAAGAGCAGGAGATTCGCTGCACGCTGCAGGAAATCTGCCACACAGGACAACTGCTAAAAGTCAATATCTACACAAGCACTACTAACCTAGGTAGTATCATCTACTGTTCTCTAGATCCGGACCGTTATTATCCGCAGCACGAAGCTCCACACTATTATTTAGATGTTTATTGACCGGCCGTGATATGTGCGCAAATATCCCACGCCGACAATTTATATCGTTGGGGAATTGTGGGTGCGTATAACAAGATTTAATTGTGCGGAGGGCTGTGCTCAGTAGTAGTAATTGCTCCCATACCTGGATTTACCAGCCGAGAGCCTCGAGGCGGCTTTCCTTTTCAGCTGAACGACCCGAAGGAACAAGCATGGGTTATTTCTTGGTTTGGGTCTACCGAGCAACCCTTGGGATTCGGTGTGTCCTTTTTCCCGTTTTTACTCCCAGGTACCCTAAGACAGAGACAGGCTGGCAGTCCAAGCGCTAGATCGAATCCAGCCGATTGTCATCAACTCAGGCTCTGTGATGGGGCTTGTCCCAAACGGGCAAAGATGGCCTCTGCAGACCCAATGGAAGACAAGCAATAATTCTAGTATCATTGGACAGATAAGATTCCACTAGTAAGGTATTGGTTATGGTGATACAATACCAAGGTACCAGAGCGACCATACCTACTTGCCTAGGCAAGACCGACCCAAGTTGGTCTAGTCCCTTCATTCATTTCCCTTCCAATTCTCCGGTCGAAAGCTGCACTGCCGGGGATCCTCTTTCTCCTCGTCTTCTCCTCTCCTCTTCTCCGGACTGGCACCTCCGGACCAGATTGTGTCTGTAAAAGCCGTCGAACTTAACCTTTAGCGTTTTAGGGACTCCGAGGATTATCCACAATTATTCCACCCTCCCCCCGGTAATCGACTCACTCACCATGAACTAACTAAAGTCCACTCTCTACGAATCTCCTGCGCCGCTGTTGCCCCCCCCCCGCCCTCTGTCCGCTAATTAACCTTCCACCATGGCTTGAATGAATGGTACACCCATTTCTGCTGCTTCGCTATATTGTCAACAATTAAAAAAAATATTAATTCTCGACTACGGCAGGATTAATCTCTTGATTTTCACTTACTCTCTTGAGTCTAGTTCCTCAATTAATTTTGTTCTGTATCCTGCCTGTGCTCTCTGTCTTCCTTCCGTGGCCCCCTCCACCACCGCCGGTACCCTCTCCTTCTGCTTCCTCTACCGTTTCCTTCCTTCTCTCTCTCTACCTCTTCTCCTTCGTACTTCCCTCATACTACGTCTACTTGGGCTTGAGCCTTACCATTACCTACCATCATCACCATCACCTCCTCTTCTTCTTTACTATCGTCACCGCTCTCGCCATGCCCAGCAATTCTTGTTGAGCTTTTTGCTCTCCCGCCCTGTTATTCCCTTCCTCTCTTTTGCGCCGCGGTCCCGAAAATCATTCGTTCCTAGCCTACCGGGTTTGCTTTTGACTTTGCCTTCCCTTTTCTCCGGCACGATTGGCCCTCACTTCGCCCGCACCCTAAAATCCCACTTCCGATCGGTCAGGTCCAGCATCTTGTCTTCCATTCTCCTCCTCTGAACCTGTTGTTACTATTCGGAAGGCGGCATTCCTCGTCATGGAGCAAGAGCATCCTCTAGCCTGGTCAGATATGACCAACCCGGGCGATGACGAATTCTCCAACTTCCTCGAGTTTGGCATGCAGTTCCCTGATGTGGAGGGGCATGGGCCAAGTGACCCTCACGCTTCCCGGCCTCTTGCCCACCCGGCCTCCATGTCGATGCCCGCCACAACAGCACCTGCGCAGGAGCAATTGGTCCGCATGGATACCGATACTGTTACCACCCAGTCGCCGTCGTACGCCCACCTCATGAACAATGATTTCTCTCTCGACCTCTCCAACCATGGGCAGCAGGTCCAGCCGCATCCCTCGTCATACTCGAATGCCCCAGTCACCCCGGCATTCTACGCGCACAAGCCCCCGCAGCCCCAGTACTTTCACCCTCAACAGCAGCACCAACCGATGCAGGAACAGTCACACCAGATGTCCCACCACTCGCACCCGACGACACAGGCTTACGTTCCTCATGGTCAGACTGTGATACCACCCACCCCTAACAGTATCGAGCTCCAGGGAAGTGCCGCTACGCACTCTCACCGGACTGATGACGGTCATGAGATGTACGAGCGGTTCACTCGAATGAATGACGAACAGGTAAGCATGGTCCATTCAAGATCTGGAGTTTAGCCTGCATGATCTAATGCATGCACCCGCTCTTCGCAGGCCCTTTACACCCCCCTGGTCTCACCTGCCATGACCCCATTGGAAAGTCAATTCCGCTTCCCTGAATACACCATCCCTGGAGAGTACTTCACCCCTCTCACCTCGCCGGCTCTCGAAGCTCACACTTCCAATCCCACTGGTTACCCCTTCCACACCGGCCAAATCTCTGAAATTGGATTCGTGCCCTCCCCAGCCGATAATGCACTCCCAATGTCGTCAGCCCCCTCCTCGCCGGGTCTGATGCGGAAACATCGGCGCCAGCCTTCAAACACCAAGTCCTTCTCCGCTCGCGCTAAAAAGCAACAATCGCCTTCAGTTCGGCCCCAGGCACGGAAAAAATCACTTTTGAACATCAACTCGGATGAGGTCTTGAATAGTCTAAGCCAGGACCAGGGAAGTAGCAAATCGCGCAGCTCCGGTGGTAGTGGTCTCCGCTACGGGAGTAACGAGAGCTCTGGGCAGGATTCCGTCTCTCCAGAGCCTCTATCTGAACCATTGATGCCGCCACCTGCTCTTCCTCCGTCCCGCAAGTCTCCCGCGATTGCCCCCCAGACTACTCAGGTGTCGCAAGCCAATGAACCCGCAACCCCGGCTTTGCTGATGCGCATCCAACAGTCCCCACACAGCAACGCCTCTACTGGTCCGATGGCAACTGTGTCCAGGCCTGCTCCCTCTGAGCCACATGACGATATTATGGAAGATGTTGTCCTTCCAGAATCAGCTACCTCATATGGATCAGTCTCGAGACCTCCAGTGAGCCGCATTGACACCACGGTACGGGCGGACTCGACCTCTTCAACTACTACGCCAGGAAGCGCTACCCCTGCCATGGAGCCCAAGTCTGCCCCAGTGGTCAACAGACCTTCCAATTCTATCGCACCCAGCCCCCGTTCTTTGGCCATGCCCTCCCCTAGCGGACCGGTGCCCAAGAAGTCTGATACTCCGAAATTAGGGCCTCTAGGCCGAAAGCGGCAGAGTCTCAGCTCGTCTCAGCCTAGCCCTAATCTACGTCCCAAGATAAGCCCCAGTATACAACCATTGGTGCGCGGTGATGGTAAGTGCTTTCTACGCAGTCTGCGCCTTGCCCGGCAGTCTTTGATCGACTGGAGAGTTGCTCCTGGGCACCTTTTGCGGCGTATCAAGCTAACCAGTGTTGTCTAGGAGGGATTACAAGCGAAACTTCAGCCCTGTACCTTGCGTCAAAGTCGAACTATCAGCATATCCTAGATGGCACTCTTTTGCCTGGCGTCTCCTACCCTGAAACCTTGGCCGAGAATCTGAGCTCAAAGCGGACAAATCATAAACTCGCAGAACAGGGACGGAGGAATCGCATCAACAATGCGCTCAAAGAGATTGAGACCCTTATCCCGGCATCATTCGTTCAGATAAAGCATGCTAAAGAAGCTGCAATCTGCAACGCCAAGGGAGGGGAAAAAGAGAAGGAGAAGGAGAAGGAGAAGGAAAAGGCTGGAAACCAACCTATCAGCAAGGCCAGCACTGTGGAGATGGCTATTGATTATATCAAAGCATTACAACAGGAACTGGAAGAAACAAAGGGCAAATTAGCAGCCGCTGAAGAGCGCCTGGGGGAAGGAAAGGGGCCGGCAAAGCGTGATGACAACACGACGAACCCTGAAAACGGGAAAGAAGCAAATGCCGTTGATACGGAATCGGCAGCCACCAGTGTCGAGATAGGCCCCTCTCCATAGGGCTACGATTGAAACCTCGTAGTCGAGTTGATTCCCGAGCTGGACTGACCCTTGCCTAAAGATCACTATGATGTGATATGTGTTACGAGCGTGGATTTGAGCAAAAGTATAGACCGGTGTTTTACTGGGAAGCGTCGGGTGACGTTACACGTATCTTGATGGCTTTTTATTTTGTGAGTTACGGTGGCTGCTTCTGTCATTTCTGGAAATGTTAATAAACGGGGTGGTTCTTGTCTCTTTTCGCACGGGTTAATGAGAAGGGGTTCCGGGAGTAAGCTGCATTTTTCTTCTCCATTGCCATTTCCTGTTCCCTTTTCACTTCTTGTACATGGCCCTATTGCTTTTCTTCGGCCCTTCCCGCTTCTGGCAGGGCTTCGTTCGTGGTGGCAGTAGCTAGCTGAGCCTTTTCACGTAAGGTATCCTGTCGCGCGGGCGTGTTTCACTTCCTTCCGGGGATCTTTCCTCTTTTCTAATGTTACTGTATCTTGAACGCAACTTCTCGGTATTTTCGTGAAATAAGATTGGGTATGGAGGTTACTTTGGTATTGATAGTATACATTGACGTAGGCAAAAGCCAGCAAAGGCTTTGGATGCAGACTGCCTATGGCAACTCATCTAGATGTATATAATATAATATGCATGCCTGAGACATACAGCATTGATATGTGGAATCGTTCCAAACGTCATATTCCTTGATCATAGAAGAAGAAAAGGGGATGCAATCGATCATTCCAATCAGTAGTCTCGCATGACCGCAACCATCTCATCCAACCGGGCCACTTCTCCAAGCAACAAGGCCTCTTTAGCCTTCCACTGCTCCAATAGGGTCAACTCAGCCTGAGATAGATAGCGTTCCTCATTGCCCTTTACGTCACTCCGCTCCGTCTTCTCCAGGAACTCCTTGAGTCGGTTCCGCTCGAAGCGCAGGCGTTGCATACACCTTGACATAGCCTTGTACGTGTCCTCCAGAATGCTGCTCCGGATGCGGTCCGGATCGTAGTACCAGAGGTAGATCGTGCGAGAGGGCTGTCGCTGTGCGTCTCGGGGGACTTCTTGCAGATCCACGAATCCACCGGACTGCATGCTAGCGAGGACTTGACGCAGGTCTTTGAAGGGGAGAAGACTGATTTCCTGTAGGCGCTTCTCGTCGAGCTTGCCCTTGGCGTGGAGTACGCGGATCACTCGTAAAGCGACGTCGCCGTAGCGGGCTTCGATCATTCGTTCCAGTTCTAGGTGGCGGAGCTTGCGCGCTAGGTGTCGGAATTCGACGGTCCAGGTGATGAGTCCGGAAAGTAGGCGCTTAGATGTGAGGTTGTAGGGGGGCTGCGAGAGCAGAGAAAGGTGTTGGTCTACCTCGTAGGTGCGGCTTGGGGCTTCTGATCCTTCACGGTCGGTTCCATTGACACTGTCCTCCAAAGGCCGTTTCCCACGTTTGTTGATGGCCTGTGGTATCTCCATGGGACCAATGGAGCCTGCAAGGTCCAACTGCGGGTCGACTTCTTCTGTCACCGCACTAAGAGCGATGGGGACAGAGTATTGCTCGCCTTCCTCTCCTTCGCGCGGTATCTCAGCACTATCTCGGCATTGCTTGGTTTGGTATTCTATGCGTCGTAGGAGGCCCTCGTAGACCTGTGCGGTTGCTGGCGATGAGTTCATCTCCGCAAGATCTAAAAACCGTCGGTTCCGAAGAGCAACGTCGAGTTTCTCATAGTTCACGCGGACAACAGTAGCCAACTATATTGAACAAAGCCATCAGTCAAGCGGATATATATGAGAGTTTTATGCAGAGTCTCACCTCCATGGGAGTGGTATCCCCACCCATCTCGTCATCCGACCATTCATTCTCCTCCTCTTCATCATCATCCTCATCAGCATCGGCGTAGTCCATCCGTGCCTTTTTGTTTGAAGCATCCGCAGACCCGATACCATGCCTCCTCTTCGCGCCCCGTGGTAACCCGTTATGCATGAGCCCGCGGGTAAGGTCCCCATCGAGTCTTTCCTTCAGAAGAGTAAGAGTCCCTTCCAGGACTGTTTCGTCCAGCTTCTTACCCTTTAGCTGCTTGACATCAGGTCGCGACTTAATGGCACGTTCCGCATCCAGGGCGTTGTCAGCGTAGCTTTGGAATTGCGCATCGCGCACACGAAAGATATAGCCGTGGGAAGCCAGGATTTTCAGGGTAGGATGTAATAGCGCCGGCTGTTCGGAGGTGTGCTCATCATCGCCATTCATCTGTTCTTCGGTCTCTTCACCTTCGGTTTCCTGTTTCACGCCATTCGCTTTAGGTGGTGCGGGTTGTAGTTCCGGGATGGTTTCGAGGTGGCCGACTTGTGCGTGTCCGAGATACATAATGGTTTCCATAAGGGTAGCCGCATACTTCCCAAGCCGTTCTTCAATGAACTCCAGGATCTTGCCAGAGCGAACAAGGTAATATGCAGCCTGGAGGTTTGGTTCGTAATAGGTAACGCCATCGTCGTAGGAAGTGTAATGGTACACCAGGTGGTGTTGAATCATGGCGGAAAGTCCATGACGAAGTTGACGATCGGAGAGGCGCGAGTAAAACTTTAGTCGCGGTAATGAGAGCCGGTCATAGCGCTGGAGGGTTGAAAAGATACGCTGGCGAAGACGGATGACGGTCAGCCTGTTGCTCGATGTGGCCCGCAAATTGACACCGACTATATGGTTTTTCATGGATGCAGCGGGTTACCAAGTGAGCAAAAGCGAGCATACCGCAAAAAGCTCCCCAAAATTATCCTCGACCAAGAGCGCACATAGCTCTGCCGCGTACTGTTACTCGGACCATTAGCAGTGGTTAAAGATGAGGGGCGGGAAGAGAGGGGAGGGGGAATTGATCGCATACTTGGGAAGTCATGATGGATGGCTTCTAGAGAATGCGAAAAGCTTCAATTCTCTAGAAGGAAGGGGAAGGTCACCGAGGGAATCGCATGAGGTAAAGTGCAAGAAAGGAACGACAGGCGCGAAATGGGGAAGCCGGAGCAACGATGATCAAGATTGGGGATACTTTTTTTCGGCAATCGGAGAAGGAGAGAAAGCGTGATCTGCAAAATGTCATGGTGATTGTCAGCCTGAGGCATTAATGTATTACTACTTTGCACAGGACAACTGCTCACATAAGAAATCAGGTGACCCGGAGGACGAGGAAAAGCCGGTTCCGCCCGCACTCGCATTTCGGGCCAATCACGGGGCGAGTAATCAAGACCAGCCGGCATCTTGAAGCTTTTCAGACATCGTTTCTGATCCGCCCAACGACCGCCAGCAGCCTTCCCCTGCTCCCACTCCTCTCAACCCTCCCAATTGCTGTCGAGCTTCTCGGCTAACCATTCTCCTCGCCCTCCTCTATTCCTCTCACACATGCGATGATGCTGTCGCGGTCTACTTTCAGCCGGAATGCGCCCCGTGCGCTCCAGAAGCAGTGCTCTGCTGCTGGCGCCAGCAGCCGTCGGGGCATGGCCTCTGCTGCCACTCCTGGTCTCCAGTACGATGTCTCTGAGTCTGCTGGTGTGAAGGTCGCCAACCGGGAAGTTGCTGGCCCTACCAGCACCCTTGCTCTGGTTGCAAAGGCTGGTCCCCGTTACCAGCCCGTCCCTGGCTTCTCCGATGCCCTCGAACAGTTCGCTTTCAAGGTTCGTCCTTCCTGGCTTCAATCCGACATCCACGCTCTCTGCTACACTATTTTCTAAGGCAATTGCTAACCAATTCTTCTTATCAATGTAACAGTCTACGCTGAAGCGCTCGGCACTGCGGATCAATCGGGAAGTCGAACTGCTGGGCGGTGAAGTTTCCTCTACACACTCTCGCGAGAACGTCGTCCTCAAGGCCAAGTTCCTTTCTGGCGATCTCCCCTACTTCGCTGAACTTCTCGCCGAGGTTGCTTCTCAGACCAAGTTTGCAGGTGAGTAAGGAGACAACGGGAATATACCGCCACCCCTTCCCCCTCCTCCAAATGTCAGACGAACCGGTCTAATTCGGCTTCTCAGCCCACGAGTTGAGTGAGGTTGTCCTCAAGACCCTCAAGTACAGACAACAGGCCCTTGCCGCCAACCCCGAGGCCCTCGCTGTCGATGCCGCTCACGCCGTCGCCTTCCACCGTGGCCTGGGTGAGAGCATCACCCCCTCGACCACCGTTCCCCTCGAGAAGTACCTCTCCGCTGAGGCTCTGGCTGAGTACGCTCAGCAGGCCTTTGCCAAGTCCAACATCGCTCTTGTTGGCAGCGGTGCCAGCTCCGCCGACGTCTCCAAGTGGGTTGGTGACTTCTTCAAGGCCGTCCCCAGCGGTGCCCAGCTCCAGAGCGCTGCCTCCAAGTACTACGGTGGTGAGCAGCGTGTCTCCACCAAGGCCGGTAACGCCCTTGTGATTGCCTTCCCTGGCTCCGGTGCCTTCGGAACCGCTGCCTACAAGCCCGAGGCCTCCGTCCTCGCTGCCCTCCTGGGTGGTGAGTCCTCCATCAAGTGGACCCCCGGTTTCTCCCTCCTCGCCCAGGCCACCCAGGGCTTCTCCCAGGTCCGTGCCTCGACCCAGAACCTTACCTACTCGGATGCTGGTCTCTTCACCATTGCTCTCTCTGGTAAGGCCGACCAGATCACTTCTGTTGGTAAGAACGCCGTCGACCTTCTCAAGAAGGTTGCCGCCGGTGAGGTTGCCGCCGAGGAGATCAAGAAGGCCGTTGCCCTCGCCAAGTTCCGCGCTCTCGAGTCCGCCCAGACCCTTGAGACTGGTGTCGAGGCTACCGGTTCCGCTCTCATCAACGGCAGCAAGCCTTACCAGATTGGTGAGGTTGCTCAGAGCATTGATGCCGTCACTGAGGCTCAGGTCCAGGATGTAAGTTTATCAATTCACCTCCTCTTGCTTTTTGCGGCAATAATTATTTGGGGGAACAATGGCTAATGTTTTATACGCAGGTTGCCAAGTCTTTCCTGTCTGGCAAGGCCTCCGTCGCCACTGTTGGAGACCTCTTCCAGCTCCCCTACAGCGAGGACCTTGGTCTGACTGTTTAAACATGTATACAATACATCTTAGACTGGCTTTGGAAAAAACCGAACACCCCCTCTATTTTTTATCATGTGTCTAGATCGACCTTTCCGCAGATATTCTCTTTTGTGATGTGGCTGTAGTTGTGTGTCTGTAATACAATTGTACCTTAACCCATCTTTGTTCAATACCTCTCTCGCTGCGATGTAGGCTGCTTGCAGTAACTTACTGTGAATAGTTTTGGAAGACACAATTTGCAAAATGTATCGAATTTGATTTATCCGGTATATGATTTCCCCTGTTCCTCCTTGCTGTTGCTATATATCCGATAAATGGAGGGATATACTTATATATTTTATCAGCCTTAGTAGTATTAGGCACGTCTAATATGGTATTGGTACTACACCATCATGGAACCATAACCCCCAGTATATATATATCATATAGTAGTACTACACCATTTTCATTCAGTAGCAGCTAAGTGATAACCATCTCATATCAAATCTACACCACATGATACTCAGCGTTGAAATGAAACCCGACACCCCGATACACAAAGCATGAGCATGCCCCCAAAAAAAACCGTCTCAACAAGTTTGTGACCAATCGATAGGCAAAAAAATACTAATTGAAGTCATTCTTGTGGACATTATCAATAGAGTCTATTATCAGCATCGGTAATACTGTTCGACTGCGGCACCTTCCGCTTCTAACTCAATGATGTAAACATAGTAATATATATACTAGTACTCTACTACTATCAATATCAACACAGAAATAGTATCAATGCTATTATAATGGGCCAGCATATGCATAGTAATGCTATATTACCAGTCTTACCTACCTGTCTGCTGATACTAATTACCAGTACTGACGTACTAAGTACTTATCAACTCCCGACTGCCCTACCACGAAAATATCAAGGTCACCCGTCTTCCTCTTTCACTTTCACATTCACGACTCCTTCACAATGAAATAACCCGCAACCACCCAATAAAAGACAGGCACTTATAGATGATTCCTTCATATAAAAAAGGTACTGTACATAAAACCATCGACTCGTCCTAGAATTCACCCGCACTGTTTACTACTTAGTATTTCTACATACACAATCCACACAGATACATCCAATCACAAAGTAAATCGACAAATGAATAGATAGATACCATAGATATGGGCATTCAACTGAAAAACTAAGACACACGTGCTTACGACACCCATAATGCCGTCAATCACCTGACCCAAATTAGAACAGGGATGCCCACATACATATGCAGTACTAATTAGTGAGACACGCCATCATAATCATATGCAAGCCATGACTGGGATGCTCGGAGGATAGTTACCGTAGATGGTTCACCGAGAAGAAAAAAAAAAGAAAGGTATCATAATTCGAACAAAAGTACATACATATACTATACTAGTCTATATTATCATATGCGATATCGGAAATTTCTGGTTTTAGAAGGAGGAGGAGAGGGGTAAGGTCTGTATTTTGGATACATGCGTACTAGTCTATACTATATTCTAGTAAGATGATCGGATGGTAAGGCTGTGGGTGTCAGCCAACCGGCCCTGGAAATCGGGTTTTGGAAGAGATTAAACCCGCGCAATATGACAGATGACGGACGGATGGATTGATTGATTGTCACTTTCATTTTAAGACTGTGTTAAGATAGCCGTGTGGGAAGGGGAGAAGCCCGGGCTTGCCCACATTCCCGAAGGGGCCGTTGGCTGACTGGAGACTGTCATACCTCAGCCGAGAGTAGGCAGGACGGGCATTTACGCCGGTAAGATAGTAGCGAGCTTGTGAATCTACCTAGGTATGTGGTGGCTGGCTCTACTGTGTATCTATTCCGCTCTGTTCTTCCTCGGTAACACGGGATATGTGGATTTGATAAATTGGGAAAATGCATAACAAACAAACGAAAGGCGTCAGAATACAGGTGGGCATTTGTGCATGTGGATCTCTCCGATGAATACCCAACTTATGGTCAAAGATGGCCTAATGGTATGGTATATAGAGTATATTAACATTATTATGCTAAGGTAGTTTTGGTTTCATAAGACTTTCTTGCGGCATGCTCGTCGGCACCTATGCATAGCTGGCTACGGACCGAGCAAGTTCCACACCGTATGGGTAAGATTATCTAGCATCCGCTCCTCCGACCGAGACCGCGCATGGCAGAAGGGTATCTCAAACCTTCTCTAGTGCTTAGCGGTGACTTTGTCGCCCGTCAGTTTTTCGACTGCTTCCTTGGCCCTGTTCGGGGTAACGGAGACCCACACGTTAGCTCCAGTTCACTCCTCGGTTATCACATGAAGATCGGGGCGCCACCCCCGTAGGAAGTGCTCCGCCCGGGGTATTGATAATGCAAGAGAGGGGAAAGTTTGTTCCACTTACATGTCACCAAGTGCCACCATGCAGACGGTCTGCCAGATTCCCAGACCCACACGGGGAGCCACACCCCGGTACAATCCCTTGATGCCGTTCTGGTCGTAGATGTACTTGGCGGCCTTGCCCACGGTGAGGTTCTTGGGGCGGTTGGGGTCATCAGTCTTGCTCTGCATCTCGACACGGATCACCTCAATGGGCTGGTTCCAGGCAGAGAGACCACCACCGAGACCGGAAGCCAGGATCTTCTCAAACGCGTTGAGCTTCTGACCCTCATCCTTGTTGGTGACCTTGCGAATAGCGGATTCAGCCAGGCGAGAGAAACCGAAGCGGGATCCCCAGTTGGTGGTCTGGCGAATGGCAACGGCGTTGACACCACGGTTGATACCACGAATGCCCTCCTTGCGGTAGATATCCATGAAAGTCGCGAAGGTGCTGGGGGGCTTGACGCCCTGGGCGGCCATCTTGTGCTTGGTGATCTCGACGGTCTTCATGCAGGTACAGAAACCCATGGTCGCGTATGCCTGTGCGATACCACCGACCATACCTCCAGCGATACCGGCGGCGAAGTCGGGCGCACCAAGCACCTTGGCACGGAACTCCGCCTCCGATGCGACGAAGAGGAGGACGGCGCCCTTAGTGGAGGCCTCAATCCAGGCCCACGGAATGAGACCTTGATAATCTAGAGTAAATGACGAGTGTCAGACAATACTACCCCACACTAGTCGGAAAAGCGAAAGCGGAGGAAAGAGCACTCACAACCGAGGATCCCGCCACGGCCCCAAATTCGACCCATAGCACCAGCGAAGCTATCGCCCCGGTTTGCAGCCATGGTCGTCTTGATCACTTCCAGCGGCTATTGAAATGGAGTTAGCATAAGCCGACAATCGCCGCTTCGGTTATTGCTTCGTACCTGACCCAAAGTGGTGACCCTATTCTATGTTAGTTATGAAACACACGGTGCGCTGGAAGAAGCGGGTGAGAAGGGAAAACATACTCAAAGAGGTTCAATCCAGCACCCACTGTAGCAATGCCATCAGAACCAATTTCCTTCAAAACGCTAATCGTCCGGGGTTGTAGCAGATATTACATACGTAGCAGATTGCTGAACTTCACGGGCTTCTTTTCGAGCTGTTTCTGGCCAGTGGCGGCCGTCGCGGCAGTAGCGGTAGACATATCTGACCTTGGGAGCGCTGAAAGGGGCCCTGACCAAGGGAAATCTGGGGGCTTCGTCGCCTTAAGGGATCACGAAGAATCGGAAGGTAGTCTGCGGGTCGGAAACGTCAAGGACGAACGACCAGAAACGAAGTTGGTTTTGGTTGTTTGTGGATGGAAGAAGGTGAGTTCGGAGGTAGGTGACACTGATGAGGAGGACAGGCCAAGTAAGCAGGTAGCTCCGGGGAAGGTATCGAGTATATGTACGGTAGAAGCAGCAGTATGTATGTATGAATGAAGATGAGGGAAGAAGATGAAGGAGAAAAAAGAGGAAAAAGGGAAATTATAAGAAGGATCAACGAGGGGGTGGGACGGCCTTCCAGGTAGAGCATACGTACCTATCAATAAAAGATGGTGGTTTTTTTTCTCCCAATTGCAGGTCAAAGAGTTGCTTTTTTTGTCTGGCGTGGGCGCATCCAAGCACTCCGTACCAAGGAGTACTCCGTAGTAATGAGCACACTCACCACCGCAACAACCAGGAACCCAATGAGATCCAATCACCGCCCGCCATCGGCCGATTGGGGATGGCGCTAAACCTGATCAAGGCACAGCGGCCACTAGCCTGCTTCGGGCCCGGCGGTGAGCCACAGCCGAGGGCTTCAGTTGAGGCCCGGAGCAAACCGGGCTCCCCCCCAACAAACACCCTGGAGCTGCATTCATTTTCCGAAACGGTTGAGAGGGTCGATCGGGGGGACCCACGTCCAGCTGGCCCTGGAATGATAGTAGTCCCAAACTATCTATCTATGGAGTATCTATCTACCTCCTACAATAATAATAATCACATCTAGATTCTGCTACTAACCTACTTGGCACCAAAAAGGGAGAGAGGTAGTCCGGAGTACGGAGTAGTCCCCTCCCTTCCGCCCTCCCCCCATAGCAACCACGATCATGGGAGGATCAGAAGGAGGATCCGCCAGGATCTCTGAATACGCCCGGACTACGGCGCCCGTAGTAGTAGTTACTATGTATATGCTTGTCTCATACGGAGTACTCATCATACTCATCATTCCTTTAGATTTTCCCGGAGTAGACCATTCATTCATATGACTATCTAGTCCTTCTGATCTAAATTCCAGTCTGGCTTACCTCACTCACGGTCCGTAGCTCGTATTGTTCCGCTTGAACGATGGAGTGCTCCGGAGGTCACCAATGGCGCCCCGAACTTCTGCAGTTAGCGTAGGCTGAATAAAGTATCTAAATAAGACAATGTAAAGGTCCAAATCATTCTCCGAACCCTGATTGAAACCCGATGCATCTTCAATTTACCCTGCTGCCTGACTGGCTATGTTGTTCGACGATCAGTCCGCGGAGCTTTTCCACCTTCGGCCTATGATTTGACCGATATGCAGACCTGCAGCCAGCTCGACACTGGTGGCACTAATCACGTATGTTTCTCGACCGCGCCGATCCCCCCCTCTTGACCTCTCCCTGCCTGATGCTTATCTTCGGCATCCGACTTGCAATGTCAGCTTGCCCCTCTTCGTCCCCCTTACGCTTGCTTGTCTGTCACTCCGCGACACAACTATCCCGGGGTCTAATACGAAATAAGAATCAGAAGACGATTGACTTGGAATTTCTCAAGTGCTGTTTGTTACAAGGCCCGCTCGAACCGTGTCCTATCATACATTAATCGAACAAACCCCAACACTTTAAAAATCGTCCCCAGTCACAAAAATACTAAACCAGAACAGGGTAGGCATAATACAAGATGCTGTGTTTATCGTAAAAAGAAATAAGAATCACCTCCGGTTTTTCGTGTCATCCCAAACTCATTTACAGCTTAGCACCAACAAGCTTGGCGAAAGCCTCAGTGCTGTAGGACTTGGGGCGCTCAATGGGGGCACCAAGGGCACGGTCGATGATCAGCTGGGGAAGGACACCCAGAGCACGGGAAACACCGAAGAGGACGGTGTAGTAGTTGGCCTCAGTCAGGCCGTAGTACTGAAGGAGGACACCAGAGTGCTACATACAGGTCAGTACACTGGTCGCGCATGCAACTGGAGCGCAGGTTTATGAGGCAACTTACAGCATCGACGTTGGGGTAGGGGTTCTTGGTCTTGCCGTGCTCGGTCAGGACACCAGGAGCGATCTTGTAGACCTGGCTGACCAGCTTGAACATGGGGTCATCGGGCAGCTTGCGAAGAGCAAACTCGCGCTGAGACACGTAGCGGGGGTCGGTCTTACGAAGGACGGCGTGACCGTATCCGGGAACGACCTGGCCGGCGTTCAGGGTGGACCAGAGGTAGTTCTTGATGGCCTCGTCGCTGAGGTCGTTGCCAATGGCGGCCTTCATCTTGGTGAGCCAGTTAAGGACTTCCTGGTTGGCCCTGTGCGATTGGAAAAAGAAAACATTAGCGAGATCGCTTCGATTTGATGGAAACCGAAAGAATTTGAAACTTACAATCCGTGGAGAGGACCAGCCAGACCGTTCAGACCAGCGGCGAGAGAGAGCATGGGGGAGCTCAGAGCGCTACCAACAAGGTGGGTGGTGTGAGCACTGACGTTGCCACCCTCGTGGTCGGAGTGGATGGTCAGGTAAAGACGCATGAGCTCAACGAAGTCGTTGTTGTCGCCGTAGCCGAGCTGGTTGGCCAAGTTGTAGGAGTAATCCTTGTCCTTCTGGATAGGAGCGACCTTGCCATCCTTGAAGACGTTGCGGTAGATCTTGGCAGCGATGGTGGGCAGCTTGGCAATGAGGTCCATGGAGTCCTCGAAGGTGTAGTTCCAGTAGTCCTTCTTGTTGATACCCTTGGCATAGGCCTTGGCGAAGGCAGACTCGTGCTCAAGAGCGGTGACGGCCAGAGAGAACTGGGACATGGGGTGGAGGGTGCTGGGGCAGCGGTCGATGAGCTCCTCAATGAACTTGGGGAGGTCGGAGCGGGCAGCCCACTCAGCAGACAGGTCGCGGACCTGCTGCTCAGTAGGGATCTCGCCAGTCAAGAGGAGCCAGAAGAGACCCTCAGGAAGAGGCTCCTGACCACCGGGAGCCTTGGGGAGGAGCTCCTGGCACTCGGGGATCTAAAGTACTGTCAGTATAAATTTCGAATAGTTCTTCGGTTGTTCGCAACTTACGGTACGGCCACGGAAACGGATACCCTCCTCAGAGTCGAGGACGGAACCCTATCGAAGTCAGTTAGACAGTCTCCTCAAGATTTATTGACCAGGTCCTCATCATACCTCCCACACGAGGCACTTAACACCACGGGCACCACCATAGGCCTGGTCAAGAGTGACCTCGCCGATGACCTTGCTGCCGTGCTCCCTACAAACATTGATTGACTGGTTAACAAGGCCTGCTGTAGAGAAAAGGGTCGGACGGGGAGCTGTGCGTACTTGCGGAGCTTCTTGACCTTCTCGAGCTCGGCAGGGAGCTTCTCAGCGAAAGTCTCCTTCAAGGACTATAAACCAGAGAAGCATCAGTATGAATATTCGAGGAATGATTGTTATCGAGGTAGAACGAACCTTGGCCTTGCCGGTAGAGTAGCAGCGCAGGCCATTGAAGGCAGCAGACTGAACAACCGGCTTAGCGGCAATGGAGGAGGAACGGAGAGCAGAGGTGCCCAGTCTCAAGGTGGAAGCCATGGCGAATGTGAACAACTTGCAGTAAGTTGAGTGGTTGGAAGGAAAGAAAGAGAGGAGAGAAAGAGGGTATATCAGGACACGGTAGGAGAAAAGAAAAAGGAAGATGGGCCGCACGGTGTTCCCAAGTTATGGAGAAGCTCTTTTGCGCGGCCCTTTTTTTCCATCTGGCCGTACTAATACAGCCGGTACGCGGACTGTACGGTAACGCACGGCAACGCCGTGCGGTAATGGTGGGCGGCTGTATCTTACGGTCACACTAGTCTCAACCCGGCCGATGTCCCGAGTCTGAGCCAGGATTTCGGCGCGCTTTTCAGCGGCAATCAGAAGGATCCATCATGTTTTGGTGGTGACCCTTACCCGCTTGATTCCGTTGTACGGAACGGAGTCCGGAGTAAAATCCTCTCTTTCCTTGCGTTTTGTTTCTTGGTCTGCGTGTACTTTTACGCTATGTATTTACTATTACAACCTTTAGAGTTCTACCCATGTCATTCTTTCATACTTGCTCGAGCTTATGCGTGTCCGTTCAAAAGCAAAGCCCAGAGCTGTCAATTGTGATCAAACGGTCAACCATGCATGTGTTGGAATATAGATATAGGCACTGTAATGCCGCCTCGGGCTACTATTATTGTGACGATCATCGGCGCCGTCTCATCCGTAAACGGAGTGCCACAGTAGAGCTGTTGGTCCATGGCTAGTGACGTCGGCAGTCGCCATCTCATCCACAATTTTGCCCACCCATTGAGTTTCCATGGGCACGGATTTCCCCAGCCATAACAACAATACAAGTATGTAGTGGTATTACCTTACACACCTTGCTCGACATATATAAGTTCAGACCTTTATTACTCATGATTGAAGATTTGCATGGTCACAAGGGGTACTAGTACAAACTGTGAAGGATACTCGTGATTGCGGTTGGAAAGTGAAGTAAGCAGTAAGGGAAAGTATCCAAATTCCTGAGTCCTAGCCTGTAAGAACTAAGAACAGAGTTCTCATGGTTAACTACTTGATAAGTGTCTCCGTTGTAAATGTTTCCAGGGGTTAATGGAGTACTCTGTAAGGTTTCTCAAACGGTGGGACGGTCATCATTTGTTGTGTAGAAAATCGGTTACCTAACATGATGGGGAAGCCTAGCGCATTACCTCATTCGACTCACCGAACTGCGATTCATGCACTTGTTTCATGCTTTGGCGGGACTTATGTAAGGATTGCATATCTCGTTCAAAAAATGCAAATCACGTGTTACTATACAGATATGGCAGCCTGAGGCAAAAGAAAAGAAAAATGGCTGGGCATACCCGGCTCACTCACTTGTTTTTAGGTGTTGCTGCCCGTTCGAGCCTAGCGCAGATATATGCTGATTTTTCTCCTCACCTGACTGACCACCTTTACTACCTTCAACGAAATCCCTTCCCTTTCAACTCCCTTTCTATCCTTTCTTCATCTCTTCTGCACCGTTTCTCATCCACCCACTCTTTTCTGCAGCAAAGTCGGCAACTCTGTAATATCCGCCTTTGCATCTTTTTTGTTGCGCTCAGCTCTTCGCTTTTTTTAGGTCGTACTCTGTACACGTACTCGTTCGCGAGTTGCAAGGCCCTGGACAGCATCGCTTGGCTGTGCTCCAGCTGTAGGCGGAAGGCCCCCCTGGTCACCAGAGTACGCTCGTGGAGTCTGTAGTGACACGACCAGAAGTCCGCTTAGGAAATCACTTTTCCATCATATTTGGGAGGCCACGACCCTGCAGGTTGCTGATATTCCTCTCTTAAGCATCACCGCCACCTTAGCTGCGCTGGATCTCCCAGTAGTAACAGCTCATTGGGAACTTGGTACTATCCGGTCGCGTTTACCATATACTTGAAAAGCGATAGTCTAAACAGAAACCTGTTGCGTGTATCCTGTTCTCCCCGTACTGGATTCGAGTCAACACCCAAAAATCTCGTCCACCATGTCGTCTGCTGTAGCAGAACTGGATAACTACCTCCAGTCTATGCTGGCACTCAAGCCCCCGGGTGTCTCAGGCTCTAAGATCAACAGTATTACATCGCTTTGCACGGCAAACGTTCAGGTATTACTTTCCACTTCCGCCATTATCATCAAAACGCTTCATCAATAGAATCTCATGCTAATTTATGGTTCTTCTCTTGTCACAGAATGAATCCGTTCTCATCCAGAAGATCTATACACACTTCAAGAAGGCACCAGGAACACACAAATTGGGCGTACTCTATGTCGTAGACTCTGTAACTCGACAATGGGTAGAAGCAGCGCGCAAGGCAGGACAGCCATCCGGTAGTGCTGCTCCCGATGGTACTTTCGCCGCTGGTGTCAACAGAGTGACCGAATTGCTACCTGTCCTCATGACGGACATCATAAACAACGCTCCTGAAGATCAAAAGGTACGCTCTAGATGCAATACGCATATTATATCATCAAACATTCACAGTGGCCGCGGGCAAGCATATGGCCGATAGGAAGCCGGGGTTTGCTTTGAAGAAACCCTTGGTGGTGGCCTGCTTTAAGAGTTGATATCCGTATCTCCTGCTGTATAGCCCAAGCTGCCATGCATAGTATTCGTGGCCGCTGTGCTCCCTTCCCCCTCTCTGCCTCGTTTTTCTCTTCTATCGTTGTCTGGTGACGAATAGTCCAACTTACGTATACGTCCGCCTCTCCTTATAGGAAAAAATCAAGAAACTGGTCGACATTTGGGAACGGGGCTATACTTTCCCTGCTCCCATGCTTGCCTCGTTCAAGGAGAAGTTAAACGCACCCCCATCACAAAGTAAGCAATATTATCCCCTCCAGCTGATGCGTCCTTGTATCTCGGCGTGGTCAAGCCGAGCGGCCCTCTAGAACCGCCTGTCTTCACTTGACTTGGAAAATTGTCCTGGTATAGTCTCTAATCGTTCTTCTTTTATCTGCTGTCTAGATGTGGAATCCACTACCCCGGAAGGCTCGCCAGCACCCAACTACATGCCGCTGGGAGGTCAACAGCAGCCGCTTAACGGTGTGCCTTCGACCACTTCTGCTCAACAGGCGCCAGACACCTCCAGTATTCTAAAGGCCCTGGCCGACATGGCCAAGCAGAACACAACAGCCCCCGCAGCCCCGGCCGTGGCGGCACAGACTAACCCTCTTAATGCTCTGACCCAGCAAAGTACGGTTCCGCAGCCCGCGTCATCATCCGTAGACCAGGCTTCACAGGGCCCGAATGGACAGGCTGGTGTAAACCCGTATGCTGCTGGAAGCATGGCGACCCCGTTCGCGGGATTGAGTAGCGTTGCTCAAAACCCGGCATTGGTGCCGCCGCCGCCGCAGACCCAGAGCCAGAACCACACCCCCAACCCGTTGGCAGCAGCGCAAAACCCACTGGCCGCGCTACTGCCGCAGGCGACTGCAGCTCCGGCTCAGCCGACTGCCCCGATCGGGCCTGATGCACTGCAGCAGCAGCTCCAGCTCCTGCAATTGCTGGCTGCCCAAGGCATTCCTCAAGAGCAGTGGGCCACAGCCCTGCAGATTCTCAGCCTGTCCAATGCCGCCGGTATGGGTGGAATGACCGCCGGCCAGGCTCCTCCGCCTTTCAATCTGCCCGGTCAGCCCGTTGCCAACGCTTGGGGCGCTCGGCCCGACTCCCAGTCACGTGAATTCGACCGGGACCGTGAGCGTGATCGCGATTACATGCGCTCCCCTCCTGGCCAGTACCGCCGCCGTTCTCGCTCCCCCGGTTGGGACAGACGTCGTGAAGCCTCCCCTCCTCGTCGTCGTGACAGCCCTGTCTATGGTGAGTACCATGGCGACTCCCCGGGACGTCGTGGTGGAGACCCGCGCGGTCGCAGAGGAAATGAGTATCGCCAGCGCAGTCCTCCTGGACGCCGTCGTCGCACTCCTTCTCCTCCTCGCAAGGATCCTACCCTACCTCCCCCAGGCCCTAAGTTCATCGAGTGGGATTACTCCATTGGCCAAGGGAACATTAAAGGTTGGTTTCTGCCCATACTTATCTTATCCCCTTCCTGAAGCCAATCAGGCAAAAACAAAGTTCGTGATTGCTAACTGGCCGTTGTATAGTCCTGAGTCGTACCCTTTTCGTTGGTGGTGTTACGTACGTTTTCCCTCCCATACCCCTCTCAAGTAACTACTGGACTACGTATTAACATACGCTTAGGTCTTCTGAGGCGCATCTCCGCTCTCTCTTTAGCAAGTTTGGCATCGTCCAGACATGCATCGTCAACATTGACAAGCGTCATGCTTTCATCAAGATGATCAGCCGTCAGGATGCCGTCATGGCACGGGATGGCATGGAATCCTACAAGTCCGGTGACATGCAGCTCAGGGTAAGCTCTCAACTTTTTTCCCGTCATGTTCTTTCTCAGCTAACTCATATCATAGACTCGATGGGGTGTGGGATTCGGTCCTCGTGACTGCAGCGATTACCAAACAGGCATCAGTGTGATTCCGATTGAAAGACTTACGGAGGCTGATCGGAAATGGATGCTCACCGCGGAATATGGCGGCACTGGCGGAAGGACCATCGAGTCTGGAATGGTCGTCGAGGAGCCCGACATTGAGATCGGCGCTGGTGTCTCCTCCAAAGGTTTGTTAGCACCATGTCTACTCTGATTGACCACGAAGCTAATGATTTTCAACAGCTATCAGCAGAAGAATTGCTACCGACACTGGCGGCAAGCGTGGACCTGTCTCTTCCCGCACGCAGCAGGACCGATTCCGTCGGCCAGAACGCGATGGACCTGCCAACGGGATGGGCATGGGTGGCTCGGTGGAGCGGGAGATTCCCAATGCCAACAATGTCGGTGTCCCGCCTGCAGTGCCTGGCTTCGGCTTCTCATTCCCCGGCATGCCCATGTTCCCTCCCGGCTTTATGATGGGAGGAGCACAAGCTGGAGCTGGCGGTGCGGCACAGCCGCCTCCTCCAGGCCAAGGAAGCAATTAGCTATGAAGCATGCTATTCCAACGACGATTAGCCCCTGCTCTCCATCATCTCGTTCTTCCCTTGTTTTGATACCACTATTTTCTCTTCGTCTCTTCTTCCCATTTGTCTCTCTATCTCTTTTCTCCTTCTTTCTCCTCTGCAACGTTCTCATGTAAATCTGTTTCCGCACACCCCCAAAAATAATCGGCGTTGGCGCTTTCGTATTCATTGTTCAGCGGAAGGCATACGCTTTATGAGTGGGCGTTCTCAGGGCGGGTCAAGAGCACAGCATCTCCCATGTGGCTCCACAATGTATCCCCCCTATGTCTTTGTTGCTTCAATTCTTCGCATAAACAGACATATCGACACACAGCGCTTTTTGGAGAAGTGAGTGGACCGAAGTTCGCTGGCTCGAACACTTGCTGAACCATTCAGCGTCTAAGTTTACCTGATCTGTTTCCTTACACTTCTTGCTTCTTTCTTGTCTTCCCTATCTACCTGTATTCACAACCCGCTCAGGTGGCTCTTGTGATGTGATGTATTACTTTCCCGTGTTTTCCTCCTTTGCTTTTTCCTTCTATTAAACGAATTGCTAGTTGGCTGATAACCGCTTCTCGTGTGTCTCTTCTGCACCTGCGTTTCCAACTCTTTTCCTTCTTCGCTTCCTGTGCATAATTGACCTCCCACTTATTTACCTAAATTCATAAGTTCTGAGATCGGATCTATCACTTTTCTTGTATAATATCGTAGACATCAACGTTCTTGGGCAATTGGTACGCACTGCTCGCTGCTTCTGTAGTCAGTTTGAAAGCAAAATTACGAGCTAGTATATGATGAATGGTCGCTACGTATTAGGTTCTGGGTTCTTATCTTACCCATCCAGTGTCTGCTTGCCCGTAGTCTATAACTCAGCCTTGTAGTAAACTGTGATGCAGGCGCTCCATCCAGGCGGCCTTATTAGACATTGTCTTTTTCCTTTACTATCTTGATTTGAGTATCTTATTAGGATTCTACGAAGGGCCCGCTCGCTATTGAAAACTAGCTGCTTCATATTGGTATCATCTCAATATCGTCAGAATAGATCATGGATGTGTCTGTTCCCGCCTGTGCAATGGGATTCCTCAGTGCCTGCCCATGCGCGTTGTCGCTTAGGGGTCTGCGCTCTGGTGTCTGATTCGACCCAATCCCCAAGTCCCTATGCAATGAGCGCAGAACCAGCCACTGCCTCTCCAGCCAGACTTCAAGAGTTCAAATTTAACCAGCGAAAGCATAGTTTACAGAGCACTAGCAGCCTTGAACGACTGCTCAAAGTCGGCAATAATATCATCGATATGCTCAGTACCCACCGAGATGCGGATTCCATCCTCAGTGACTCCTGAGTCAATGCGTTCCTGCACGGTAAGCTGTTCATGAGTTGTGGACCAAGGGTGAATAGCGAGGGTCTTCATATCCCCAACACTGTAGAAGACATGATTAGCAGCCGAAGCTTTCAGATGAGTCCAGCCCCACCGCAGTTGGACTTACTTTGCGAGATTGCTGATCAGCTTAAAGCCGTCAACTACCTGACTGCCTGCGGCGGCACCTCCCTTGACCCCGAAAGAAAGAACGCCACCAAAGCCATGCTTGAGATAGCGCTTCGCTGTCTCATGGCTTGGGTGGTCCTCCAATCCTGGGTATGAGACCCAAGAGACGTTTTCATTCTTGCGAAGCCAATTGGCCAGTATTATAGCATTGCTTGCATGTCTCTCGGCACGTAAACTCAAGGTCTCGATGCCGAGGAGAAGCTGTTGCGCAGCAAAAGGGTTCAGAGCTGATCCAAGATCTCTCAATATCTCCACACGCACCCGAATGGCAAAAGCAAGGGGGCCAAAGGTTTCCCAGAACTTCAAGCCATGGTAGCCTTCGGAAGGTTCAACAAATTGTGGGAAGCGTGCTGCATTCTTTCCCCAGTCAAACTTTCCACTGTCAACAACTACACCAGCAACAGTGGTGCCGTGACCTCCAATCCACTTGGTGGCGCTGTGTACAATAATGTCGGCGCCGTGCTCAATGGGACGGCAATAATAGCCGCCGGCGCCGAATGTATTGTCGACCTATATAGCACCCTAATATAAGTTGCAAATCCTCTTGCCGAATTTATACGAGGGCCCTAAAATATACACTTACCACTAGGGGCACGCCCTTTTCGTGGGCTACCTTGGCGATGGCTTCGAAATCGGGTACATTATAGCGGGGGTTTCCGATAGTTTCAACGTAAACAGCCTTCGTACGGTCGTCAATGGCTGCAGCTATGGCCTCCGGGCTGTCTCCCTGGACGAACTTGGTTGTAATTCCCAATCGAGGGAATAAAACTTTGAATTGGTTATAAGTGCCACCGTACAGGTTACTGGTGGACACGATATTATCGCCAGCATGGGCAAGGGCAGATATGGCCATGAACTGCGCAGATTGACCCGAAGAGGCGGCGACGGCTGCGATACCACCTTCTAGGGCAGCGATACGTTTCTCGAAGACATCTACAGTGGGCTGTTTATTTCTTCTAGGTTAGTTGATACTAGAACTAGCAATTGATGCAATGCTTATAAGGGGAGTAAAGACTAGACTCACGTTCATAATCCGACTATAGATGTTGCCAAACTCTTTGAGACCAAAGAGTCTGGCGCCATGTGCGGAGTCATTGAAGGTGTAGGACTAACAGAGACCTGATCAGAATCGACTGCACATGATACCAGATCTTGAAGATATTGGCTTACCGTGGTTGCATAAATTGGTACTGCTCGCGAATGGGTCTCAGAATCTGGTTCATGACTTGATAGAGAGCAATGTCAGCACGAGGATCTGGTGTGACAGGTCGATGGAGGGGTCGGTATGCACATACCCCGCATGAAGCTGTAAAGTTTCGAAATGGGGCTGCTTAGATTCGGACATGTTGCTGCTATTCAATGGGACGCTATCCTTCAGATTGTATACTTCCAAGTAAAACAAGGACTAAACAGGGAGGACAATGAGGGGACAAATTGGCTGAGGTGGGAGAAGTATAATGGGAACAGTTAGTGACATGGAAACGACACATGCTCGCTATTGTGGTAGATCTACCGACGACTAAAGCAATTGGCGACGACGATGGCGTGATTCGATGGAGCAAGAACAAAGGAGGAGAAGGGAAAAGGCGGGGGAGGCGACGAACCCAGTTTAGTAAGTACTACTAAGTAGTAAGTACAGTAGTACTCGGACCTGATCAGATGCGCCATGTTATTAGTGGTCTAAGTGCTTCTAAGTCCTTCTCCTGCATGTCTATGGAGATACTAATATGCCACCAACATAGATTGATTAACATGGAGTACGAATTTGTCGTGGGATCTCCTATAGTATTGAGAGTATATACACTCACTCACTTGGCTCATCCGGGCGCTAAAAGCGATGAGGCCCACATGTTGAACCGGACGTGCCTGATTTCTCCGCCCCAAAATCTTTCCAACAACTGCATGCAGGCTCAGTCAATCTGCCCTGTGGGCATAGCTATCTACTTACTACCTACAGATCGGTTCCTGGGAGGGGAAATTGTACCTTGTATATTACTTAAAAATTTATAATATTGGGCCCAGGACGATGATATAAATGGATACATTGTACAAGAATCTACGTTTGCGTCATTTTTAACAACACAGCCAACGCGGGGGATCTCCGTCTCCTAGCCCTCATATACGCTATGCTAGCACTAATTATGGTACGTAGTTGCTGCCTATAAGTCCTTGCAACTAATGGAGGGAATGTGCAATCGGCATCATGTGTTTAGCCCTCAGGGTCCAGGTGGCATCCCTTGGCAGTGTCTAGTACGTAGTGCCACTAATTCACTAGGCAGACATCTCAGCCCTGTTTGACACAGTACAAACCAACTTTTTATGTTAGTTTATTATTTTTCCCTCTTACTATTTCTTACTATTTCAAAAAGTATCTTATGAGATCATCGCCTTCTTGGCCTTTTTCACTAGTCACCAATCCTAGCAAGTCGTTGGACCGAGGCACTCGCGGCCAGAGAGGCAGCCCGTCCCGTTCATCCCAGCATTGCAGGCAGATTCACAAGCTCACTGAGTTTCCTCATATTTTAGCTTCGTTATAGCGTCGGGATCTGCGACTGATGCTGCAGGCGCCGCGAATCAAAAAGTTTCAATACGAGATGGCCCTCCGAATAATGACGGTATCGTCTTTCCAGGTAATTATTCTGCTGTGTACTTAAGTACACTACTTTGCTTGGATGGGCAGGCAGCTCCGAATCTCCCCAGCCCAACTGGCGGTCTGAGAGATTCGTTGGACTCTTGTTACTGCGCCACAAAGTCGCCTAATCAAGATTGAAAAACATAAAGTCTTCGGCCTGCATGTGTGTGCGTGCGGGTGTGCATTATCGCTGGTTCTCTCAAACGTTGAAGAAGGGACAGAAATAGCACAAGTCAAGCAAGGTACCTAGAAAGGTCAGTCACTGCCTGTTCGTCAGCCCACTCACACCCACGTCACAGCCTTAAGCGCACACTGGCTTGAGAACTTGAAACAGCGTCCGCCTGTGCAACAGCATGTGACTTGCCATCGTTCAGGTGCTATGCGCTCATAATAGTTCTCTCCGTCCAACGTATATGAAGATCATTCCTGCCCTCCACACCATTCGTTTTTCTAAGCGTCAACTAACCCACTTATTCTTCAGAAAGAGCTGCAGTGCCGCGCAGACCGAGAGTAGTAGACAGGACATCTACCAGCACCCATCATCAACGCGAGCTCCCCAATATCAATCATGGCTGTGAATTTTCCATGGATCTACCCTGTTCGGGTAATCCAGGCCCTCTTCGGAATAATCGTCCTTGCTTTAACCGCATACTGTTCGTCGAGTCATTCCATCCTATTTCGAAAGTAAATAGCTGACAGATGACAGACATCAGTTGGTTCGTGTATAGTAGCGACTCGCCCAATTTCATGCTTTTCGTGGCGTGCTGGACAGCCTTCCTCGCAACTCCTTATCTTGCCTTGGCGCCGGTGTTCTTCCCCCAGTTTGCGCATCGCATCGTCATCCCAGCTGTCGAAGTGATTACCATGATATTCTGGTTCGCAGGATTCATCGCCCTAGCCGTATTCCTCCCACCAACAGAAGCCTGTCACTGGAGCCGTTGCAGTGCGTTACAGGCCGCAGTTGTGTTTGGTGCATTCGAGTGGTATGACTTCCCTCTGATCAAGATTGCCAGCTTCAGCGCTCTAGCAGAAATGTTCTGCAGTGTATAGCGGGATCTGAAGGATGTAGTTGATGTGCATTGTTGCTAACATGAATCACGTAGGGTACTATTTCTGATTACTTCCGTTTTCGCTGTCCTCGGCATCTCGCGTACCCGGTCCAGCTCCAGTACGAAGCCCACCCCTAACGATCATACCCACGTTGGCGTCTAAATGGAGTCGATAGTGACGGTTCCATGATACATTTTCGAAATGAAAGGTAGAGCGACTATTCGGCTAGCAGCGGAGGAAGCCCTGAATCAGCCGGTAGTATGATAATGACGTCATTATTATGAACGACTACTACGTCGCCAGTGATTCAGGGACAGCGAGGTTGGCGACGGTAATGACAATGATGATTTGGGATACTCGGAAGGATAAAAGGATATGGTTTAAGCAGCTGACTACAGTCGCGCTTTATGTTATCGATCGTTGACTGCTTTGTTCTGGTTTCGGCAGGATACCCATGTGTTACTAGTTACTAGGAGATTTTGGTCGACATATGATACCACTTAGTCCTAGGACACCTTGAAATGTGTTTCGATAAGCTATAGTATTCTTCGGTTCCTTTAACCTCCAAAAGGCCAAGAGTGAAATGCGTTTGGGGATTGATGTGATCTGATGTACAATCTGAGTAGGGGACGGCCATGACTGTTGAAAAGGCAAAAGAAAAGTACCACGGAAAAGAGGCCGCGCGACAGGCATAAAAAACCAGATATGCCGCCGTGATAGCTTACTGGATGAATGGGTTGAGGGTTCTCCATCTATTAGCAAATCAGCTTTGCTTACATTCGATCCACTGAAAAAACCCACAAGCACGTCGAAAAAGTGATAAGCTTTTTAGTAAACTACAGCGTGTCACTTTGTACTGTCATTGAATCATTGAGACATTATCAGCGGATGACAGGGATTGGCATTCGCACCCATGATTCAGTTGTTGGATCATGCAATTGATCAATGAAATCATGAGTAAGAACGGATCGTAATAGAGATAGATGCAGATGAAAAATTTACCTACGTGATCATCTGGACACACGATGCTGGTACATTAGATAGATACGAAAATTGAAAGACCAAAGAACAGATGAGGAAAAGCCGTCCTTGAACGAGCAGCTCCATAGAATGTTTCGAAGCTCGACAAAATTATCTAGTCTCCGGCAAATGTGCCAATGAACTATTCGGGATCCGAGGGAGACTGGGACGGGTCCGTGGTTCGACTCGCTGCACCGCGAATATCCGTCCGCTCAACGTTCCAGAAAGAAATTCAGAAAAGGGAAAATTCTGCAACGGAGTAGGGCTGGCCGACTACTCGGATCTCGCCGATTGGCTTTGGGACTATTTTAGCAGACGTGTCCCCGGGCTCTAGTAAATGAGGAGAAGTTGGGAAGGAAAAAGAAGGTGAGTGGTGGATAATGATAGTCCATTGGTTAGTGGAGTTGACAACCGTTTAAGCTGGAGAGCGCATCAGGCCGGGTAGATATTTTTTTTTTGTATATCCATGTTGGAATCCAAGGTAGGTTCAAGAAGGCGGCAGTAACAACCAACCACCTCTCAATTGCCTTTTAGGATTACTATCCTGCCGAGATATCGTTAGTATGATTTTTTCTTGCCACCACGCGACGTCGTGAGAGGAGCAGGCGTGTTAAAAGTTTCCGACTTACGAGAGAAAAACTCTGTCTCCGCCCAAGGAAGGCCTATCTCGCGACCCACCATCCAGCACCGTCGCTGCTGGGCCAGCTGGAACACGCACCCATTCGCCGAACCTTTTCCAAGTTTCCAGATTTGCCCGCTGTCGATGGAGAAGGAATCCACGTTGAGGAGGTTTTAGTGCGTACGAGTGGCACGCACAATCCATAGTAGCAGCCTCTTGGTAGACTCCAGAGAGGTATGTAACTACCCCATTATTGTGTAGGAGACAAGTCAACCCAATTGAAGAAGGAAAGCACAAGACAACCCGATAAGAAATTGCGGGAGAGCATGGCCATGACCAACGTGCATGATTTCAATAAACTCAATAAACTCGTGGTCTTGTCTGGGGGAAAAGCAGACTTCGACCCAAAGGAGAATGTCTGCGCGAGGTTGCATCCGGCGGTGCTCAACCCCCATTCCCACCCCCTCATCTTGACTGTTCCTTTTACCTAAAGATTTTCAGTCTTGGAACATAATTCGATTAGATTCACTATCATCATCATTCGTTGCCTCTCTTATCAGCGGGCAAAGATGGCCAGTTGACAAGGCACCATACATAATCTCTCGACGTGCATATGCATCCCCAGCCGTGTTGGTCGTACCTTAAAATCGCAGGTGGATGCGATTCATCTCTAGCGGATTTCGGAGAGGCGACACGCAGAACCCGCTTATAAGGAGGAGCTCGACGACTGGACGGTTCCGAGTTTTGGTGACTCAATCGAACCGTGTTCCCGGTGGAGACGGTCCTGGCGGCGAGCTTCCTTTTTCCTTCTTTTTCGCGATTTTGACTTTTGTGACTTCTCTTCCGTCACTATCATACACACTGTACGTCTGACGCTCTAACCTTGAGGATATCAGCATCCTCAAATTTTGGGGCCGTTGAGGGTCTAACATGGCCTTCGGGAACAAGGTCAAATCCACGTCTGCCGAGGGGGAAAAGGGCAAGATGGCGCCTGAAGAGACTGTCCAGGTTCAGCCCACGAACCCTTCGTCCGACTTGAACGACATCGACTGTGAGAAACATGGCGCCAGTCGCGAGTCGAATCCCATGCCCGATCTCAAGCGGAAGCTGAGAAGTCGCCATCTTCAGATGATTGCCATTGGTGAGTCCTGTTGGCTGTCTTGGGGGTCATTTCCCTTTCTGCTTCTGCCACAAGACAGGCGGCCATTCCGGAAAGTGACAACCTGCTCATTCAATTCCTAGGTGGTACCATCGGCACCGGTCTGTTCATTGGTAGTGGTACTGCTGTTGCCAATGGAGGTCCTGTTGGTGCCCTCATCGCCTACATCTTCGTCGGTACGATCGTCTACTCTGTTATGACCTCTCTGGGTGAAATTGCGACCTATATTCCCATTCCTGGAGCGTTCACGGCCTACGCTGCTCGTCTGGTGGACCCCAGTCTTGGCTTCGCTATGGGGTGGATCTATTGGTTTTCCTGGGCTAGTACATTTGCACTCGAGTTAACGGCAACCGGTCTGATCATTCAATTCTGGGACGACTCCATCAATATCGCTATCTTTATCGCCATCTTTTGGGTTCTGATCACCCTATTGAATTTCCTGCCTGTCAGCTTCTACGGTGAATTGGAGTTTTGGCTTTCAAGCGTCAAAGTCATCACCGTTGTTGGGTTCATGATCTTCGCCATCTGCATTGACGCCGGCGTCGGTGACGAAGGGTATCTCGGATTTCGCTATTGGGTTCACCCGGGTCCCTTTGCTCCTTATTCAGGTGTCCACCCTGACTCGACGGCAAAGTTCGTCGGTTTTTGGTCTGTCCTTATCCAGGCTGGCTTCTCGTATCAGGGAACAGAACTGGTCGGTATCGCAGCCGCTGAGACAGAAAACCCTCGCAAAACGGTGCCTGCGGCTATTCGCAAGACCTTCTATCGCATTCTGTTCTTCTTCGTCCTGACCATCTTCTTCATCGGTCTTCTGGTGCCCTACACCAACGAGAACCTCCTGACCGATGGAAACGATGCCAACTCGTCGCCTTTTGTCATTGCGGCCAGGCTTGCTGGAGTCAAGGTTCTGCCTCACATTATCAACGGAGTCCTGCTTACTGTGGTGCTCTCTGCCGCCAATTCGAACGTTTACAGTGGCAGTCGTATCTTGATTGGTTTGGCTCAAGAAGGATTTGCCCCGCGCTGGTTCAAGAAGACTTCCAAGAAGGGTGTGCCATACTATAGCGTTGCCTTCACAGCAGCCTTCGGTCTTCTCGGTTTCATGAACGTCTCCAATGCCGGTAGCACTGTGTTCAACTGGCTCGTCAACATCGCCGGTGTCGCAGGCTTCATCACTTGGGCATCGTTGAACGGCTGCCATCTTGCTTTCATGCGCGCCTTGAAGGCTCGCGACATCTCCCGCGACACCCTTCCGTATAAAGCTATCTGGCAGCCCTACTATTCCTGGTACGGGCTGTTTTTCAACGTTCTCATCATCATCACGCAAGGCTTCACCTCCTTTATTACCAGCTTTAGCGTCACGGATTTCTTCATCGATTACATCAGTCTGATTCTCTTTGTCGTGCTCTATGTTGGACACAAGATCTACTTCCGGACATCTTTTGTCCATCCTCTTGAGGCCGATATCGATACGGGCCGCCAGGAGGTTGAGAACGAAACGTGGGAAACGGAGGCTCCCGCCACCAAGTGGCACCAGAAGCTTGCACGCTCATTTCTGGGCTGAGAGGATCACAACCCTCTGGGCATCTCGGTACAGGCCCGTGGTCAACAACACTTGTGCTTCTTCTTTTTTATTGTCTTGTTTTTAATCATCCCATATTCACGCCATACCTCTCTTCGGTTGACAGAAAGAGAGAGATTCCTATTACTTCTACATTTGAACCCTTCGGTTAATACATATGGCGCTTAGAAATTGGGTTTCACGCATATATGCATCTGCTGAGACAGCTGTTGCTTGTCGGTATATAAAAGAAAAGAGAGAAAGAGAGCGAGAAAGCGAGAAAGCGAGACGGACCTGCATGAGTTGATGATGAATGAGGGTCGAATGGGTGTCTTCCTCTTTTTATGAGGGGCTTTTGTCTATATCTTTTGGGTTCATGGGTTGAGCCCCTCCTGTACAGTATACATGTTGGGATGTCAGCATTGGCATGGAGTTTGGTAAATGGTTTCTACTGTCGAACGTCTCGTTCGAACTGACTGTGGTCTAACTTTCCTGGAATCGAAAGTTTGCAAATAATCGACGTACTCTTGTTCTGCAGTGCAACTACGACTACACGTTGAATGGTTCGTAGCTTTATTCTCCGTATACATGCGGCTACTCTGTAGTGGTAGTACTAACCGCCGTTGAGCAGATAATTTATACTAGTGAGTAAATGGTTAGTGGCGGTGATTCGGTCAGGGTTAGATACTGCGCAGTGCCAAAAAGTAGGACTATTGTAGGGTTCAATCGAGTATTGTTGATCAGCAAGAGCTGTCAAGCTACGAGAGTGTATATACGTCACGAAAGTTTACGGGATTATTTCAGAGAAAATAGAGACCAGTCGGCACTGTATCCCCGAATCTTCACATGGAACCTGCGTACGCCTACACGTGATGGACTAGGAGGCGAACATGAGCCAAGGCCGGATCAGGAGGATCTTTTTAACTTGCGTTGTCGGAGGCATCGGTTAAGTCAAAAAGCAAGCATGTGAGAAGGTCAATGTGCCGGCTGGTTGTTGAATATCACAAGACTCGGGTCCGATCATCTGTACAACATTAGCCCACGGTTTATACCTCCTAGCTTGTGGATATATCGACTGGCATGTAACGAATTTATGTATTGAATGCAGGCAGACGTCAATTGAGGGGCGCCGGCATCTGCGGGTTGATTCATGGGGCGTGGGGAGAGACTAGTAGTTGAGTAAGTAATTAATAGGAGTTCAATTAGTCGGTTCTTACTTCTTAGGGGGGCTTATGCAGTGCTGTACAAATTATTATAAGTTTTATTACTTAAATTATTTATTTTCTTTTTATTTATAGGTTCGACGATGTGAGTGTACTTTGCTTGTACTACTTTTTTTATTTAAAGGAACTCCGTACGGTACTTGGGGAGTGTCTGCCCGCATTTTTCTTTTTCGGGGTCCGGAGATATTATACAGCATCGAGTGCGTGCTACTGGGGGAAAGGATCGCCTGCCAGCAAGGTCGGCTACTAGATAGTTATTGACTAGTAAGTATGATATGATTGTCTATCGCTGAACCGAGGTATGGGGTCAACGGGCGGGAAGAGACACCAATTTCGAGCGAAATGCAAACGTGGAGGATTAACCCAAAGAAGCATATGTTCCATCAAATTGAAGATAGATACTTATGCCTGGTACTGGAAATGAAACGGGGAGGCTTCCCCAACAGGGCAAGTGCCGAGGTTCTGCGGACTTGGGGGGGAGGAGGGTTTGGACGTCGCGTGGCGGGAACACGAGCGCTGGCCAGTCAGCGGCCGCCATTTGCGCGCATTCCGTCTCGGAGACCAACAAAAAAGTAAGGGAAGGAAGGTTCAACTGGATCCCTCCCTTTCCCAACTTGGCACTTCATGCCTCAGGTAGGCAAGTTGCCCTGTTACTACCACCAGCAACTACGAAGTACTAGTAGTGCTCCAAGTGCTCATTCTTCTCTCTTGTCTCGTTGCTGTCCTTGTCCGGCAGTGCCTTTATAGTCTCTCCTTTCAAATTTTGGGATTGATCTCCTCTTCCACCGTCGCCCCTCACCCTCACCGTCGCCTCCGGTCTCTTGTTTCCCTCCTCTTCCGTACTTATCCTGATCCTACCAAACTACTCTCGCCACCTCCAGCCGTCGTTCCTAGACAACTCTTCCTAGGAGTTGGGTTCGCTGTCATTGTTCTCTTTTACTAATAGATTTGTAAGTTGATCTTTGTTATCTGTCTCAATCACACTTGCCTTTGTGTTTGTACTAACCTACTCGTCTTCATCAGCTGTAAATTACACCTGTCGCTATGCTATTCTCTCAACAACCTCTCCATGTTACTCGCGCCGATGAGTTGCGACAAAGCCCTCCCAAGGGCACTCCCTACTCGGTTGCCTTGCCTGGGACAGAGAAGCCGGGTCGGAGTAAGGTTTATCGTGCCTGGAATGCGACTGAGGGCGTCCTGAAGTCGCTAGATCCTCAAGTATGCTTGCCTTCCCATGACTTCCGGCGATCAGCAATCGTACCACAATATGCCTTTCCCTGCTGGATATGGGTCTGACTATCTTCACAAATCATTTCTAGATTCTTACTGCACACGATATCTTCGAGTCCACTGCAAACCGATTGCCGAAGAACCACTGCCTAGGTTGGCGTCCGTACAATCCCACGACCAAGACCTACGGTCCATATCAATGGTTGGATTATCAGACGGTACAAAAGCGACGGGCTGCGTTCGGCGCAGGTCTAGTGGAACTACATCACAAGCACGAGTGCAGCCGTCCTGGCCAGTATGGTATTGGTCTATGGTGTCAGAACCGCCCCGAGTGGCAGATAACTGGTATGCGATCTTGTTACTTCTAGCGTGCGCAACACTAATTCTGGTCGGTTTAGACTTGGCGTGCATGTCGCAAAGCCTGTATTCGGTCTCCATCTACGATGTCCTTGCCCCAGATGCGACAGAATATATCATCAACCACGCGGAGTTGGCCTGCGTTGTGACCTCGCTGCCGCACATTCCGACCCTGCTCAGGCTGAAGCCCCAATTGCCTAACCTCAAGATCATTGTCAGCTTGGACCCCCTGGACGGCGGTGAAGAGGCTGGTCACTCGAAGCGTGCTTTGCTTGAGTCAATGGCTGCCGGGCAAGATGTCTCCATCTACACCATAGGCCAGGTTGAAGAGTTGGGTGCTTCGGTTGACCGTCCCTGCAAACCTCCAGCCCCCTCTGACACCATTACCATCAACTATACGTCTGGTACTACCGGCCCTCCGAAGGGTGTAGTCCTCGCACATGAGAATGCCGTCGCATCCGCTTCAGGTGCGCTCATTAACAGCATACAAAAAGCAGGCGACACCATTATATCGTATCTGCCGTTGGCTCACATCTATGCTCGGATGTCTGAGCATGCGGCCTTTTGGGCAGGAGCCCGGATTGGGTACTTCCACGGAAACATCTTAGAGCTCGTTGACGATCTCAAGATGCTCAAGCCAACCGGATTCATATCTGTTCCGCGCCTCTACACACGATTCGGAAATGCCATCCGCGCCTCGACTGTTGAGGCTCCTGGCTTTAGAGGTGCACTGTCGAGGCACATCGTGGCCACAAAGACTGCAAACTTAAAGAACCCTGACCTCAGCAAAGCCACGGGGAAGCATGCCTTGTATGATCGGATCTGGGCGAAGAAGGTCGCAGCTGCCATCGGGTTGGACCGTTCTAGAATGCTGGCTTCCGGATCGGCGCCTCTGGACCCTTCACTCCACCAATTCCTCCGAGTTGCTCTTGGTGTCGACGTTGTTCAGGGCTATGGTTTGACTGAGACTTATGCCATGGCATGTGTACAGTCCCTCGCGGACTTGACCGCCGGCCACTGTGGTGGGCTGATTCCTTCTACCGAGGCTTGCTTGGTGTCTCTACCGGATATGGAGTATTCCGTTGATGACAAGCCGTACCCTCGGGGAGAACTCATGTTGCGCGGTGCGAACGTTTTCCGCGAGTATTTCAAGGACCCTGAGGAAACAGCCAAAGCAGTGACCGAGGATGGATGGTTCCGGACCGGTGATGTCTGCAAGATTGATGAGATGGGCCGTATCGTCATCATTGACCGCCGGAAGAATGTTCTGAAGCTGGCACAGGGAGAGTATATCTCTCCGGAACGGCTCGAGGGTGTCTATATGTCGGAAATGGGCTACTTGGCCCAGGGCTATGTCCATGGTGATAGTGTCCAGACGTTCCTGGTGGCTATCTTTGGAGTCCAGCCCGATACCTTCGCTGTATTTGCCAGCAAGGTGCTTGGCCGCACCATTGAGGCTACAGACATCGAGGGCATCAAATCGGTTCTTAACGACACCAAGATCCGTAAGGCTGTATTGAGAGACCTCAGTCGGATTGCCAAGAAGCACAAGCTTGCAGGATATGAGAGAATCAAGAACTGCGCACTGATGATTGACCCGTTCACCATCGAGAACAACCTGCTTACGCCGACGTAAGTAATCACCTCCACGTTACACTTATGGTTATATATACTAATCCGCAATCCTACCAATTAGGCTGAAGCTGAAGCGTCCGCCCACCACAAAGAAGTATCGTCAGGTCTTGGACGATCTCTATGCCGAGGCATTGGCTGAAGAGTCTGCCCCCAAGGCTAAGCTATGAGGGATGGCGCTTTCTTCGCCCATGTGCATTTGTTTTACCACCGGCAGTGTGACATCATCTGTTGGGAACCCCTCCAGACTACATTGTACATATAACCAACTGCCCTCTTGTTTCATGCATATGCTGTCCATATTGTTTCCATTTTGAGGGGCAGGTCCTCGGGGTTGTCCAGGGCGAGAACAGAAGCCACACGCCCAGCCTCGGCCGTGGTTAGGAGTACATATTATATACTATTATTTCTAACATTGTTCGCGGTATATAGGCACTTTGGCTGTCTAGATTAAGCTAGATATATAGTAGATAGCGGCGTAAAGCGTAAGTGCTACCCAAAGCTTGAAATATATAGCATATAGCATGAAACATTTAGATATTAAACCATACATTAGTGAAATGCATGAATATTCCCAGCTCTAATTTGTACAGAATGACCAAGAATTACTATTAGTTGATGTTGCAAGCTACAGTAAAGGTGGCGCCGTGACTTCACCGTTAGCCGGCCGGCGCTTGGCACTGGCGCTGCCGTTGAGATCATCCATCGGAATAGCTTCACCTCCACCGTCCACCAACAACCTCCGCATTTCTCTGCGGACACTCCCACCATTCAAAACCCATACTGCATTGACCAGCTGCATTTCTCAGAATAGAATTTGTCGCCCATCATGCATCTGTCTCTTTTCTCCCTCTTCTCCCTGCTCTCTGCTTCAACACTAGCAACCGCAGCATCCGCCGCCCGTCATCTCACCATCACCATCCCTCCCTCGACCATCCTCCCCAACCCGAACGTCCTCCCAGCCAATACCCACGCGACTCTTACGACCTTCACAAAGAACACAAACGACAATCACCATTTCACTGCACCCCTCTCCCGCTCCGCAACCTTCGACTTCCACCACCTCCCCGCCTCCTCGAAGCCCGAATCCTACCTCCTCGACATCCGCTCCCCAGAGTATGTGTTCGCTCCCCTTCGCGTCGACGTCGCTGCCGATGGCTCTGTCTTGGGTATCTGGGAAACCTTTCGCGGGAACCCGTGGGATAACCGCGGCGCGGAGAAGTTCGTCTTCGATGCGAGTGCTCCCCGCGGTGGTAACAGTGGAGCTGAAGAAGCTGTAATGGTTGAGGCGAAGGTTCTGGCCCGGAGAGGCTTTTATGAGGAGAGGTCGAAGTGTATGTTTTCTCACCCTAGAACTTCACTCTTAGGTCTTGTTGTTAGCTACGATGGGCGAGGAGTATGCGCTCGCAATGGTGTGGCTTGATAGCCATTGAGCGCACGCGCGTGGCCTTCAGACCTTGCTTTTCCATCTCTCCGGAACTCGGATTGCTGACTCTGATTGATATCATCGATATAGTCTCTCCCCTGGCTTTGTTCAAGAACCCCATGATCCTGATGGCTTTGGTGGCTCTCGGTTTCACCTTTGGAATGCCCAAGTTGATGGAGAACAGTATGTGCTGTCCAGAGTCACTAGACTCCACTCCTCTTGTTCCCCCCTCTCTCTCGCTACATCTTATCTTCTGAATAGCTCCCTTGCTAACATGCGCACTTATCAGTGGACCCCGAAATGCGCGCCGAATTCGAGAAGCAGTCTCGCTCTTCTCCCATCGGAGGCGCAACCAGAAGTGCTATGGCTGGCGGCGGGGCTCCCGGGAACTTCGACCTGGCTGGCTGGATGGCCGGTGCTACTCCTAGACCCGGTGCGTCTGGTGCGGAAGCTGCGGCTGCGATTGAGGGAGCGGCTGCTACGACGGGCCGGGAGGGTGGTGGTGCGTCGCGGAGAAGAGGTTGAAGCGTTGTATGATTACAGTATCGTGTGGGGGTTTGGGGGTTTTGAGGATGGTATGGTATGTGTGTATATGGATCGCGGTGTGTGCTCTATGGATAGATATCGATGTGTCCATGTATAATAAGCTCCTCAATGGCCCTGTTCCCGAAAGACTCGGCGATGAGATTAGAGTTAAAATTAATGATCTAATTATCGATCAGCTACAGAACGATAGCTCCTTTCATGCATCTTCATAACACATTAGGCTATGGGAAAGTAATACTATCTACATAGAAGACGACGATAATCCGAAAGTAAGCAAGCAAGCAAGCCAGAAGCAACAGAAGAAACCCCAACAGAGAACAAGAGTAGTCAACAACTGCTAACCTCCCAATGCTCATAACTCATCAATCGCCCCCTTCCAGCGTAGCTCACCACACACGACAACACGTCTAGAAGTCACCCCCAAAGTCATCACCACCGAAATCCCCTCCATCAAAACCACCACCACCATAATCACCCGGAGGAGGACCATCAAAGTCATGTCCAAGATCCTCAACAGCATCCGCCAACAAGAATCCACCTAGTAGACCACCCCCAACACCTAACGCCGCAGCCCCCGCAGTTCCCATCCCATTGTGTCGCCGCTGCGGCGCCTGCTGCTGTGCATAATAGCCACCCTGTGCCGGATACGAAGGATAACCATACCCGGCCTGCTGTGGAGGAGGATAGCCACCGTATCCAGCCTGAGGATACCCATAGGCTGCTTGCTGCGGTGGCCGACTGTAACCCGCACCACCACCACTGCTACTACCGCCAGAGTGTCTTCCCATCAGTTTGCCCAAGAGACCCCTGCTCCGCTCCTGTTTCGGCGCAGGTGACGTTGATGGTCCCTGGGGGGACTGCACGCGGGAAGGGGAGTTCTCGGCATAGTAATCGGACGCAGCGCCAGATTGGGCCTGTGCTGGTGGTATCGGACTTCTGCGACGAGCCTGGGCTTCTTCTTCAGCTTGTAGCTGAGCTGCTAAGCGGGCATCGCTCTCTAATGTAGAATCCGGCTGGCTGTTGTACGGATTTCTTGAGCCCAAAGGTTTCTTGTCGCCGCCGCCGGCCGCTGAACTAGGTCGATCACCAGGACCAGAGGCATCGTATGAGGGCGGTGGCCCGCTGGGTGGTCTCTGCGAGTCTTCCTGGTAGGCTGGACCTTCGGGACGTTCCCATTGTGATCTGCCGGTGCGCAGATCTACAAAGAACCTTTGACACTGGGCGTTAGTTTCTTTCGGCTTGAAGGATGAATATGTATCCGCGACTGGTGTATGATGGCGGAGATGTGAAATGAGGTCTTACCATTGTTTATATCGGTCGTCGAACTGGGCTTTCCATCCTTCAGGTACTGAAGGTGGTGGGGGCCCGGAGGGAGGAGCAAATGACATCTGTGATGGTGTGACGATCAGATATGTGAAGATGGGGGCCGGAATGGATCGGCTAAGGCTTAAGCACTGCCAAGACAGTTGAAGTAGCAAGTTTATAATGGCCAAAGATCTGGGATTCGAGAGAGAGATATATGTAGTACCGACTACAATTCTAAGGTACGGATATCGAAGTAAAGCCCACCCAGCAATGCCCCGTGGCGCTGCTCAGCCACGTGATGTAATTGGCCGGCACACCGTTGACATCATTCATCATAGCGGAATGACTTCCCTGCCGCAGGAGTTATGATAGGATCAGCGCTCTCCCAACCGATTTCGCCAGGCTCCAGACTAAATACCGTCAAGGTCTCGGATGTTAGCATCGATGGCACTGCTGGGCGGCCACCAGAAGTCTTCCTCGAGTGCCTCTTCTACCTCCTGTAGGGCCGTTTGAAATCCGGCAAAGTGGATAACATTCGAGTCGGACCTCCATTCCGTATTTTCAACTGAATCGACGACTCCAATATTCGGTGGCATAGAACCTGGTGGTGATACAACATGGTGCAACCTGCGCTTGTATATATCGGGTACGTCGCTAGCGGGATCGACGGCATCTGTCTTGGCATATGCAAGAGGCTCACTAAGCCCATCTCGTGTTCTCTTGTTCTGATTGCGCCTCCGATTCCGAATATGTGCCAGCTTAATCTGCGCCTTAACATCCTGCTGGGACGCTGTATCTAGCCCGATCCTGCAATCCGGGGGCGGGCCATCGAGTTGCCGTAGCTGCACCTCTTCGTTCAGTCGGGTTTGTGCAATTTCATGCTCAGGAGTGTTTTCCGGACGAGCCCAGGCTGCAAAGGGGCCATCATAATATGGTCCTTGTCCAACTCCGTATGTTGGGTGCCTGATGAGCTTCCCTGACTCTAGAAGTTCTGCGCCCGCCTTAATCCCTGATTCGGGATTAGATACTTGCCCATCAGGACACATCTGCAGTTGGGGTTGTAATGAAGGCTTGAATTTCATAGTAAGGCCCTCATTGCTTGTAAACGGGCCGGGGGATAGAAGATGGACACCCCCAGCAGCATCGCCGACCAGCAGGTTGGACTTATCTTTGGAAAAGGCACCGCACATAATTTCCTCGTCAAATTTGGCCGTATCCTGGACGAGCACATCTTCCGGGGCTCTAAGGATATCCCATCTCTTCAAGACGCCATCAGAGGACCCAGTGTAGAATTCGTCAATCCTATCTCCCCATAGAGACAAACGAACGCCAACATCAGCTTGTTCCCTGCTGATTGTTTCATCTATCTGATTCAGAGGCTCTCCGTGTTGGAGCTTGTGAAGAATTCGGTCTGGGCGCCGATGGTCCCAAACATAGGTAATTCCATCAGTGCAGCTGGCTGTCACGTAACCTGGGTTCATAGGGCAAATATGGGCGTCGTTGATATCTAGCGCCGGACACTCAAACTCCATGGTGCAGACTTTTGATGATAAGGGCTGATACATTCGGACTAAGGATCTGGTATCCTTGTAGGCCTTGTTGACAGGGCCATGGCCTATCGATGTTGCTGCTGCAAAGATTGGCAAGGTGGGATGCCATTTAATGTCAAACATGTTTTGAGAGTTTGGGGAAAATTGCATAGGTGATATTGATGCCTCGCCTATTCGCCACCCTGCCAACAGACCTGTCTGCAGTGTACCATCACCCTTTTCGCACAACCCGGCAAGCAGAATGTTTCCGGTTTCCTTAATGGTCCCCCATGCTAAAGAAGTAGGTACCAGTTCTCTGTCCTTTCTGGATCGCGCCCTAGGTAGCTCTAGGAGAGTGTGGGTTGACTCTGCTAATGACCAAAGTCCTATTGAACGAGTGCCTGTTGCGAGCAAATTCCGCTCATAAAGGGAGCGAGCCATAACTTCCACCTTAGAGTCATGCTGAAGAGTCTTGCGGCATGAGATATCTCGACCGGAAGCATTCCATATCTTCACTGTATTATCGTAGCTAGCAGTAAAGAGTGCATCTTCCCACCACTCGATGGAAGTAACGCTCATCCAGAGACGAGGGTCATGGAGAGTCCGGCTTGCTGCGGTCCTCCCTGGGGGCCGAAGAACATAGTGGTCTGGTAATTCAGTCAACTCATTGTTGACAATATCACCAATAACTAGATTATTATTTCGGTTATATTCCATATTATGCTCGTCGCATTGTGCTGTCGCGCCGGCAGCAAATTTTGTGCCATCAGGTGCCCAAGCCAGGACAATCACATCATTCGAGGCATCTTTCCAAGTTTTCGCAAGCTTAAACCCTTTGTTGGTATTTGATTGAAGCTGTCGTTTTACACGAAGCCCTAGCTCACGGCGCTGCAAGATTTGATTCAACGACCCGCTTATCTCTGCGCATCGAGACCCCGATGCAGTAGCCTCTATGACACAGGGGTTGGAAGGAAGGCAGCCTCTTTTTGCATCAGCAATGAAGGCGTCTATCTCAGTAGGTCCACGTCGTCTGAGCACCAGAGCGGAGGGTAGAACCCTGGACAACTCCCAGAGCTGAATCCCAGAGAAGAGCAATGGACTACCTTGAGACGTGTCCTGGACTAACCCCAGAATTTTCCCTACCAGGCGTCTGGCTTGCCGTTTTTGCTTGTCTTTTGAGTTAGATGCCATTGCTTCTAGAAGCCATTTATGACTATCATCTATTCCATCGATTTCCTCGGTAGAGACGATCTGCGAAAGCTCACATACCCACCTAATCTTCTTCGAGGCCCTCTGCGAGATATCACAAATATGAGCAGCCTGGATAAGCTGGTCCGAAAGCGCGGTGTCCATATCGTCGTGTCGCTGAAAGCCGCAAAAGCAAAACAGGTCCATGATGGCTGCCATTTCGGTTCTGTCAAAGTCAATATGGAGAATCTCCTCCGCCAGCGGCGGCTTGTTCTGATACTTCAAGGCGTACTCTCCTGGGCTACGCAATGATGAATAGCAAGCACGACCCGATAACCTCAAATCATCTAAACTTTTAAGCGGCGACTTGATAATCTGGACATGAGGTGAAGAATAGATGACACGGGCCTTTTCAATTCGATCACGAATACATGACGAAGTATTTGGTTGAGGTGCAATGCTAGAGAACCTGGGTCGTCGGGATGTGGTAGGAGACGGCCTGGCAGGGCTTTCGCTGACATCTTCATCGGAGCCGAAACCCAAATAGTTGGTCTTGTCGTAATAGTTGTTCGGCCCAGTCCTTGCACGCCGAGAGCGCCGGTTACTCGACATCTCACGCCCATCTCCTGGTGACGATGCAGTATCCGGCCTATCCTGTTCGGAAAAGTACAAGGGGTCCGGTGTTTGCGGTGTGCTGGATGTGACGCGGTTCTCGCCAGTGATCGCTGGTGATGATCTAGGTTCAACGCGCGTCTTAGGCGTCTTCGGCGGCCTACCGCGCTTCTTGACGCTTTCGCGAATATCTTCCCCGGTCCTAGAGCATTCTCCTGGGGCAGTATGTTGATCGCCGCGACTTGCCGCTGGGGACCCTCGTGTTTGGTGGGAGGAGTTTCTTATAAACTGTGAAAGGAGAAACTGAGCTTCCTCAATAACAGAAAGTTCTTCGGATTCCTCCGGCGTGTGTATACGGGACATTGTGCGCGGATAACTTGTCTCCCACTAGGTATCCCAAACCAAGACAACTGAGCTTGCCGGCGCATGTCGACCAATAGCTCAGTGAATGAGTGCCAGCACTGGAAGTGAATCAGACTGAGAGGTTATTTCGAGGAGGGCCTGCTGTAGCGCTAATATAAAAGCTCAAGTCAGCGCCGGTGAATGGCTTTAATTTAACTCAAATTGGATTTTTGACAGCCTGGCGGGGAACAAACACTATATGAGGGGAAGAATTAGAACTCTACCTAATATGAATACATAAGTCCAGCAAGGGTTCACACAGCTTCGAATAGTCATCACTCGTCCAGACCTCACTTGGGCCTCGCCTGAGCCTCAATGTTGAGGGCAGCAGCAGAACAATACAATATATCCTTCGCGTCGACTGCGACGCGCGAACGCGCTGGATAAAGTGCTCTATAATCTTGTAAAAGGCAGGCGGTCGGGTCTCTGGAATCAGGCGCACTAGGGCCAATCATATGTAATCGAGCCGCGGCTCCTTATCGAGTACTTAGTACTAGTAACTAGTACTTAGCTTCATGCCAAGCTAGTAGAAGTCTCCAAGTAGTACTCCGTAGTGTGTTCTATTTTCCTCTACTGGTGCTACTCTTTAGCGCCTTTACACGGTTGACGGAACTTTCCACTGAAAGAGGTGTCTACAGCCACTACGGCGGGATGCCATGATCACCTATACATCATCACCGAATCAATCCTTTGGTGCGATAGCAAAAGGATCAGGCCCAATCAGAGAAAGGCTTAGTGCTATATGAATGCAAGCCTAAATATATCGATTTTTAGGATCGCCCAAGAAACAGTCATCGTGCCGAATTTGAATAAGAGAACATATATGTACAGAATATATTCAGATTAAAGACAGAAATACAGGGGCCCAAAGGTACACGATGAGGGGATCAATCAGGAGGTCTTTCTGAGCCCAAATAATGTTAATGATTTGGCAAGGGTGCCTTAAAAAGTTTCTTCCAGATCACATGTTTCACTTGGAAATTGCCCGGTTCCTCTTTCGAAGAGAGACCATAAGGTCATAAAGAACATCCTTGAACCCAAACAAGAACGCCGCAGTAATGGCGCTCTGTGTGACCTTTGGCCCAATGCCTGTCATGTGATGTTAGCATAAGTTTGCATGGCTCCCTCATTGTCAGTACTATACCTCTGTAAAGGCCCACAAAACCCTCTTCCTTGACGATTCTCTTCAGGCTCCCGTTCAGACTCTCCTTAGGACCATCTTTACTAGCAACATGCATGCGACTCTTCACCGTAATATAGGGATAGGTGATCGAAGTTGCCAGTATCTTGCCAAGTGCCCCAAGATAGAACGCATCCTTTGGCGTCATACGCCTACGACGCTCCACAATATTCTTCAGCTGCTCAAAAATTGTGTACTGTAGAATCGGGTTAATAACCAGAATGAGGGCTGGCAAAACACCAGCAAAGAGAGCCTTGGGCCCCTCTTGCCGGAGCAAGTCCAACAATGTACTAATTGTAGATGCCCGCGACTTCTTGGGGGGAGTCCCTGGCAATGTTTCTTGTTCCGACTCGGACTTGCGGGCTGTCATTCTAGTGTTTACAACCCATATAGGGTTTGTGATCAGGACCGTCGCACTCCCGGCGATAGCGCCCGCGATCATTGACTCCGCCGTCGTGAGCTTCTTTGAGGACCGCCCCGCCCGCGCAGCCGCCTTTTCGAAAGCCGAACGCGTCCATTCGTACCAATAGTAGTAAACGAAGTTCGTGACGCTGATGCCAAAGAGCGCAGATTCAAGACCGGAATAGAGCCCAGAAACCCCCTCTCGTTGAATGATGCGGCGTATTGCGTCGTACGTCGTGGAATGGGCACGCTTGGACTCGACTTGCGCTCTCGTGGAAAGGGTTATCAGGGGATAACTACAACATATGGAATGTCAACGCTGATTTCATTAACAGGAGGTGTTGCCGCACGTCAAGAGCATTGACAGTATACCGCCTCCAGCGCCCGCCAATGCATGTGCCATGTTGTCACTTTGCTGGACCGCAGCAGACACTGCAACGGCCTTCTTTTGCCCTTCAATGTTAGACTGAGACATGATCGATAACGCGGTGATTTTCTTTGTCTATCGGAATAGGTGTGTCAAGAAAGCGGATCGATATTATACTATGATGGTGCACGCGAAACGGGTATCGGTACCTCGGATCCTTATAGATGGGTTACGGATTGCTTTGACAAGTGAGTGTGAAAAAGACGGCAGATGGAGAACTAGTGATATTTCAGTAATTCTGCCCGAGAAGGTCGCAAGGAATGACTGCAAGAAAGGAGGAAAGGGGTAGATATGTAGGCCTTGGGACGAATGGGGTAGGGACTATGTCGATGTCGGGTGCGAGAAAGGCTCGGCTCTGGATTGGGGGTGATGGTTTACATGACGTTTACCGAAGCCTGTGCCTCGGCTGATGGGTGACCCTCATCAGCTGATCGGATCAACGCTCATGCCATATGAAATTTGGCTAACTTCCTGAGGCTTTTCCATACTCCTAGATGGTTACTGGGGAGAAAAACACAATTATGAACTAAGGAGGTGACATTTGCCGGTAAATAGCAGATCCACTTCACGTGTTTCATCTACCGTTGTAATATCCATCCTCCAGATTTCTCTCTTGACCCTTTGATACAACAACAGGTGATTGACATTAGAGTCCGTTTCTTTGCTTCTAAGCGATTCGTGTCAGTATCTACCATCTGAACAATAATTACATATAGGTTCAGAGCCTGGTCAGAATTGAAGAGTGTGGGAGAGACTACCTAGGCATGAAAGCATCACGAACTGCTAGGAAGGGTATGTATGGCATGTGACATTCCTGCGCAGAGCACGTATAATCTATGAAAACCTCGCACATGGAATATAGCCTACTCGCGACAAACAACCCTTGTTCAATTTTCAATATCAATACAATTGTAGACCGGAAACATAGTTGCTATTAGTGAAAGAGCAGAGTGCTAACAATGACTCTACATATCCTACAACTTATATTTCACCATACCGTTAGAGTCCAAGTAAATGAAGGCGGAAAAGCGAGTATGTTCTGATTTTGATTTGCCACGAACCATATTCACTTAAGTATCATTAACTTCTGCATTAATTGACCCAGACATAATCACGCAACGGATCCAACTAACTAAGAAAAACTCAACGGATCAGATAGAAAATGCTTCGAGTTAGAGAAAGGCCACGAGCAAGACAATAGCGACGGGAAAGATAGGGAAGGGGAAGATAGATGACCGAGAGGTGAAAAGGGAAAACCTGAGGACACAGAAAATTATCCATAGTGCACCATGTATAAAGACGAAACGAAAGCCTTCTAAAGCATGAAAAAGAAAACTACTCCCGGTGACCATTGCCAGCATAGAACATTTAAGATAATGCTAGCATTCGAGGAAGACTGCCCGGCAGCAGGATGCAGTAGGTAGCCTCCCTCGTGGCTCCTCTTCTTTAATCACCAAATTTTCACCCCGTCTCAAGATGGCGTAATGCAACGCGGGATCAGGATCATCAATAGTCTAGCAGCAGCCGCCCGCGGAGCCGGATTGAACGCCCTGGCCTTGGCCAACCTGCACAGTTGGCTTGTTGTTGACAGTCGCGGTGCCCATGCGTTCCTTGATCTGTCTCGCCATTGTCAAGAAAGCCTGCTCTACATTCGAAGCGTTCTTTGCCGAGGTCTCCAAGAACGGGATTCCAAGGCTGTCGGCGAATTCCTAAACAAACACATTGTGTCAATCACCCACTCTGCCAGAACATTGGAAGAGTCCCACACAAAGGCATGACCACATACCTTAGCCACTGTGTATTCAACGACCTTCTTGTCTTCCATATCGCTCTTGTTTCCGACAAGGAGCTTGTTGACGCCTTCAGTGGCGTAGCGATCGATCTCTTGAAGCCACTGCTTCACATTGTTGAAAGAGTCCATGTCGGTAACATCGTAGACGACACAGATTCCATGAGCACCACGGTAGTAAGAAGAAGTGATTGTCCGGAAACGTTCCTGGCCCGCAGTATCCCACTAGAGCGCCCGTTAGTAAAGCCGGGTGACCGACTGTTGTGAATGGGGGCTGCCTTACGATCTGGAGTTTCACCGTCTTTCCATCCAGCTCGATGGTACGAATTTTCTGCATTCAAAAACGTTAGATGGGATTCTATGACGCAGCCCACTGCTAGCAGCTATGATGAGAAGTGAAAGGCCAGATACGTACGAAGTCAACTCCGATGGTGGAGATGTAGCTCTCCGTGTAGGTATCATCGGCAAAACGGAGGAGCAAGCACGACTTTCCAACACCGGAGTCTCCGATGAGGAGCAGCTTGAAGAGATAATCGTATCTAGCCAAACTATTAGCATATCGATCGATCGATACGCACGAAGAGGGCCGCGCTGAGCCAAATAAGGCGTGGGGGAAACGGAGGATCGTGGGGGGCTCTAATAGGGGTTCAAATTAGCACGGGAACCAAGAGATAAAGTCGATATGGATGAAAGACGTAGTGCCATCATGACAAGGGGGGCATCGCCGGAACCTGATGAGTTGTAGGCCAAATATGGGCGATCAAGGGCACTTACCACTCGGGATTCATGATGGGGCACTTGGACGGTACGTCAGCGTATGCGAAATCTAGAGAGTTATTTGATGGAAAGGTGGAGAGCTGAAGTTGCAGAAGAGAAGTATTAGGCGTGGCAACAAGCCGATGTAGTAAACGATACTTGAGTGTCTACTTAATGAGATGACCGAGCGGTCTCTTGAAATGGCGGTTGCGTTGCTGACTGCAGGAGAGCAGGCGAGCCCAACGTGCAGGTTCCAACACTGGCGCTAGTCCGTCTCCTGCCTAGTGTGGACCTCCTGGGTGGGAATGACCGTTTCACGCTCGCCCGCCCCAGACCCATGACCCAAGCCAGGCTAGTGCGCCAATCAAGACACACTAACAACCACATGCAAATGAACAGATCCTAGGGACTGGCCTATCTAGGAGATGGTACTTACAGTAGTTTACTTAAGTTGCACAATGTGCACTCCGGTTCTAAACAGGTTTAGGTGGCTCGGCACCACCTTTTTTCTTCAGGTAACATAACTGTGGACCTTCCGATAGAACAATGCAAAATAAGAGGGTACTCATTTTCGTCTGCTAGCTATATATATACTACGTACTACCAAGTGCCGGTCCCTCTCGTCACATGTGCAAGTCAGGGAGACATCGAAAATAAGTGCTCCACCTTCACTTCCTAAGACGAAAGACAGTCCTTCACGTATCAAGTCAGGTACAAGTCAGAAGTTCGAGTTCTACAGAACTCCAGTACTCAGATGATTCACAGAATGGCAGGTGTTTTAGATCACAAGGCACCATTTTCACCTGTTGGTACGAACAGATTATCAAAACCATTTACCTTCGCCCCGAGTGGATCAAGCGTAGCCCTGTGCCTGAAGCCATTCCAAAACCTGCTTCTCATCTCTTTCCTTGTAGCGTGCATTCGTCCGGATGCTATCAGCAACGATTACCAGGGCGCGATCGTACGCACCGGTGTCCTTCTCCCGGAAAAACGAAGCAATATCGGCTGCAATATCGTGGTCTGCGAATTTGGAGAGCCCCATGCGCACAAACCGCTCGAAAACAACATTGTTCGCTGACAAACGAGCTTCAACTGCCGCCCAGTTCTCTTTCATATAATTCCATAAAAGGTGGCGAGTTAAGGGATTCGTAGCCATTGAAGTCGCGCCATTATGAACATCCTGGATTGCAACCTTGTCTGAGAAGACAAAGTCCATATAATCCTTTACCAGCTCAGCATCTTTAGTACGCCCAAGGGCTCCCAGGCAAATCTCCTTGCCGTCAACGGAGTCGGTTTTGAGATACTCCTGCTTTACGGCGTTGTATTCTTCACGACCGCCCTCCGAGATTACGATACTAAAGATCACTGAGCGTAGGTTGGTATGCACAGCGTTCTTATCGTTGCCTGTTTTCCAAAGCTCGAATCGTCGTTTGGCTTCGGGTATTATGCTAGCAAAAAGTTAGACCCTTGATTCAAAGCGAAAAACGTCTCGTGGTTGACATACTCTTTGTGGCCCGCACGGCCAGCCATCCCAATTAGAAGCTTACGAAGCTGGACAGTGAGATAGTCATCCTCCGCGCTGAATTCCCAACCGATTTCATTAGCGGCAGGGGATGAGAGCTCGAGGGCAAACCTCTTGAGTCCCGCTGCTACCGACTCATTCTGGGCGAACACAGAGCGTAAGTTCGCAACGGTGGAAGAGATTTGGGACCAGACCCTGTGGAAGTCGTTAAGAACCAAGCATGGAGGTATAGGGATTACCGAATCTTAGGAAGGGTTAGGATGTCATAGTTAGATACTCACAGATAATTCTTTTCGCCCTTGAACCCCTCTAAGAGAGCCAATAGAGCAGCAGTGGATCCGTCCCCGGAAACAGCCAGGGCAGCGGCATCGCCAATCAATCCGATCTTATCCTCGGTGCTCAGCAGTTCCAGTGATTGAGCGAGTTTCGCCAGCCGATCGGCAGGGTAATTGGTTCGGTAAAAGCCGGACAGGTCTTTGTTCAGCTTGTAAAAGGAATCTTTTCCGAGTTCCCCAATTGTAGCTTCCTTGGAAACGAGAGCACCGGGCTTTACGTCGGCCATCTTAGGTCCTGATTTGACACCAAGGGGAATCCACCAAGCCGTCTCATCTTCCTCGGGCTTAACATCACCCGTCGACAAGAAGCGGTTCTGACGAACATTGAGCTGACCGGCTTGCTCGGTTACTGTGACAACAGGAAAGCCAATCTTGCGAATCCATGGATCCTTCATGATGCAGTCAGAACAGTGATCCGGTGTAAAAAAAAAAAAGAAAGGCAGCTCACCATAAAGCTAGTAACATCCTGATTGGACGCTTCGCTGAGAGCGCTCCAAAGATCATTAGTGGTAGCATTACCTGAATTTGTCAGTAATTAGCAACCCCGATCCCCTATAGATCTTCGATGTGTACTTGCCATATGCATGGGCTTTGAGATAAGTGGCTACTCCCCGCAGAAATGTTTCCCGTCCAAGATGATCGCTTAGCATCCGGATGACCGAGCTTCCCTTGAGGTAGCTGATGTGATCGAAAATCTGATCGACTTCAAGAGCGTTCCTCACAGGAACCTCAATCGGGTGGGAAGCTCGTAATGAATCGAGTTGAAATGCTTGTTGGACACTCTCAGCCTATGCAAAAGTTAATAATCTGCCACACAAGGCTGTATTTACCTCGAGAATTGCGTACAACAAACTGAGACCATATGTTCCACTCTGTTCGCGAGAAAATTGTCAGCTGCATTTGGTCTGTAAGTGCCCGGGTCCATTATATACCTGGATAGAAATGATCCACAGCAAGCCAGCCAACCCATGTTGCAAAGCCTTCGTTGAGCCACAACTCATTCCACCAATCCATCGTTACGAGATTTCCGAACCATTGGTGCGCCAATTCTAGGATTATCACTCGTTAATAGAGAAATGCTGCTCAAATTGCAAGGGAAGACAAACCGTGCGCGACGACATATGCAATACGATTCTTGTATCTGGTGTCTGACTTGCCCTCGTCGAAAAGTACAGCAGTCGTTCGGTAGGTAACAAGTCCCCAGTTCTCCATGGCGCCCATAGCCTGGAGCATATATCGTTAGTGGTTTCTATTCGTGAGAAACAGAATCGGTTTCCGTACAAACTCGTGGACAGCAAGGAGATCCGCCTTAGGCAACGGATACTCGATCTCAAAGATTTCAGAGAAGTAATCGACCGTACGATGGGCACACTCCAAAGCAAAGCGAGCCTGCTCCTTGAGGCCCTTGGTCGTATACACGCGAACGGGAATGCTCTTGCCTTGATATTTGCGCTGAGTCATAGCCTCAACATATTCAAAGTCACCGACTGCCCATGCCAGAAGCTAAATAGAAGATGTCAAGAGTTAGTGTGGAGTATTATTATCAAGGGACGGTGCAAACTGACATAAGTACTCATGACCGGTGTAGTTTCGAAAGAGACCATCTTGAGTTCTGGCCTACTGCCGCTCCTCTCAGACTTGATAGGCATGTTGCTAAGGGCTGTTTGTCCTCGGGGAACCTCAATCTCAAAGTCGAATGTGGCCTTCAGATTCGGTTCATCGAAGCAAGGGAATGCCCTACGAGCATCACAAGATTCGAATTGGGTACTAAGCATGTAATAGGAATCGCCCTCCTTGGGTGTATCTTCGGTCGGATCCACCACCGGCTTATACTTGGAGCGAGAAAATCCAGCCATGGCATTGTTCATAATACCGGTGAAATTGATTGACAGGACAACATCTGCGGGATGGATTTCCTCTGCAAAGGTAAAAGTGACCCTTTCCGACTTGGTATCGTATGCGATGTTAGACGCCTTTGCCAGCTTGGTCCCTAAGTGCAGCCGATATGTCAAACCCAACATTCGTTCATGGAAAAGAATGGGATCAGGAACAATTGGGATGTGGCTCTGTCACTGACCGTCCTTTCCAAAAACTTCAGCATCCTGGACTTCGATTTCCTTGGAGTTCAACACGATCGATTTTGTAGGACGGGTGACCTTGGAATCGATTTTGACGGTACCCTTATAACCCCATGAGCCGCCGAACTGAAGGTCAAACAAAGACACATTGTAATGAACAGGCTTGACCCTGCCACCGATTGTTAGAGGCACGCCAACAGATATAGGTGCACGATACTCAGCTGTTGGCGATCGGTAACTTACACGTCCGGGAGGATATCCCTGTCCTTGGATGCCATTGCGCGGAATTCAGATGAACAGCGCCTTACAAAAACGGGTGAGGATAGAGCAAGATTGACCCTACGGATAGACTGTAGGTGTGTCGAGTAGGGCAAGCCGGAAAGGGAGCGGGAGCGTGACGAAGAGATGGAGGAGGGGCAGAAAGAGGTGGAGGATGAGGGGCAGAGGTGGGAAAGTGGTCGGACCGGACGATAAATTGGAGAATGACCACGGACTGCATGAGCATTCATACCACCACGTCGGATTGACGCGATGCATCTTCTTCCCCACATTTTTGGGTCTGAGATTTTAGGATGGGGCCAAGTCTGCCTACCTACGGTTACTCTCGGAGCAGCTCATCAATTTTTTGCAGTACACCGTCGTAGCAATACGAAGTGTGGCTAATTAAAACTTCAGGTTACGAAGCAGGCTTTCTCTGATCACAATGGAGCTCAGAGTAGATTAGAAAGTGTTAAGTATCCAATGGTACCTAGCCAGGAAAGCTAGTATAGAATTGGAACGAGTAGAAAAGGTAGTTTAAGGAAAATGATAATGAAGGTCAAAAGCCAAAGAAAAATAAAAAGATGAGAACAGCAACTGCTTGATACCTCAGCTAGTAAGTACCCTTGCTTCATGAAGAAAGGTAGGGAACGGAGCTCCGGCGGAGCTCGGACCCTCCCTGCTCGAACCGAATCCAACAGAGTGGATACATGCCTAGGTAGACCTTTTCCATCCAACTTTCATGACGCCCGACGCACTTCTGGGTTGACGCACTCGCCTCTCATTCCATTTCAGTGCAAGTATGGTCGATTCCGATGAAGAGTATACAGGAGAAATCTCTGAGGATGAAGATGAAAGCAATATCTTATCAGGATCTCGTGGAGATACTGCGGGCGCATCCCGTTCGAAGAGGAGAAAGCACCGTGGAGGCGCAGAATGGGAAGTCTCGAGAACATGGGAAACCTTAGTTGAAGGTGCCGACGGCACAATCAGCTCTACAGTCGAAGGGCTTCTTGAAGCTGGGAAAAGGAAAAGGTAGGTTGTACTTTAAGGCCGGGTAGCTCTCAGTCCTGATTAACGGTTCGAGCTGAGTTTCCATGTCTTCGCGCTTGCAGGCTCCTCAGAGATACGACTCCCTTACAACGGGGTATAATCCGCCATCTCATTCTGATCATAGATCTGTCACAATCCATGACCGAGAAAGATCTCCGACCCACACGCTATCTATTGTCCCTACGGTATGCACAAGAGTTTGTGAGGGAGTTTTTCGAGCAAAATCCCATTTCTCAACTCGGCGTTCTTGGCCTCAAAGATGGATTGGCGGTTAGAGTCAGTGATATGAGCGGAAACCCTACGGAGCATATCAGTGCCATCCAATCATTGCGAGACCAGGATCCGAAGGGTCTTCCTAGTTTGCAGAATGGCTTCGAAATGGCTCGTGGTGCTTTGTTGTATGTCTTCTCTGCGCTTGGTACCGTATACACTAGATGAAAAGAACGGGCTAACCTATCTTGCAACAGCCATACCCCAAGCCATGGCACCCGTGAGATTTTCGTCATATTTGGCTCCCTCCTTTCCTCCGATCCCGGTGATATTCACCAAACGATAACTACGCTCATCAACGACAAGATTCGTGTTGGAATCGTGGGCCTTGCCGCCCAAGTGGCCATCTGCCGCGAAATTTGTGGCAAGACTAACGGGGGTGATGATACCACATACGGTGTAGCACTCAATGAACAGCATTTCCGTGACCTTGTGATGAATGTGACAACACCGCCAGCCACCTACTCTCAGAAGCAGTCCACAAGCTCTCTCTTGATGATGGGTTTTCCATCACGAACAGTCGAGGCTTACCCTTCACTTTGTGCTTGCCATTCCAAGCCTTCTCGTGGGGGATATCTGTGCTCACGGTGTAACAGTAAGGTTTGTGGTCTCCCTGCCGAGTGTCCTTCCTGCGGTCTTACTTTGATCCTTTCAACCCATCTTGCTCGGTCATATCACCATCTGTTTCCCCTTATGAATTGGGTGGAAGTTTCGTGGCAACATGCCTCGCGCAGTAGTGTCTGTTTCGCATGTGGGATCTCCTTTCCACCAGTACCACCCAAGGAGCAGTGGCATATTTCAGAGGGACAGGCAAAGGGAATGAGCGTAAGCAGCCGGTATGAATGTACTGTGTGCAAAAACCATTTCTGCATTGACTGTGACCTTTTCGCTCATGAGGTTGTGCACAACTGCCCTGGCTGCCAAAGCAAGGTGATAATACCTACGAGCTCCGAGCCCTCTCAGAACCACGAAGCTCTAGACAGGATGGATACCTCTGCATGATCATATGGTTGATTGCGAATAATAAATCAATAGAATGGCCGTGGGGCTCATTTTCTCGGTCGGATATGTAGATGCCCCCGCCATCGCTCTCGCTAGCGCGACCCAGTCTATTATCAGTCGAGCTGTCAAACTAACCGCCAGTCGAACAAAGTAACATAAATCAGAGGCGGGCTATCATACCTCATAATAATTATCAATTGAAATGTCGGCGGATCAGGCCATCAAATTCTCTTAGACTATATTTCACCTGACCGAAAGGGTAACCTCTAAAATCTAAGTCCGAGCCCTATGGAACGGCTCCTCGATATACTGGAGTTGCGAACACGAAACAGCAAAATGGCGACCTATAACTTGCCCCAGACGCTTCAATTCGTTCGCATCCGACTTCTCCGAACTGATTGATAAGGAGCTTGTGATAGAAATAATTCCATGAAACGAATTAACATTGGATAGGAAAGATCAGCCATGCTGCTAACGCCGATAGGCTCGAGTCTCAGCGGGAACCCCGCCAAAGGACCGAAGTACAAAGTATATAGGCTACGTCACAGCCTAGCTAAGCTAAGTATCCAAACTAGTTCCTAATCTTCAATCTACGTGGACCTCGGTTAATCTTGGGCCCGAGCACCCTTACAACGGACTTAAACCACTGGCATCATTCACGAGGAGAGTGGACAACCGAGAAAAGGCAACGGATTGCAAAGTAGAAGCGGTCGCTCTGTCTCAAGACACCGAGAGAATTTGCGCTTTCGCTTCGAGTGCCCAAGCCCGTGCAATATATTCTTTAAAACTACGTGTGAGCCCTCAAATAAGCCCATCGGGTAGTTTGGGCCTGCAGCAGTTTGTCACGAGATGGCGCAGCTTCAGCCCTCGGAGTTTGAGTTATTTGAAAGATTGAGCTCATATCCCTTCAGCACGGATCGTGAATTTGCAGTTGGGCTTTCCATCATCCTAGGCCACCCGGAATCACCTGCGTCGGAAGAGGAAATCAATCGCAATGATGACCTTACCCTACAAGCTAAATGCTTCTACTTCTCAAGGTATACATACGATCTGTATCCACCCGTGATCCCCCGGTATTGTAGCATATGCATATGCCACTGCATGATTATATACAAATACTGGTACTGATCTTTGTCACCATGCCTTGTTCGTTCTCAGGAAAGAAAAGCTCATGCCCCCACTCGAGTTCTCAACATACAAAGCATGGATAGAATCAGCATCAAAATCCAAGTCCGCCGACCTTTCATCACCAAGCCCAACAGTGAACGTTCCAAATTCTAAAGAGGAGCCTGCATATCCTTCATCCTTCGCTCATATAGTGGAACTCATCACAACCGGTCAACCCATTCCTGGAATTCAACAAATTCCAGACACCGTCTTGACAGGCCATGACACTCCAAGCGAGAAGTCAGAAAGGCGGAAACCATGGGAAAAAGGAACAGCTAGTCAATGACGGGATTTTAGCTGCTCAGCGTTACACCCAGTGGGTGCAATCACCCGGGATCTGGGGATCTACGTTCTCAATTAGAGGGCACTGGAGAAGTCCAGGGTTGTGGTCAGCATGCAAATATTATTATTCCTGCAAGCCGCAGAGTTGTGAAGGATAACAAGCATCGGACAAATGAGTGGTTGGTATGATACATCAGTTCATAATAATAATATAATCCCGACAAGTAGGTGGGTTAGTAGTGTTCGCTTTCGTAAACCAAGCTCCTGACCTGCACAAGCAACTCATAACTGTAATTGTCGACCCATATAGAATCACCATCAACTTCAATAAAAAAAGGTTATAGTTTCTGAGCCCATTTTGATGCTACTCGCTTGCTCGAATTTTTCCTTCATATTTCGTCTCCATTTTTCTTCTTTCATTCGTTCCGGTGTATAAGGAGAGGAGGCGTCTTGGGGGGTATAAGCCGTTTAGCTCCTGCACAATGACTAGAATAGCGCGTATGAAGAAATATGCTAGACAACCTCACGTTGTCGAAACACGCTTCGAGATTCCGGATACCGGTATATGGGGTGCTCGATGCCTACCTGGGTCGACTTGAAAACGATACCTTTTGTGAATAAACAAGCATATGGCTAGAAGACGAAGCGGAAAGGTACTCCCTCGAAAACCTTCAGCGAAATGGTGGATAATTAGGACTCCATTGGTTCCCTCGGCTGAAACGGCCTCCATGCTGTCCGGCAATCGGGAACCTGTCCTCATTGAAATTACCATAGCGACTGATTGGCATCCCAGAACCTGGTCCTGGGCGAGTTGCATGGGAGGGATTGCAGCAGAGCATGGCCACACGTGAACCAAACTTGGAACCCCGGAGAGATACCATGTGTTTCCTTCGTAGATACTCGATTAGGCCTGTGCAATGTCATAGTGAGGGGAAAGACGGTACCGAATATGGCTGGCAACCAGCTCACGCTGATGTGGTGCAGCATTCATCAAGATCCATTGGATTAGGTAGTTTCCATACTGGTCCCCAGCAACTATATTTTATCAGAAACCTTCAGTTCAAGCTGAGAAGGGTACTTTCAGACTTACTGTCAATCAGAGGCATTCTAGGACGGTCAGTTCGTCCGGTGCAAACTCGAGCAAGGTAGCGGTCCAAAAACTCAGTACCCCCTATCTTCAAACATTTCTCTACAATTTTGGAGGCGAACTGGTCCATGCTATAATCCACAGACCAAAGAATAATGTGCTCTATTGCACGACTCTTATCCTGAGGAGCACCATGCTCACAGATATGCTGGATACACCAGTTTCCGAATTGACCGTGTGCAAGCACATCAATTTTCGCTAGCACTTCTTCGATCGCTGGACGCTGGAGATTTTGTCAGTATATTTCATCGTACAAATTATGGAACTTCCATTTAGGATATGTCAGAGTTTCAGGTTTGGGGGAGCTGCAATGGTTGAGAGGACGACAAGACGAGAGGCACAGTTTCTTGAATAGAATTGATCGTGGTAGGAATTGACGTATGAGAAACAAAGTACCTTCTCATCCTCGACGCAGTTTTCGAAGATATTCTGGACTACCAAGCTCCCTGTCTCACCCAAGGCGACTTCATGCCACATCCCTCGCAGTGCTTCGTTGACTTTGGTCATTATCTGGGGTGGCTCCCCACTCCAACGTAATTCGAAGAGTTTTTGCCAGACATGGCAGGCATACCGGTGAATGACAGTTTCTGGAATTCTGCGTAGAAGCTCGTGGACCATGACTGCCTTATGTTCTTCGGGAACACAATCAAACGCTTTCTGTATGACGTGACAGCCAAAGGGATCCATACTGAGGCTTAACGTGTTTCCCTTGATCGCATTAGCGATTGACACGACTTGCTCTGGAGTCCCGTGTTCGAAGCATCGTTGCACAAGAAAGTTGCCAAACCGATTGACCATCAGGGGATAGGCTTGGTGTACTATGGCCTCTATGATATCATATTTCTGCTCTGTGGTCCCTACCTTCAGCTTCTGCTGCAGAAATATTGACGCTTGTTGATCATTGTTGCAAACAATTTTGTCAACGATATATTTCCAATCACAAGAGACATTCCTGTCGAGGAGCCGTCGGTAGTTGATTGGCTCGAGGGGAGAGATGTATGTTTGATGGGTGTTTCCTCCCGCCTGGCAACATAAGCGTGGCACTATAACAAATCAATTCGAGCTCCTACTCACCACAGAAGTTGACCATTGCGTTGCACTAGGGTTGGAAGCTGTGAACTCAGTCGCCGTGGGTGAAAGTGGTGTTCCAACCGGCCGCTGATGGTATTGAGGGATGGGAAACAGACCAACATGTTGGTAGGTGTTATTGGATCTATTCACAGGAGATCTAGGACCATGTGGATCCGAAGAGCCAGGGGTAAATGCACTCCAAGCAGAGCTTTGTGGCTGAAAATAAGGCCCATTGCGGCTGGCTTGAGTGATCGAACGGCGAGGCCCAAGGCCGGGTCCTTCAAGAAACCTCACCTGTTCTTCCGGGAGTTTGGTGTCGAGGGTGTAACCCCCACTGGAGGGCCCTGAAAACACACGATGGGATCGTAAAGCATCGTGTCCAGGTACACTGGTATTCGTGCCTGAGTTATCCCAAAACCGGTTCGAATCTCCGCCAAGTGAAGTAGCACTTGGCAAAGTTATAGGCTCGCCATATGATCTTTCGATAATGGGGGCACTAAGAGCCGTACTACACACTTGCTGCGTGGGAGTATTCCAGTATCCCCGAGACCTATTGTAAGCCCCCGCGGAAAGCGCATCAGACATATCTGATTGCGAATCGTCCTGAGCATTCCATCCATCTTGAAACTGGCTATATGCCGGGTTGGATGAATTAAGGGCGCTCTGGAGATTACTTATCGTTTGTTCCGTGATGTCTCCATTGAAATCGGTTTCAGAAGGTGGCCCAAGTGCCTGGTCTAAGGTATGTTTAATCACGCGTGTCTGGGCCAGTTCCTGCTCCTGGAGGGCGATTTTGGAATTAGCGACAAGCAATTCTTGCTTTAAACGTAGTACCTCGCACATATCGACCGATACGTTGTCTGCTTTGCCAACATCGACCGAGTGCGAGACGTCCCTAAACCGCTGAATACTTGACGTTTTGATTAGCCCTGACTCGTCTCCTGAAATAATTCTGTGGTAGGGAAACGTGTGATTGGAAGTTCTAAGCAAATCCTGCTTGTCTGGCAAAGCCGCAATGAAATCTTGATCTACAGGATACTTCGGGGTTGTCGACTGCGGCTTGGGCGAGAGCTTTGCTAGAAGTCTTTCCATCTCGGAGTGCCCACAGAAATTGAAATTGCTTGAATGATCTAGCTTCTGCTTCTAGGATTGTGAGTGCCTTGAATTTCTTGAGGTTTCTGGCGTATCTGACCTTATTCGACGGGATGTCATGTTTGTCAACCCCAGAGATCTGGCAATCTCCAGATTTGGAGGATACTGTACAATCTGAAGGGCTGGTGGAAACATTCAAATGCTTAAGGCCCTGGGACAATGTAGTAAGCTATTTAGAGGAGAACAAGTCTGTGGCTGCTCTAGGTTGCCTTCATTCAGTTACTTACTGACGATTCACGTTCAACATATACTGCGTGTGTCGGAACGCTCGTGCCACTGTCAATGATACCCTCTTCACACTGCCTGCGTTCCGGATTGAGGGGGGCATCGGAGTGTGAAGACATTTTGGATAGTCACTTGAAAGCACTGCCACAGAAGTCACAGTTTGCAAAGGTCGACAAACACAGGGTTTGACAGGAAAATAGTCGAAAGCACACTGGTGAGCAAATAGCGCGAGCTGTACGGAATCCAAATCCTCCACAATAGTTGAAGGCTGAATATGAAGGAGATAGCTAACAAATGACTGTAAGTGGGGAGGTAGGTTCAATTAACTGTGGGACAATTCAGAAGGCAAATGCAGTATCTGAAGACAGGGAAATCAAGGCACGAATCTCGAACCAAACGCGTTACAAGGCCTGCGTCAAGGATCTGCAATCAAGGAAAGAGCGATGAAGACACCATTGCGGGGGTCAGCAAGACAGGATGAAATTGAGAGCTGGAAGCCCTGCTCAAGAATCCACCTTCGAGGCACGTTGTGGTGCAATTGTCTTCTATTCCTGAAGAACATTTGTTGTTGGAATATAATCTTGCTAAGAGTCAGTGACTCCCCTTATTTCTTAACCTAAATAGTGCTAAGAGTAATTAAAGAAACTGCTTTTCGCTTTGTTTATGCTCTTGAACAATACTACGGCTGAAGATTGCTTTGGTAATTTGTATCATTAGACCATGACAAGCAAGAATGATTCGCAGTGACGGTTCCAGTCCATGTGTACAGTAGCAGCGAATTCCCAAGAAATGCTGTGGTGAAGTTTGTTGATCAGAGAAGAAGAAAGAACAAGGGTGTAGTGAGGGGCTGTCCCTCTAGTGGGGAGGCCTAGATTAACTGTTCCAGACCTCTTTCTACCTCCAAATGTGTCTAGTAGGAAAGATAGAGCCTCTCACAACATCACACTGTGATCTCATGTGGTATTATATCTCTTTGAATGTGTGTTGAGATTTTCTGGGGAGTAAAACTTAGCCAATAAGCTACGCAATCCATACCAAACTTGAATATCGAAAATCATCTACTGTCCAGCTCAAATTGATTATATTCTCTATTACTCTAGTAGTAATAGTTTTGATTTTCCCGAATCTGTCAAAATCCATGACAATCGACGGCATAGAGCGGTGGTGAAAATTAGAATATCTCATGCTGACCAAGATTGACCCTGATAGCTGAAGACTTACTGTCCATGTATACACAAGTATATCGATATAGAGTGATTACATGTTATCTCTATACTACTCAACTTTCAAGTCAGAGCATTGAAACTGAGAGGGGAAAATATAAATGTATGGTGTGAAACTACCAAAATGTCTTCAAACGGAACAAACTTTTATTCATCTATCATAACATTCTAAGCGAGCTGTTATACTGCAGCCATCATTCAATGAGAAGAAATAGAGATAAGAGAGTCGCAGGTGTCCACGAGGAAATTTTGTAGCCGGAAGACTGAAGACACCGGCAGCACAAACCATCTTTGTTAGGGCCTGCGAAGGCCACGATCCTACCTCTTCCCAGCTCTTTCCATTGAGTGGCGAAATTAAGACCTGTGATACTGTCTGCAATGAAGTGATGTATAGGTCCGCAGAACTACAATCTCCCATAAGATCCCAGAGTATTAGTAACTAATTATAACATTCGTCAGCGTCAGGCAATGCAGTAAAGGATCAAAGATGAGGCAGTTGTTTCGAAGGATGATCAGATAGAGAAGAAAAACAAAAAGACATTCCCCATATTTTTCCAGCGTCTGCCATGGTTGGGAAAAGTGAAGTCCGCCTGGTTGTGATTACTTCGGGAGGCTGATTACCGAAATATAAGGGCATAGTAATTAGCAACAGTCAATTATTTATGCAAAGATTGGCGCTAGTTAGTAAACTATACATGTTTATGTAACGAGATGCCTATTCCGTCTTATCTCTATCGGACGGAGAGACCTACTAAACCAGTACAAGTAAGTTCCGGCTTGCTTACTCCGTTACAACCTTAGTAAACAGGTGTATGTAACATCCCGCCCGAGCAGCGTGTTCCGAATACTCAATGTTAATTCGTCCATAGGGATTCGTCATCTAGAAAACTGCAAACGTTACCTTGCAGCGCCGACGTACTGCTGCTACCTACTACCCGCCTAAATATCCTGACGTACCCTGAATCACGCAAGCTCGAAAACATCGCGTTCGGCTTCCATTATTGAGCCCCAAAAAGCCGATCTGTGCTTGTTACCGCTCAAGCCGACTGGAGGGCTCAACTGTCGTTCTCAATCACCATACAAGAATTGGCTTCAAATGGTAAAGCTGCATTGCATTTACATACTTGGAACCGGCTAACAGGACTGAGCGATTGTCTAGGTCGTCGAAATTGAGAAATTAGGACATGACCACAACGACTGTGACCGGCACTGGGAGACGCTCTTCTGTACGACTGCCAGACCTTCAAGTACCGGCGACGTCAACCACCTCGCAACAAATGACCAGTCCAATAGACAAGTTCCCGCCATTCATTGATGAAGTACCAGAGACTACGACCGAGCCAAGAGAATCGCATTCCAATTCGATTAGATATGCGGCGACAGATCGCTGGGAGCCACGGAAGCAAGCACAATTTCCACGGGATAACAGGCATCCTACATTGAATTCGAAAAGAAGATCAAGGAAAAGTATCAGCGAGGCGATTAGCACAATTAGAACACGCAATGGCAGTGTTAGCGCCAATGCACAAGAGTTGGCCGAGGCCCTTAAAGCCCCGGTATCATACAAGCTGATAGTAAGATTATTGGACTTTCATGGATTGTTTCCTACCCTGTTGCTTACCCGGGTTAGGTTCTCTGCCTCATATGGTACATGACCTCCGCCCTGACGAATACCTCATCGAAGTCCATCTTAAATGCCCTTCCGAAACCAATAACGCTTACGATCGTACAATTCGCCTTCGTAGCATTCTGGTGCTTGGTCTTGACCTATTTGGCAACAGTGCTACCCTGGCTGAAAGATAGCATACCGGCCCTCAGGAACGGGATCCGTCCCCCATCCCGTGATGTTGTCCTGACAGCTTTGCCTTTGGCAGTGTTCCAGTTAGCTGGCCATATACTTAGCTCTATGGCTACCTCTCAGATTCCCGTCTCACTCGTCCACACAATCAAGGGACTCTCACCTCTTTTCACAGTCTTGGCGTATCGGATCTTCTTCCGAATTCGATATGCCAAAGCAACATATCTTTCTCTTGTCCCATTGACTTTGGGAGTGATGCTCGCTTGCTCTACAGGCTTTTCGACAAACTTCTTCGGCATACTATGTGCGTTAGTAGCTGCATTGGTCTTCGTCTCGCAGAACATATTTTCGAAGAAGCTGTTCAATGAAGCGTCTCGTGCAGAGTCAGAGGCAGAACCGTCCAGCCGGCGAAAACTGGATAAGTTGAACTTGCTTTACTATTGCTCTGGATTAGCCTTCATTCTCACACTACCTATCTGGTTCATAAGTGAAGGATATCCTTTGATCTCCGATATCATACAGGATGGCGCCGTCTCGTTGTCGGGAAATAGAGGCTCGCTGGATCATGGCGCTCTCTTCCTCGAATTCGTATTCAACGGGGTGTCGCACTTCGCACAGAATATACTGGCGTTTGTCCTCTTATCTATGATATCACCAGTTTCTTACTCCGTCGCATCTTTGGTGAAAAGAGTTTTCGTGATTGTCGTTGCGATCATTTGGTTTGGAAGCTCGACGACATCCGTTCAAGGCTTTGGAATCGCTCTTACCTTTATTGGACTCTACCTCTACGATCGCAATAGCCATGATGACCTAGCGGACCAGAGAGCAAATGCTGACCATTTTCGCACAAGGGAAACCATTCTTCCCCTGAATGTCCAGACGGCAGGCAAAGCATGGGACTCAAATGGCTATGGCGCCTCGGCAAATAAGGTCTCTCACTATCACTCACCAGATGGCCCTGCCTCACATACCACAAGTACGCCTAAGAAAGATGATGATGACCAGGGCCGTATCCGTCCCAGAGGAGGCAGTAGCTCCCGGGTGTGGCTACCTCCAGGCACAAAGCAAGAGACCACTTGGAAGGCGAATGATTCCTAGTTCTCCCTGTCTTAGTTGTCATTCTCAGTCTTTGTTCTATAATATCCGCTGTCTAGTTATATTTTGAGATTCAAATGTAGCATATTACCATGGTCTTTAGTGGCCTAGTATTGTTATTGTAGCCAACGTCTTCTTTGAGTTGTCTGAAGCAGTACATGCCTAGGAACATATTTTTGATTTTTTTTTTTTTTTTTTTTTTTCCCCAGCTCGCATATATCGGCCTCATGGTGGGAACGTCGGGCTATAATGCCGGATAAATGGTATACATGCATGTCGATACCCAGGGAAAGTGTCAAGCGACTCATACATGTTATAATGGATTGATCGAGTCGGTTGGGTGGCAATTACTATTGCAACACTCAGCTTACAAGATCGGGCTTCTTAATGTATGGCATTCACGTGGAACTTCAATATCAAGCTGCACTTGTCGGCTCCGCACCACATGTTTTACCGGGAACAAGAAAATAGAAGCTTGCGAAGAACAGACCTGGAAAGTACCGATACATCATCCACTACGCAGCAAAATAGGTTGACTTGGATATTGGTGCATTTGTTATTCTTCAATTATCTTGACTGAATACGGCAATATATGTAGCGACTGTCGATAAAGAACTATACCCTCATCAGGTGTTCCTTGATGAAAAACCCTAAGGAGCTCCAGCTCAGTGCATCTTCTTCTTGGGTCATGTTGCAGAGGAGGAAGGGAAATGAAGAACCCTGCCACCTACAATAAATCATGCCCGTGAATGAGTTATGGAGAGAAAGAGAAAAGAGGAAGGAAATAGCGTCGGAAGGGCTTATTAAGAAAGAAAAGGGAGTAGTGCGGACTAAATAATCCTCCGAATAGCCGAACCAATCCGCAGGCGGCAATTTGCGAGTGACGCCCCGGCTCATGGCTGGCAGAATCCGAACCAAGCCAAAAGTGCACCTCCCATCAAGAATCTCCCAGCACTGTAGACTTCCACCGGCGCCTTCAGATAACGTCCATTGCGCTCGCTGCTCAAGTCTACTCTTATCCTCTCACATTTGTTTCTATTCACAGTATGCGGCCGCAGTTATCTCGTGCGGCCGCCCGGCTCGTCCGGGTTCCCAAGGTCAACTACCCCAGGACTTTCGCGACGACAATCCCTCGCTCCGCTGAGGTTGAACTCACAATTGGTAAGCTATATGCTTCTTGCTGAGCTCACGTAGCTTTGCTAACCTCTCTCTCTATCCAGATGGGAAGAAAGTTTCAGTCGAAGGTGAATTCGTGTCTCAATCCATGGCTTCTCAGCATCTTGCTTACATGGCTTAAAGCTGGCTCCGCTCTCATTCAGGCTTGCGAGAAGGCAGGCGCCACGGTTCCCAGGTATATTGACCCAAATAATTACTACTGTAGAGGATAGCTAACAACAATTGACAGATACTGCTATCATGAGTATGGTCCAAATTGCCGAATATCATTGTTTTGAGTACTAATCGAACCACAGGAAGCTTTTGATTGCAGGAAACTGTATGTCTATGTTTGTCACCGGGTTATTGAAAAGGTCACTGATTGTTTTTCTTTATAGGCCGTATGTGTCTAGTCGAGGTCGAACGGGCGCCTAAACCTGTGGCATCATGTGCTTGGCCTGTGCAGCCGGGCATGAATGTTAAGACGAATTCACCACTTGTACACAAAGCTAGGGAGGGTGTTATGGAATTTCTTTTGGCCAACCACCCTCTTGATTGTCCGGTTTGTGATCAGGGAGGCGAGTGTGATCTGCAAGACCAGTCAATGAGGTACGGCGCCGACCGTGGGCGTTTCCATGAAGTTGGTGGCAAGCGCGCGGTTGAGGACAAGAACATTGGGCCCCTTGTCAAGACGTCTATGAACAGATGCATTCATTGCACTCGGTGTGTTCGGTTTATGAACGATGTTGCCGGTGCCCCCGAACTGGGAACCACTGGCAGAGGAAACGACATGCAAATCGGTACTTATTTGGAGAAGAACCTTGATTCGGAACTTTCAGGCAACGTCATTGATCTTTGCCCTGTTGGTGCTCTCACCTCGAAGCCCTATGCTTTCCGTGCTCGTCCTTGGGAGTTGAAACATACAGAATCCATTGACGTGCATGACGCTTTGGGCTCGAACATCCGGATCGATAGCCGAGGCATGGAAGTCATGCGTGTTATCCCCAGACTCAACGACGACATTAACGAGGAATGGATCAACGACAAATCTCGGTTCGCGTGTGACGGTCTGAAGACTCAGCGACTTACAACACCCCTGATTCGTCGAGAGGGCAAGTTCGTTCCGGCTACTTGGGAGCAGGCCCTGAGCGAGATCTCCTCCGCCCAGCAAAATTTGCAGCTGAAAGAGAACGAGTTCAAGGCTATTGCAGGACATCTTGTGGATGCCGAGTCGCTTGTTGCCATGAAAGACTTGGCTAACAAGCTTGGATCCGATAACCTCGCTCTGGACCAGCCGGGTGGCAGCTCGCCTGTTGCCCACGGTGTTGACGTTCGTTCGAACTACCTTTTCAACTCCAAGGTCTACGGAATCGAAGAGGCTGATGCTATCCTTCTCGTTGCTACGAACCCTCGTCATGAGGCCTCTGTCCTCAACGCACGTATCCGTAAGCAATACCTGCGCTCTGACCTGGAGATTGGTCTTGTCGGAGAATCATTCGATAGCACTTTCGAATTCGAGCATCTTGGATCCGATGTCAACGCTCTTAAGGCTGCCCTTTCGGGACAGTTTGGAGAGAAGCTCGCTTCTGCTAAACGTCCAATGATCATCGTTGGTAGTGCTGCGGCTGAACATCAAGACGCGAAGGCGATTTTCGAAACAGTCGGCAGCTTTGTTGAGAAGCATGGCAACAACTTCAACACCCCTGAATGGCAAGGCTACAACGTCCTTCAGCGTGCGGCATCTCGTGCTGCAGCCTACGAGGTTGGCTTTACCACACCGTCTCCCGAAATCTCCCAGACCAAGCCTAAGATGGTTTGGCTGCTGGGTGCTGATGAGGTCACTACGAGTGAAATTCCAAGCGATGCGTTCGTTGTCTACCAAGGACACCATGGTGACCGAGGTGCCCAACTTGCCGATGTTGTCTTGCCTGGCGCAGCCTACACTGAGAAGTCTGGCACCTACATCAACACTGAGGGCCGTGTTCAAGTTACCCGGGCAGCGACTTCGTTGCCTGGTGCGGCTCGTGACGACTGGAAGATTATTCGCGCCACCAGCGAGTTCCTCAACGTTCCACTGCCTTACGATGATATCGAAGCTCTCCGCGATCGCATGGAAGAGATCAGCCCTGTGATGCGTCGATATGACGTCGTTGAGTCCACCTCCGTGGGCTCCCTTAGCAAGATTCAGTTGGTTGATCAGAACAAGGGCACACAGCCAACTGGAGCGCCTTTCAAGCGTGTTATTGAAGACTTCTACTTCACTGACTCCATCTCTCGAAGGTATGTAGAAGTAATACCCTTAAACTTTTCCTGTGAGGAAGCATCTCTGACCATGTTATAGCTCACCTACGATGGCCCGCTGCTCAGCAGCCAAGGCTACGGGTAACCCCGAAACTAACTTCATGGCTGCTGGAGAGATGTCGCCCCAGGCTTTGTATGGCTAAGATTACCACTTGTAGTTCTGATCACCCGGTTTATCCTTATTATAGGTCTAGGCGTTGTCGTTGTAACACCTAAACATCATTTTTTTTCCTTTGTTCATTCCTCCCAGTAATGCGTACTGCTATTGGTTTCTCCCTTACAGTGAAGTTTCCTGAGATAGGAGAGGATGCGTCACTAGTGGTGATATTGTATATAAGTTCAAAATAAGCTTGAGAGGCTTGACGAAGTCCATTTCATGAAAGATTGGTTAGATCAAGTCACAGAAACTACAGAATGTGGATTATTGATGGAATGGGTACATATTGATTGATGCACTAATATTCCCTCTGCTATGCCTTCATAGCTCATCATCGTCTGTCTCGCCTGCGGTTTCTTCGGCATTGTCTTGTTGATGCTGTAGACCTTGTACTGTGTCTTTCCTTGATCCTGACCCTCTGGTGAATGGAAGTTCCCTGCGGGGTGGCGGTGACTGTTTTTGCATCCTAGATGGATGGTAGGCTTCTTCCGTTTTATTTTGTTCACTTAGCCCCTGGTCGATGCCGGACGCTGTAGGTGAATCTTCATCAGTAGTATCATCTACATCCTCCAATGGCTGGGGAGTAGAATTCGGTTCATCGTCCGTATCTGAGATTCTTCCTGGGCTGGTTTGAGGCTTGGTCTGATCCAAGCTCTCCGAGCCATTATCGCTTTCAGCATCGTCATCGCTCGTTTCCACAATAGGACGTTTCGCATGCTTCTTGCTCCCGACACGGGCCCCGACTTTTGATGAGGCAGCCTGATGTTTACCAGCTATATTTTAATAATCCCAGGATCAGCTATTGTTCAGTCGACTCGAACATGTGACCTTACCATCGTCCACATCAATTTTCGCCGAAGCCAACAAGCGTTGTTGATTGCGAATTTTGAGCTTTTTCTGATTTAGAACTTGCGTAAAGTTCGTCATAAGCTGTTCCTCATGGCGGCGTTTTGCAGAGATGAAGTCTTCAATTTGCTTATTGAGCTGCTCGATAGTGCTGTCGGCTTCGTGATAGTGCCGTTGCAAGTTTAATAACTGCTGCTCAAGCATATCAGCTCTGGCAACGGCGACGGCAGACCAGTCAAAGAGCTGGATAGCTTGTTCATCATCCTGTTTTAACGCTATAGAACCGAGTCTTTGCTGTGGATCATCAGCACCACATCTGATACTTTTTGGTGGTTGGAATTACAGTTATAGTTTGGACCCTCCGGCGAATAGTGAGGACCAGTTGATTGCCCTGCCTACCCTGTCCCTTGATGCTAGCTGATAATTCAATACCAGATAGCAGATCTGAATTATCTGTATTGATCTCTAGCTGACCCAAGGCACGCAGTAGGATAAGAACCCAGTCCTCATCGGTTCCCTGGTAACTCTTTGAACGATGAGTCTGCGCACGAGCCTGTCGCACTATTCTGACTTAGTATATCACAATATTTGCAGAAAGAACAGACAAAAGGGACAGTATTATGGACACCCCATACCGACCCCATTATACGGAAATTCTCCTTCCGTTGCAGTGAGATTCAAGTCGAGTGCAGCCGTATTGGTGCGCGCGACGTGGAGCAGCACATAACTGTCGGGCTCATCAGACCTAGGGACACGTAGAACCCGAGGAGGTGACGCGTGTTCGGACGTAGACATATTGCTGTGACTTTTACTACCAGGACTTGATGCAGTATGAAAAGTATTGCATCCTATTTTATATGAAGACGAAATTGGGATCTGTCTAGGCTGCCTAGGAGAGGAAGGAGTGTTGCCTGGACAAGCTGTAACTATAGATAGACTTTGGTAGCCGCAAGCACCCATGTATGGAACTTGTATTTTATTGTGTAACTTCAGCAAAGTGGTAAGACTACCATTCAAAATTGCGACGACAGATGACTTGATCCTGAGCTAGACCTGGTACCTGCAGTGGTGTGAAGCAGTACGAAGTATCTAGTGCTCGGTGAAACTGCGGTACTGGAACTCCGTTCAATTGCTGCGATCGGCCGACTGTGTGGATCATCAGTGTGAGTATCCCAGCAACAGACAGTCAACTAGCAAGAGCCTAGCTATGACCTATGCAGTGCTAATAAAGGGACTAGCGAATGCTGGGTGGGTATAGCACCTTATTACCCATTTACGCGGCCAACCAAGGCGACGTAGCAATACCCAATAGAAGGGGAAGAAAACGGTGAAATCAAAGCCGTATTTGATCCAAGATGAATGTATGTAGTAGTAGTTAGTAGTTCTCGTCGACATTGCCGTCGGTCTCAGCCAAGCCCCTCCGCCCTTTTTTCTTGCCGTACTTTCGTTCCCATGGCCTCAGCTTCATCATTTTTGTCATACAAACGAGGCTTGATAGCTGGCTCCGTGATTATTTGTCGATGATCACCATTTGGTGCCGTCGCGCTCTGGTTTCGGCGTTACATCCATCCCAGGCTTTTCCCTTGTCCGTATTTCCCAGGTTGCGTTCCTCACTTCTGTTCCCTTCCCCTTCTGACACCACGCGCCAACTCTTGAGCGAATATCGGAGCACACATTCTGGCCTCACGTTGATCATTCTGTTTGTTTTCTGTTGATTTTGAGAATTACATGCGACCCTACCTGCTTGGCCTCAGCATAGGCAACCTGCCACTCACATAGATAGCGGCTTCAGTCCAGTTTCCCCTTTTTCGAACACCGTCAGGCTTCCCCCTCACGCCTTCTAACGCTATCGCTCTTGTTTAATTGCCAATGCACGATCATACGTCGCCTATCCGATCCGAGTAATTGACGCATATTCAATCTGACCTGTCTCACCAAGCACGGAATGACTTTGCTTTCCCTTGGCAGCCGAATCTCAGCGCTCGTGTGCTTTCCATCTGCTACTTAGAGCCCCGAAGATCTTTGATCTCCTATATGAGCATACATCAGTTTAGTGCGAGAACATGGCTCCCTTCACTCTCGAGGTCCGCCACAGTGAGGAAGAAACGATCGAGTGTTGGGACGATGACGATGATCTACAATGCTACGAGGATATCCAGCTACGAGCCGCATCGACAGCTACATCTGTGACGACATCGTCAGTGCGCCGGTCGGGCCACCGAGATTCGATTTCATCGCGTCGCTCAGGACGTTCCGATATTGATTCTAACGCAGGAGGGGACGAGGATTGGCAGGTTCAGCTGTTGGACAATGACGAAATCATCACCGAAGAAGCTATCGCTTCTGCCAAAAACGCCGGGATCCCTTTGCCTATGAACGTCCCTCGATCGGCCCTCATTGGAGGCACCATCAAGCGCCTTGGTCACAGAAAGCAGAAGAAGGATATAGTTGACGACTGGTCAGATGACGTCGAATTTCCAGGTCCCGACGGCACCCTTGAGTTAAAGCGTTCGCTAAATATGTGTTTTCCTGAGTCTCTTCGGCAAATCAATTCCGCTGCCCCAAGTCCGACCAAAACCTCCGCCCCGTGTTTTTGGGATAGCGAGGTCTCGACACGCCTTCAGTCAGCTCTTGCTATCACTTCTATTTCACCGCAAGAGGGCGAGCTCGTCGACACTCAAGACGTTCCTACGATTAGGGTTGCCAAGCCTCGGTCGCCAGACAGAGCAACGCGTATCGACAGTCCGACTCCAGAGAGAGGCCAGGATTCCACTGACAATCTCGAAGATGATTTCGAGTTACCGGCGGATGACATCCTGCTCCGGCTCTCCCCTAGAAAGACAGCCGTGGAAACAGCCGGTCCTACTCCCGATGATATCGACGTGGATTGGTCAGAAGGCAGTATTGGAGTCCGGTTCGGGGGTACCGCAAGGGATCAGCCATCAATTCCAAGCTCTTCGGTTTCCGTTGTCAGCCCAAGTTCATCGAGCTGTCTCACGGTTGAGAGTGAAGATGAAGGCCTTGATGGCCTCGTCATCCCAGAAGGCCCGCTTGATTTCGAAGCGTCCTTAAGGAAGCGGAAAGAATCGCCCAGTGATGACGTACGGTTGGAACGGCGTTCAGTTAATCAAACGCCAGTCCTTACTGACGACTTCTTCTCGGGCCTTGAAGTCAACAATGGAGAAGTATTTAATCCTCGCAGGCTGTCGATAAACCCCAACGTCAAGTGCAAAACGGAAATTCCCAAAAGTCCTGCGCGGCACTCAACAACTACAATCACGTTCACGAACACGGCGGTTTCCCCAAAGACTCGAATTCCTCGCCTTTCAGACCACGACCGCCCTCATTCAACCCATCTCGAGACTGTGTCGGAGAGCGGTGCTCCTCTGTCAAGATTTCGGTCATCACAACGCCGGGCTGGGGGTCATTCGTCACAGTCTTCCGTCTCCAGCCTTCCTGGGTCATCCACATCTCAAATACCGTCAACCCCTAGTCGACGGCTCATGGGCGCTGGTGTATCGAATGATAGCTTTGCTAGTGAACGTATAACTTCGGGAAGGCAACTACTGAGGACCAAGCGCTCAATGCCAACATTACGAAATACACATCAGACTATCTCAAATATTCAAAGTCTGCCTACACTACAAGATGGTTCGGACGTGCCTAAATACTACGCCACCCGACCGAAAACTCCTGTTGACCGGATAGGAAGTGATACGAAGACTTTCGCTCGTAAACCTCAGGCACCATTTCTTCCTGCCGGTGCCTCGGATAAGCAGTCGCATCATGCCAGTGTCAAAAGTTCTCGATACAATCGTCGGTCCAGTTCAGATAGTCCCAATGATGCATCAAATCCCCAAGGACATGGAACCCGACTGCCGCGATCTACTCGCCATGATACTATGGGCAAGACTCTCAATGAGTCTAGTCCAGAGGCATTGGTCGCTGCAAGCAAAAGAACACTTACGCGACCTACTCGACGGCGTAATTTTGGTGATGGTTCTGAATTGGCACTATTTGACGACCTGCCCACATCTTCTTCAGCAGAGAGAAAATTCGTGAAGCATCCTTCGGGGCGAGGTGTTCCGAGGACACTTAGAAGTAAATTAAACCACGGCCAGTCTAATACAGCAAAGGCAGATGCCACAATCGAACAAGCCACCCCAAGCGCTACAATCAGGCTAAACAGTGTCACGCCAAGATTCGCACGGGACACGAACGCTTCGAGGAACGCAAGAGAACAGCGCATTGCATCGTTAACGAATACGCCAAAGAACCGCGACAATCACCCGCTTGCTCCTCTTGGAATGAATTGGAAGCCTGCGAATGTGTCGCGGGTGCCTTCGAACTCGGCAACTATCCGGAGCAGGAAAAGCAAAGCTGCGCCAGTGCCTGTCTCCAAACCACAACTGATCAAACCCATGGGTGCGGGTGTGCAAGAGCCCAAATGTAAGTTTAGCTTCGGTACATGATGGGGAAAGTGCTGACACCCTTAGCTCTTAACGGCATGCGTTATAATCCTAGTTCATTTTGCTGGGAAGGGAATGAAAATATAGTCCAAGACTTTGACACTATGTCCCCCAAGTCACCAAAGCCGACCCCTGCTCTAATCACGAATATAGGCGCGATGAAGAATGTGCAGGTCGTCGGTGGAATGGTGTTTGATCCACAACGTATGTGCTGGCTCAAGTTGGCGCCATTACAGCCGGGGAAGGATGGGCTGGTTGCTATTCAAGACGAAGACGATGTCTTTGCAGGTCTAGACGACCTAAAAGAGCCGTCCAATAACGCGGGGGGACGAATTTCGGGCGCCTATGATGAGTTCGGTCTCGCGGCCAGCATTGATGACCGCAGCTACGAAGATTCATCGGACGAATGGCCCATAACGGAAGAGTTTGACGTGGGCCCGGAGTTTATCAGGCGCCAGCGTGCGGAAGAAGAGAAGTGGAGGCGCAAGGTCGATAAATGGACCACTCATGATCGTGGGAGGTTCGGGGACGGTTGGAGATGGGCTATTCGGGATCTGGTGAGATTCAATAATAGCACGCTCAGCACACAGCACCTTGACCGCACATGACTCGGTCGCGAGTGGCGCTTCCAAGAACAGGGGGCCAGGGCACTATGAAGTGGTGAAAGGCCGCTGCTGTTGCATTGAAGCAGCTTCTATTGGCCTATGCAATCCAACCCTGCTGCCAGCTTTCGATGGCAAGTGGTGATGAAATGGGAAGACTCATGATTTTTCTACGAGACTATGACTTAAAGAGGTGCGATTTGCTTTGCTTTTTACGAACCGATTGTTATATGTAACTTATTACCACGCCATTGATGGACAGATGACTTTTTCAGGGATGTATAATAACTGATCATTTTTATGTGAATCCAACTGTAAATGATAGGAGGAATCCAGGAATGAATCCTTAATTCGAAAGCAGTCAGCTACTGCCCGGGGTGCTTGGTCCTAGGATCTTGTAGAACAAACACATAAAGTCTAGACTCCTTGATCATGGTAGCGCCTCGCCATTCTATAAGATCTGGATTGTCGAGGTCAGTAGTATCATATGCTTGCCACATCCACCGAGGGATATATTTGCGGGTCCGTAATTGTGGTTGTGGTCAGCATGGCTGTTAATAAATACTTTACAATACCTAGGTACGTGGGCTGGGCTTTCTGCTTGGCGTGTTAGGGCTGGGCAAAGTGAGGCAGACAGAGAGACTCTCTTGGAGCAATTCATTCCGCGTGTTCACGAAATCCAACTCTTCTGCACTACACCATTTTCCATATTGTTAATTGAGCA